GGCGATATATCACTTTCGGTTACGGTTTATTTCATGCGAACGTTATACAATTGACGATAAAAGCTAGAAATATATTCCATTAAAACTAAGTTTTCGTTTGCGAGCACACACAACAGTGGATCTGCGACATCCAATACAGATGAAAAGAATTGGTCAAGATTTCAACGCACTAAAGGAGATCGGGTGATCGATTCGCATCTTCAGACAGCAGAATATGAGTAATTTTTAAATAACGTGTAAATCAATTTTAATCAGGAGAACATACTCAACAATAAGTCCTTGATAGTAGTTATTAACTTATACCTGTGAATGTTTTAGACCATCATTAATCTGTCGAATATTTCGCCCCAGTGTATAGTGATTAAAGGAACAGAACCGTGATGGTTGAATTTGAGTTTCCTAAAATAAGAGAGTGAGACTACTTTTGCACTGAAGAACAGTAGCGAGCTAATCATAACTTAAACCAATAATTACGAAGAGGATTTCGTGAAAAGTATGAAAATTTCCACTAGTAAAGTATGTATACCAACGGACTATTGAAAGACCTCCGAGTTAATATTACTAAATTATTAGGCTACAAATTTGTGTCTACAAATTGCCTTCATGGTAAAACAAAGTAATTGTTAAATACGTATAAACTGTCCAGTACTGTCTCAATTTCGACGTCTACCATTTTGTAACTGTTATGAGTAGAAACAGCAGAAGTTTCTTTCTGTAATCGGAAATTTCGAATCGCAACTACATCAAGTACAGAAACACAGAGCAATTTGATTCCCTAAAGGATCCATATGTATGGGGAATCACAACAACTGAACATTGAATGTTGACCCTCACTGTGTTAGCCGGTTTGTTTAGCTGAATGCTAACTGTCAACATCCACTCCATTTGCATGCTATCGCGTTACGTTCGTTCGTGAACGATCCCTGACTGGTCAAGCGATCATCTCGTACTCCGATATGGTCCCGAAATATAATCAGTTATTTGGGCAGTCAATTCCAGTGTTTTGATTTGCCTTTGGACTGCGCGGAACGAATAATGTAGGAGTTGTGGGTATTATATCTTGAGTTAGTATACTACCCTCACCCTCGGAAAGCACTTTGAAATGAGCTTAGGATGAAATCCTCACTTTAGTTCGCCCAAATTTCTTTCCTATTATAAAACTACGATAAGACTGCTGACAAAAATGGAATAAATACATTATTGAATCAAAATAATACATCAATAAGCTTTATCTCACGGATGCTGTTCACAACAAAGTTTTATAGGAGAATTGACTTCAAGCTTTATTTTTCCCAGATATTTGTATCACATTCATCTGAAGTCTGGGTTTTTTGTTAATGCGAAGACAATATTTCTATATCTCTTTATGTGTTACACAGACAGACTATTTTGCAGACTGTTCTGACTGACTCTAATGTTAGATTGAACAAACAAACTGTAATTTATATAATAACTTATCCATGCCTGTACAATTGGTATGTTCCTGCATAAACAGGAATAAATATATATATACATAGTGGCGCTGAAAACCAGGATAAGAGCGATAAACTGGTTGGAAAGATAGCTCACCTTCAGTCACCTAGGCTAATACGTGCACAGTAACTGGTTGAACCTAAGGACAGATACTCTTCATTATAGTTGTGAGTCATTTAGTGGACAAGTATCCTGTTTAGTGTGTTCTATCATAAAACTGTATTTCTCCTGTAAATAAGCATTTTTATCTGTTAAACTACAGGTTTTTTGATTGGCTTGCTCAAGGCCAGCAGTTTGTTCTTATTCCATGGATCTGTATCGTTGAACTTTGCCCGGTTTATAATCCCTGTATTGCGGTGTACATCGAAAAACATGAGATTTCACAGGCAGTAAATTTTATTTGACAGGGAGTGTAAGTTTGTACTTATAATCTCAGCAGCTATCATTCGATGTTACCCCGTTGCCAACCATAAAGATGCTGTTTCTTACGTTTAATGGAAACTTTCAAATCCACTGATTTAATATTTTTATTGTTCGTGAGAGCAAACTATGCCATCAGAGTTTATTTTTCAGCAGGTCGACAACTCAGAAAACTTCGTCGAGTGTGTTATGAATTCCTTTTTAACTGATTCCTAATAAATCACATGACTGAAAGATTTCTGGACACCACACAATTTTATAGGCAGTAGCAGTAGATGCACGATAAATATTCAGGTCATCCATCTCAGATGGTGAAAAGTAGATTCACTAGTAGCAGTGTTGTGAGTGTTTAATGGCTTTAAGTTGGTCGGTACACGGTTCTTCCACCGTGCTAACAATGCTACGGTCGGTCAATTTTTTCCTGCCCAAAAGTTACTCTGAGTCGATAAGTACGTACCAATCAACCCATTTCTGTCAATTAAAGCTACTGGGACAATATTGTCAGTAATTTTTGTGGGTGCTTCTGTGTATCTGATTGTATTTAGTTTTTTTGGATTAATGCTAGCTTCTCACCTAATGAATTATAAAAGTTCGTAACAACCTTTAGAATGCAATCAGACATTCTAGATTATTACAGAAACTCGGTGACCTTCGGAGACATTTGAAGCCGATTTTGCACTGACAGTTGTCATTTCTCTTAGGGTAGAAAGCAACGCGACATAATTTCCTCATCGAGAAATTTTCTCTTTTGAAAAGTTTCTGTGGATTATTCTGAGGTTTCTTCACCTTCTTTCTTCCCTTATGAGCTGCATAAATGACCACTACACTTTTCCTGACTGTGACACAAAGTCGGCAAATATTTCTTTGACGACCGAAGTTCAGGTATGTTGGTTTGAACTGAGGAAATGACTCTAGAATAAGGAGTTACTGCAATCCGAATAGTTTACTGCATGATTCGGCATTGTTTGCTATACTTTTTTTGAGCAACGTACAGTGGGAGTTTTCACTGTAAAAATATCAAAATACAGCTTTGTCCGGTGAAACTCAAAGTAGAACTAAACAATGACAAGTTAAATCCAAAATGATTTTGATCAAAAGTTTAAAGGCTCTTCACATACTATTCAGATGAAGTAATTCAATCCCAAAATATCTCGAAATCAGTGAGAGTATTCCAAACCACAGAATCGGAAATTCGCCATAGTTAAATGAAAGTAAACTCCACCCTGGCAGAAAGTCCAAGAACAAGCTACTTCTCCACGCCAGTATCCTGAGTTCATTTAATCGAATTCTTGTCAGCGGTGAAAAAACATGATTGTTAACAGGTTGGCGTTACACAATAATGGGATGAAATCTATAGAATAATAAATAACCCAAAATAAATATTACGCTGGTCAGGGTGAGAGATACAAATTAGAAATTAAGTTTAAATACTCGGGACAAATACCGGGACCGTAAGGGAATCTTCTTGAGAGAATTCTTACATTCGACGTTATAACACAATTTCCACCCCCTCATTGTACGTCAATTCCCCAAAGGATTAATAGCATCCCTATAGACATTCTCGTACCTCCTTGTGGAATTGGGTTAATAAAATTACCCACGCTAAATTCTAAATATTGCCATAACAAAAGATGAATGTGGTAGGGGTAGGGAAATCAAAACATTCTGTTCATGGGCTGAAAAACTCTTTACCAAACATTTGTCATTGTTTAATAGGACTTCCGAAACTCGGATTTTGTTAAGTCTTATGTAGTTGACGTCTGATGGCACTCAAATGAGTTTGACTGAAGGTTGTGTTGATGCAATACAACTTCTGATCTAGATGTAGACTGATTCTCAGTGTTTGGAAAGAGGATAGAAAGGCTTCGTTTCATATTCTCACTAATTGTAGAAACATACACCATTGTCAAGGCGTTTCGATGGAAAGTTATGGACTGGATTTGCTTTCTAAATGGAATTTTTCATTAAAAATCCCTTTCTGAATTACATATTACCAGTGGCGTTATATTCTTGAGCTCCACTACATTTTCTGCATTATTATCGAAAAATGTCGCTTGGTACTGATATCTGTGCAATATATTGGATTAAAGAATGCAGCTATCCCAAAATCATGGTAGTATTTTTTCAGTGAAATATGACGATGCCCACTGGATGACAAAGATGGCGATACTTCAGTAGGGGGATATCATATGTCTCCTGGTAATTACGAAAGTTTTCTGAATGAATCCTATATTTATAATTCCCCTAAGCAATACTAAGGTATTAACTTGATGACTGTTTGAGGCTGCAGATATTCATTCCGGGCAGACCACACCTAGAATTTGTATTCTGCCTAAATTCAGGGCTCGGAAGCTCACTAGCGCAGTCGAGTGTTATTAATAAGTTTCTTTTATCTTATGAGTAATACAAGTTATCAGTCACTCCTTGAGCAGATTCCTGGATGTTAACTGAATGAAAAGCTTAAAGTCATACATTTACAGGAATGTGCATTCTGGAGTGCTACGAAGTATGTCCCACCGAACTGACTTAAGAATCAATAAAATGCTGCGTGAACAAGTCACCATTTGTGAGGCTATAAAATTATACATTTTTAAACAGTGCTTTCAGGGTTTGTGCGTTCCACTTCGGCAGATTTTCCCGTACACCATCGAAAGTCTGTAACTTTCGTAAGGGTGGAAACGTATGACCTCGGTTTGCACTTAGAGGTTGAAATAAACAGATTCCATATACCAACAACTGTTTATCAAGGAATATATGGTGCACTATCATGGTACATAAAATTTCACTAAAAGTAACATCACGAAGTTCAATATGGCCTAAAAAAAGATCTTCCATTCTAAAAGAATGCTACAAAGAGATGGTCTGTCATGGTCTAAATATTCCAATTTACGACTAAGCAACTCAATGCTACATTGGACTGCGTTTTTCCTAATGAGATAGTGTGATGAAGTTTCTATGAATATTTCAGATTCTCCAAGCATACATCAATACATTTACTACTACATTATGACATACTTAAGCTATTCGCACACTTTTCGTTTCTTTTACACAGCCAAACAAAGTTCGAACATTTGACCTTCAACCGCGTTAGTTGAGACTCAGGAAACATGACGAAATCTAGCGATGATAAAAAAGCGTCAAATCAGTTAGTGAGTTTGATTTATGTTTTAATTTGGCAACTAGTGATTCTTAACGTTTTGTAAGCTTTCATTTAAAAGTGCGTATTAGTCCAGATAGCTAATTTCTGTGTAGAAGTGTAAACAAAGTCTGTAAAATTTCTTGGATTTGTATTTATTGGGTATAGTTAGACCCTACAATCGAAAGTATTAGGACTTTTGCAAGTACTTAGAGCATATTTTCAGGTTAAAGCGAGGTTATATAGGAACCGACACCTCCAAAGCTGACAATAATGCTGAGGTGAATTTCGCAAATTCCTGACCAACGTTGACTTTCTGTAGTGAGTAAATTCTGCAAATGTTCTGAAACGGTTTCGTTTCCTGCACAAACTTGAACTCAGTGCTGTTTTTCAGCATCACTGACACTAATTCACCAACCTGTGCTCTTTCTCATCATAGGCAGAAGTAGCTCCCAACCTACTTAGTTTTTTATCAGCGTGCTTTCAGCTGACTGCATTCACAACAATCCTACTTAGTTCAGCTCCTATCGGCACGTCTTCTCAACGTTATTTTATACCTAATGAAGTACTAACTAGTTTTATTTCATCATTCCTTTGACTTATTCTGATGAAATTCCTAAGTGGTTTTTTGAAGAAACCGACATATTTCAATGCACGACAGAAACGCGCTACCTGCTGAATATCAATTGCTACACCTTTCGCTCACGAAGTTCACTGAATGGGATCAAAGAAATCAGTATTTCCACTTGGAGTACTTATTCTCGCCATACTACGGTTCCATCTAATTGCAAATCCGTTAAGTAAGGTCCACTGGCACCATCCTGCAAGTGAGCGAAATCTAAGATTAGTTGGGAAATATAGATGGTCATTACATTTTAGGCATTTACATTTGGAAAGGTGTACTTACAAAAATAACTTTCCGCCAAAGACTTCATTCGTTATCAGTTAATATTACTGTATAACACTGTGATTTAACAAAATAAAATGTTATCTATTATGGAGTTATACTCTACCATAGTGCCCAAGTTTTATACTTATGTCTAAAAATAATGTTATAGTTACTACATGTTGGTTAGACCATGGCTATTAGAAGTGACTGCATTTCGTAACACTGCCTAAAGTAAAAATGAACTTGGTTTAGACGTACATAACGCTGAGCTGCCTGCTTGGCCATAGCATAACCGCAGTCAACAAATCCCTGATCTTACGCATATAAGATTCAAATGAAAATGCACTAAATCCTTCCAATGGCACATTCAGCTAGACATAACCAGCTATGTGTTGCAGAAAAATATAGTAGACAACATGTTTGATTCTGAAACAATTCTCATTGCCATAAGAAATTACTTATATCTCTCCGAGCAGCATCCAAAAACAGAAACTCTGCAGTAATTATGCTTCTGGAACTGAAGCACAGAGTCAGCAGCAGTGTTTCTGAGTATAATGGGGCCCAAATATAATAGGAGCATTCTACACTCCTTCGCCTTCCATTGGTTAAACTTAGCTAACGAACCAGAAAGAATGTGGTTCTTACTTAGTTGTAGACTTTCATTTATAGCTGTCATCAATTTACTGCCCATTTTCTCTTCTCTCTGAGCTGCGAAACCCTGTCAAAGGAACACTTAGGACCTAGAAATGTCCAATATTGTTGCGAAGAAGTGCTCGATATTGGTAAGCTATCATAGTTTAGTTGCACATTAACATGTTGAAAAGTACTGTAATCAACCCAACTATATAGGTAACGCTGCAGAATTTCCTTCAGGCCAATATAATTGTAAACACCTTGTGCAGACATACTACTGTCTTTTAGCAAACCTCTGATGCTTTTTGCGACACGCCGACTGAGTTTACGGATAGTCTGACATTCCCTCCGCACCAAATGCTGTAACATCTGATGATAAAAACAGTTCCATAATTGACCTTGTGTTCAGTTTTTCGTATGTCATCTTTTCAGGAACAAATTCATGTTCTATTGAAAGTATTTGTTGCATAATAATGCTTATTACGGTCTCTGAGTTATTGAGACACAGTGGTAAACTTCCTAGTGCTAGTTATGCCTACTGTTCCCTGTATAGTTGAACTTGAAACCAAAAGAACCTGTTCTCTACGTACGCATTTGCGTTTCCAGAAATCAGTCACTAAAAATTGACTCACAATTGGTGACATGGCTCAAAATCGTTCTCAGTGGCGCAGATGCATCCACTCCTTGTGACTCATGATTTCCAATGAAACTGTTTTGTTCTCCGTTATTACTATTCCTTTGTCTCACACCTCTGTTCACTGTCTATATTATGCAGTTCTTCTACTTTCTTCTCTTGCTTTGTGTGCTACATGGAGTGTGGCGACTTGAACTGCCGCACATATGTGCAAAGTTCTATGTCGAATACCGACCAACCGACCCACGTGACCGTTTATGACATTGGTAATTCGTCGAGTAGCCGTGTGCGAAGAATTCACGCAGTTATTCAGGTATGCTTCTAATCCAACTTGCTGCATAGTATCGAATACCCGTATCTAACACATTATCTCAGTTGTTTCCCTGATAATAAAAATGGGCAAATAGTCTGCATCAAAAACCTCAACCACCTGCTTGCCTAATAAATCCTGTAATAATGATCTTTAAACTTAAGGACCACCGCTTATATACTTCTAGCCAGACATCCGCTTTTTTTCGATATTAAGATAAATGACAGGTAAACAGTAGTCATATGGTGTACTGTAAGCATAGCTGTGAACATTTTGCTGATGACAATATAAGTTTTCGTCCCTGAGTTTACATCAGTGTACCCCCTTTGGTTTGTTCCCATTTTTTTTGGTTCCGATGTATGAATTCATCACTAGGAAACTAAAATCGAAATTCGTTACATTTCATTCATGACAAGTTTATGTTTTCATCTGTAGAATGTACACTATCCATACCGTATTTTTTCTAGTATAATTTTCGTTTTCATGTGACTTCGTCATACGTGAACTGTAATCATGTATGTGGGGAAAGGATAAGCAATATCAGACCATAGTAATGATAATTCACACATGACCACTCTTCCCAGTGGTAGTGGCTAGTCATCCCTCCCCATTTCCTTGTTGACTTATTTTTTGGTAGTAGTTATATATGCATGGTCTTATATGATGAAAGTATTCGTAACTCCTCGATGACTTCATTCAGCATTTTTCCGCATTTATTGAGAAGGCGTAATACAGACTGGTTTCGTCGCAGTGTTTGTCGTCCTAGTATATTTTGTAAACCGCAGTCAAGATTTTTTGTCTTGTAACTTAGCGTTTAGCCTTGCACGTCTATCTTTATGGTGTCAATCTCAACCTGAATTCAGTCTTCATGGTAACTAAAATCCTATGAATTACTTTGTAGTAGCTTTCCAATGCTACTGACGAATACCCACATATAATATTTGTTCTAAGTCATTCACACAACTGCTTGTGGTTATTGTTATTTTACTCTAACAGCAGCATCGATTTTTCAATTTAGTGCATGTGTTTTCTTCTATGCCAAAATCGTGAGATGAAGCAGTTCAACTATGAACCTAGTATACCGGCCCATAAATGTAGGATATGTTTATCCGTTGTTTAATTTTCTACTTGACCAAAAAATCATGCTACCCTTGCTAATACTGTTAAGCCTGTCCCTATCGTGGAATAAAAAACTACTGATATCATATGGCAGAAATGCAACAGTAGTATTTGTTTTTACCTTTTAGACCTGCTCAAGTTCTCCTTAATGTTAGAACGATGAAGAACTCTAGTAACTAATTTTCCTTTGTACGCAACGGTTCTATATCAATTAATTTGTAAAATATAATGCCTTTGAAAAGGCTTCCTGTAAGTGCCCCAGTCAGATTCTTTGCTTATCAAAATACATTTGCCCTACAAGTTAAAAAATAACATACTGAACTTAAGACAGAAGAAAAGTCTTCTACACTTCTGTTCAGATAGTCATCCGTCCTATATCACCACTAATTCTACATATAAGGGACATTGTCTGACGTGATAATCTTCATCATCGAATGCACGATGCACTCAAACAGATTAGGTAAACGTAAGCTGTCGATAGAGAGGGTCGCTAGAAGACTTAAGCTCCTTCTGGAACATATATGTAGACTTCGATCACCCACTAGTCCGTGCACTCATATACCTACAACTGAATGAACATAGAAATCAGGTAGCTGCAAAACTTCTGCGCCCCGAAATTCCTGATGACAGCACAGTCTTTACTTTGAGAAATAATCATTAATCGCGTAACTAAGATTGCTAACGAAATCCATCCTAAAGAAAACTAGCCAGCTGTAAGAACAGTGCTAAAGACTGTTGATAGCCTAGAACCAACCAGTCCTCACTAGTGGATAGCTGCTGCCCCATCCAGACTGATAAACGCAAAAATACTGATTCTGATGGGTCCCGAACAAGCAAAAGCTGCTCAAATGTAAACCAGTCTCCGTAACCACCGTAAACATGGACGGGTGTTAACAGCCGAATGTAGGAAAGGCGTTGGTACAACTATTTCGACTCATTAGGGTGAGATGTAAGAAGGCTAATGATAAGTGGAATAACTCCCTAAGAAAACGGTGCTCTACCTCTCAGTATAGGCGACTTGAATACATGAGGGGGCACCGTGAGGGGCTACAGCAAATTTGTCCAGTATCCGATACCTACCTGAGTGCTAGTGGTCTTCCAACTGCAGTGGAAGTTAAAAGTGCCGCCTCTCTAAAGGCAAAGTAGCGTTACTTAATGGAATGACTTCAGAGATGCTTAAAGATAGTGGTGACTGACTATTATCTGGGTCACTTAAGATAATTGGTGATATGGTGAGTTAGAGATGATTCTGTTGGACTGGTGTAAATCATCGATTATCCCAGTTTTTCGGAAGGGAGACAATTCTTCCAGTTATAATAATATGGGGATTAATTTGAATAACATTTAAAATTCTAGGTTCAATAAGTGTGCGTGGTCTAAGTGGCTCTCGAGAGAAACACCCTTCACCCTTCGACAGATTCTGAAGCATAGGCATGTTTATAGGCGTCAAACGCCATATTCCTTGATTTGTAGCCGGTATTTGACTCTGTGCACCGATAGGTGCTGTGGCAATGTTTGGCCTTAAAAGGAGTGCTGTACTAACCAAAGCAATCTATTTGGATTCACACAACCATTTTAAAGCTTATTGAGAGTTGTCAACTGAAGTGATGACTACCGGTAATGTGCCTAACGTCCCCATTTTTATTTGATTTCATCAAAAATGTACTAACAGATGAAACCCTAATCGACTAGAGCGACTTAAGGATGGATTTGTTACCAGGGGACACTGGTCTACTTAGAGTATGTAGATGGTAAATCCTTCTAGGTAAATACACTAACAAAATGTAGTCTGTCGGACACGGTGAACAGGAATTGTAGTGTTTTTGGCTTGCGATTTACCGCTGCCAAATGGAAGATGATGCCACATGTCTGTACCCACTTTAAGAATATGGAGTGATGTGTCTTAGACCACAGGTTTTTGCGTTCTGTCTACACTGTTAAGTGGTAAAATATGGTGAGTAATATAGAGACCGGGCGTATTGCTAGTGAAAAAGCGGAAGATTGCGAAGCTCTGTCTGCTGAGACGGCTAGTACACGTTTAGCACATGTCATGTCACCTCCATTGTCATCGAGCAATTCTACCTGACGTTAGATTGGGTTGGAAAAGATTTAGAGGTGGTCAAATCAAAACTTGGCATGAATCCACCAAATCTCTGAATGTTGCTTTGAGTCACCGTAGGAAGCTGCAATCTGTCTGATTTGGGTGGGGTCCTCAAGACTCTAAGAGCCAATGGCTAAAGACCGCTGGTGATATGACTCGAAATCGTTATCAGTAGCGCAGTAGAGAATTCATTCAATTTGTGTAGTCTCCCAGACCCATTACATTCTCATTATTCTCCAAACCTTTATTCTTTCTACACACTTCTCTTATAGTTCTTTCGAGTTTTTCTCTCTGCTTTGTGTACCGTATGTTGTGTAGCAACTTGATCTGTTGCAGTTTTGTGCAAAAGTTCTGTTAGAAATTCAGTCTAAAGTACTGGTTCCTAGCAGGCATTGGTCTCGATTTACACGAATATAATTTTATTCTCCCGTTTCTCATACTTTGTTATTGTTGCCTAGGTTTTAGATAGGTCACATGTCATCTTCGATTTCCTGGATTCATAGTGTAGAAATTGAGTTGCTTTCATCATTTATATGAATTTTCTAAACACGCATCATAACAAAGCTAACAGATTATTTTCAAGAAATATTTAACTCAAATAATTTCTCAGTATAAATGTCTTGAACTTCGAACAAAACACCAGTCACATAAAAAGGACATTTAGCAAATATATGAAAAGGGGCCCATAGGTGTTTTCGTGGTTTTTTGCATTTGGTGGAATAATGGAATAGGTTAATTTAGGGTTGATGTCAGAATACAATCATAATTCAGGCAGTTTAGCTAGAGTCGTGTGTCATTTATGAAAATTCCCCGCTTTCTTGGAATAGCAGTTTAAATTGAAATGGATTAAAATAGGAAAACATTTCTAGATGCCTTAGAGTTGCAGATAACGTCTAGTATTGATTTGGTCATTGAATTATGGTTCACGAGTTATGAATAGTGGTTTTTTGAAGACAGTTAGTCCTTCAACTTTCTATATCACAAAATAAAAACCTAACCGTGACTCAGATTCCGGCCTACATTATACTTGCCAGTCGAGAAAAATCACATAGTTTACCACTCAGATGTGCGGTAATTCAGTGACTGGTAAGATTAATTATTACTTTAGTGGTAGTCATAAGTTCAGACAAACTATTTGTTTTGAGTCGTATTATCGACTATTAAAAAAGTCTTGTATGTTAAACCAAACAAGCAATGGTTTTCGTATTTTTTGTAAAACAGAAAAACAAACAATGTTAATGTGTCATCTTCATATGACTTGATTTCCTCCTGTTTTTGCCAAAACATCAGATATACCAATCCTCAGTCGAATATACATGAGTAGAAAAAGTCTGCAACCCAATGGCAGCTAATAACCGTAAGAATATGAATTGGAAGCTTTTGAGCAGCTTTGCAGCTGGTTGGAAGTGATGGCAGATAGCCAAGTTGATTAAGGGAGGGATTGCTTCTGAAGTCGTATATAGCCCTCATGGAACTCAAGGAAGAAATAATAATAGCCTATTTTTCAAACCTAGGTTTTAGGTTTGGTATCGATTAATACAGAAGTTACTGGAAGCAAATCTGAAAAAACTTAATGTTAGGCGTATTTATCGATCTTGAAGATCTGTCAATCCAAAAATCTGTTTTGAACTGACTGTGTACTTACTGCCTGTGAAATAATTAACAGCCTTGAGTGATACTCACTGGTCAACGTAAAATCGTGTTTTTAGATTGAGAACTAAACTTGTGACACCAAAAACAAGTGAATGTTTTAGTGTGTTTAATGGACTCTTCACTTACTTACACAGTTCAAGCTATTTTTCCTACATTTTTTAATCATTTAGTATTAAACGTAAACATTTGTTTTCGACAGAGTGAAACTGAGCAGAATTTTCTGCGTGCAGCTCGAGCTGGAGACTTGGCTAGAGTCGTAGAACTTTTAAATGCCGGTGTACATATCAATCTTTCAAATGCCGTAAGTTTCAGTACTTATATTTGTAAATACGAAGTCAGCTATTTGTAGTCACATCATCCATGTAGTACAAATGATCTACACGAAAATAGTATTTTATATTGGACTAATAGGGCATAGCTTAACATACTGATGCACCTGGTTACAGTAACCACCGTTTTTGGCGACAGTAAATTGTATTAGGCACCAACTTTAGATAATTAAAGATACCAACTGATTTTGATGGTAAATATTCGTGACTGAATTTGTATGTTGCAAGCTGTGTCTAAGAAATTGGTCAGTGGTCATTAAGTAACTAGATTTAGTTGAACTGACTGATCATAAAATATTCGGTATTTCCAAGACAGGTGAATCTAGCAAAAGGTGGAAAATATAGCTCTTTGGTTTGAATACCCGATTTTCAGCCAGTACTATCCGATTCCGAATCCCGCTCCACCTTTTTCAACCTGGGTAACTGGTTAGCACCATCAGAACTCACATAAAATGTGATTCAAGACTTGTTACCTGAATTTGGCCGCATTATATCTTACTCTATTCTTTATATCACTGATTTTTATTGATGTCAGTCAACAGACTGAAAGATTCATATTGTATCGTTAATGTCGCTTTTTTATTATTATTATTATTATTATTATTATTAAAGTTCTTTTAAATTGTGCATGATTTTTATATGATTGCTTTCAGATTGGACTTACTGCACTTCATTTAGCCTCAAAAGAGGGCTATGTCCGCGTCGTAGATGAGTTACTTCAGCGTGGAGCAGATTTCGATGCCCCTACAAAAAAAGGGAATACTGCACTTCATATTGCCAGTTTGGCTGGTCATTTTGAAGTAGTCAAATTACTTTTAGATGCGGGTGCCAACTTAAACCGTCAGTCAGTTGTAAGTTTGTTATTATTATTATTGGTATTCTTATTGTTGTCTCCAAATATATATATATATATATATGCCTTCCTGCCAAAGTATTGCTTCCTTATGTTTTGCATTATTAAATCCAACATTTAAAGCAAACTGTATTCACGTGGTGTTGTAGTGGGTGAAGATAGGGACGCAGTGGTGCTTCGTTTCACAAGGAAACTAAGTTTAACTAGGTTAATGCGAAGTATAACTTTTACTCAATGTTATCTGATTTGCAGTGAAAAGCCAGACATTCAAATGGGATCATCGTGAGTGAATATTTCGCGGTCTGAATAGGAGGGACAAGTTTAGCAAAAGTTCCCAGATTGCATTTTTGCAGTGCTAATCTAGCTAAGCGATTTCAGTTTTCACTCAATATATATGAAAATTGTGGAAACCATAAGCAATGGTTAAGTAGTTCCTGCACAAGGTCAAAACATTTTGAAAAAGTTTTACCTGGTCATGAATAACAGTTACAGCTGAGATGAGATATTGGTATAGGATTGCAAACATTTGAAAGTGACTTCAATTTGGTAAGAACAGCTGAAAAACCTATCTCACTGGCGTAGATGAATTTACCCTCATGTATATTTTCATATTATTAGGTTTTCCCTCGTGCATGCCTGCTCATTATAGGTCATTCGAATTTCTTTCCCTCTCTTCTACCTACCTTTTTGTGCCACCATAGAATGTGGCAACTTCAACTGCTGCACCTCTGTGCAAATTTTTATGTTGAAACTCAGTCAAGACATATGTAAAAACAGTAAGGTGGGATAGGATTCTCGTTGGATTGTTTCAAAAGCTGATTTCCGTATTTTTCTGAAAAAGAAAACACCTTTTGTGATAGCCACCTACGATTTGGGTTCATCAATTTCTAAAGTCCATAATACTATAATGTGCAGCCACAGTCGACTAGCCAAGCAAGTGTGATGCCATGCTGTTGGTTTATCGAACAAATGGTTGTCCTCTGTAAGGTCGTTGAGCGTGGGAACACCTGTTGGTGTCTGACGTTAGTAGCCGCCTTTCCTTATCAGATGATATTTGATAACGTTGATCCATGCGACCTTTAGCAGTTTATTTTAATGGAAAGTAACCCCAGAACGTTGCAACTCTTTCCTAAATGTTTAACGGTCTAAAACTCTTAGTTTCATTCGTCTAGGTATTTTTTTTTACCATCTAACTTAACAGGGGTTGACTTCATAACGAGAAAATACTTTTGTCATTATAACAAAATCACCCTTTTGAACAGATACGAAGAAATACATTTTCTAAACACTGGGTAGTAATTTGGAAGTATCTGCTTTTGGTATATTATTATTATTATTTATCATCTCAGGAATAGTTTGTATTGATACTCTGCCTAGTTATAGAAAGTGGAGAGAATGAAAATATTCACAAGCGAAGTCCATCAGATTTAATTGATTTGATTTTGGCGATTTCTCAGAATGGATTCAAAAGGCTTCTTTAACACTCACTGACCTGCATCATTATTAGAAACGGTGCAGCGTCCGACTACCTATTATATATATATATATATATATATATATATATATATATATATAGAGAGAGAGAGAGAGAGAGAGAGAGAGAGTAGCAGTTCGTTTCGTTCTTTACAGATGAGACATTTTCAGTGGACACACAAACTCGGCTGCACATTTTCTTGACATCTTTGTCTTCTTTTCATTGTTTATTTATGATGAAACAACATGGTAAAAATAATGAGACTAGGTATCAGTATTAGCTGGGTCAGGAGAATAAATCAATACAGTTAATCTTCAACGATTCAGGTGATTGACATATATTATGCATGCTATGCAGCTACCACCCTCTCTGAGAATAGTGGCGACTTAAAAAGGACTGAAAGTTCAGAAAGGTATTAAGAGCAGTCTAGATCTATAAATGGCATCGATCTATAAAGTAGTAGGTCTGTTCCAAAGAGTAGGCAAGGTGTGGGTTGTCTTTTTGGGATCTAGGGAATTATAAGGCTTTATGGTTATAGACTTTTGGGGATTGTGGTGCAGATTGTTGTTCACATCTTTTCCTCCTCGAAATTCTGAAAATCATTAATCTTCAATTAATTATTTTATCTTCCACAATAATTTATCTTAGTGACATCCACTTTTGTCCTATTTTTTTCCGAGCAATGGCAACTCACTATAATCTGTGTGCATATAAAGTCCATCAATGAACTATCTCTATTCATTACTCAGTTAAGAATGACGTCAACATCGCACCATAACTAATCTTATTACATAAGCAAGTATTTATAAACACCTTCTTCATAATATCGCATAGATCAGTAAGCATTGCTATCAGCGATTTCTGGAAATCATTATTAATTTTGTGTCTCGCCTGTTGTTCACAATTTACGTATAACTTTATAGACTAGAAGTTGGTTGAACGCAAATCATGTTTTGTAAAACATTTGTAGACTGATTGTTACATGAATATAGCACAAAAAGTTCTGTTTTGAATTTTTCCTCTCAAGCATATATAGTAGTTCTGTACTTGAAAGATTGAAGCATATTCATTTATCACCTAGTTTTGTCTGACGGGAAAATCTACTATTTGGACTGGTATATAGTGCTAAACATAGCGGCGTTGTTACATGTCCAACATACCTAATTTATGATGCAATTTGCACTCTTTAATTCCTATATAGACGCAATAATATTGTCCTGTATTACGTGTTTATACGATTGATAGCATTGATTACATAATAATACCTTCAAGACTTCATTTCACCACTAGTGTTTTCATTAAAAATAAATAGTCGTGAACTTTGATTCGGCTGTAGATTTTAAATTCAAACGTGGTTTGTTTTATGGTTCAAGTAAGCGATTCAGCACTGCATTAATTTTTAACAGTGTAATGTCAATACCAAGTGATAGTAAAAGTAAACATGAAGCAATATTTTTTGCTTATTTTAGATTGGATTCACTCCGTTATACATGGCGGCTCAAGAAAATCATCTTGATGTTGTTGACCTCCTTCTTCAACGTGGCGCTAATCAGGCGTTAACTACGGAGGTAAATTTTATTTTTACAACATTTATCCAGAACACTTTTAAAGTGTTTCTGTTTTCGCTTGGTAGACTTTATTCCCACTTTTTGACATTAGTATTGTAATGAAAGAGAGAGAAAGATTACTGAGTTTTACACAAAGAGAGGTAGTTTTAAGCTGTCATATTTCACAGAAACTCAAAAATCAACTAGGCGGACATTGTGTTAAAAGTAGAAAAAAGGCGAAGAGGAATTGGCGGGGAAGAAATGATAATGAGATTTTGTTCAACGCTGCAGTTTATTCTATCTTAAAGTATTTGTCAAAACTGCGAATTTTCCGGTCGAAATCTCTACAGGTAGGAGAATCTTATTTCTGCATTATCTACTCCAATAGACATTGTCACTTGACTGGTGACCTTCATGAATTGCCTAAAGCCTCTATAAGGACTTTTATACATGGTTGATATATTGAATAATCTAAAGAGATCATTGCTACAAATATTGAAATACTTCCCAAGTACATTTTTCAGTATGCCCATAACATTTCGTATTATACTAGATTCTGTGTTTTGATGTATTAAGTAGGGAGTGTTATTGAATCGGTGACACTGATCCCGAGATATCAGATGTTGTGACATGTGTAAGTTGCACTTGTTGTCCCGTTATACAACAAACGTGCCGAGTGAATAGTAGTTACAGTAGTTCAATATTCTATTTATTATTACTCTGTGGGTGTGTGTAAGAAAAACGCCTAATTAACAGTTAGCAAATTATAGTTGGTAGTCGTCGCTTTGGCAGTGACCAGTGCTTACTAGTGTTACCAAAGTCTTGATAAATTAAAAGCACAACTAGATGCGCTTTGATACGTTAGGCCAAAGAAAGACAGTGGGATTCTTTTCATTCAGCATACTTTATGGATTTAGTTACTTTCTCAAGTCTGCCTAGTGTTTACCGACACCATTTTAGTCTGAATACAGTGTATTTACTCACAAAATGTGATGGTTTCTACCTAGACGTGGAATTAAGTTATAGTCGTTAGTTGATAAAGAGGTAGACTGTAATGCCTGCGTGGTTCTTTTGAATCCAACTTCTTGTCATGCTTTGATTCTTCTAGCTTTAACTAGTGGTCATTCATTTAAATGGTAACTTGTATTTTAACTCCTCAAGTGGTGACTTTAGATTTTTGATATTTTTCTCGACTTCTAGTACATTTTAAGCTGTATGGATGAATGACTGTTAACAAATCAAGATTGTATGACAGGATAGGAAGGAAGGGTGATTGTGTAATAATAGCTTGAAAAGGGAATAATCATATATATATATATATATATATATATATATATATATATATGCTATTTTATGCATCGCTTCTTGTCCATCTGTTGTAATTCAGAAATATGTACAAATAACTAAATATTAATTAACATAGTTTCAGTTAAAGGAAGAAGGAAATTAATCTATTGTAGGAAAAGTTAACTTAAAAAATATTTCAGTTAACTGAGTGAAATATTCCTACAAATCTCTGTAAAATAAAAACACAAAACCAAACAAATGTACACATGCACACACACATATATATACACACAACCAAACAGTGTGTATTTACCTCCTAATGTTCTGTTGCATTCATATAGGATTGTAATGATGTCCTCCTTGTTTAGGCTTTTTTATGATGTAATTATTGATATTTGTATGTAGGAAATGGGCTGAGAAGGGAGAAAAAGAAAACGACACTGTATATTACAACACTTTAGTAAACAGTAAAATCAGATAAGCAGAAAGAAAGATTCATTTATTTTGCATTACATGCGCATGTAGATTTCAGTGATTATGATGCTGTGAAAAGCATTTAAAAACAGAAAGATTGAGCGAAGAAATATTTACTTTTCAATTAGATCCTCATCTCTGGCTCTACTCTAATATATATAGCATTTTTATTACAATACACAACAATTTGCCAATCTGGTGGCAATGTGCTTGTTAACAATAATTAGTCAGTATCAACATGTCAATGGGGTGATAATTAACGAAGAAAATCAATGCACATTTAAAAGGTAGAAATGGTTAGAATAAATTAGTTTTACAAGGATAACACGTAATTAAAGATGAAGTGGTCAAAATAAAAATAAAATAATTTGGACAATTATAATTTTTATAGGTTTAGGGGGGGGGGGCGACGTAGTCCTGTTTATGCATTCTTGTAACGATGGCCACGGTAAGGAAAGTGGCTGTACAAATTTCTTCTGAACACATAGGCTTGGCTTCTTCAGGTGGATTCCGATTGCCTCAGCTGTCTGTAGAAGACGAACTCGTAGAGCAAAGTTAAGATTAGTCGGAATGCGATAAATAATTTTAAATGCAGTATTAACATCAACTTTGTGCTCAGTATCAACAAGGTGTGCTAAAATAGAACTACGAATAGATCTTGTTTGTCCCTTGCTTAACCATGTTGGATGATGTTCGGAAATACGACGATGAACCTGCCTAATTGTACGCCCAATGTAGCTGGCTCCGCAGCTGCAGTCAAACTGGTAGATACACACAGAAGAGGCAAAATTAGGTGGTTTATCCTTATTTCTCGAACATAGAATAGGGGTGGTTTTGAAGAGACAACGTACCTCTGCTGCATAATAAGCTCTTTTAACTGCATTCTTCAAGCTTTGTGTTATTATTTGCTGATGTTGTCATCGAGGAACTGCAATTTTATGAACATTGGTTTTTTCGGAACTGTAGCCATACTGACTCTCTTTGGCGCTGAATTCGTTTAAATTGCAAGTGTTCAGATAAATGACAATTCTCCGACTACCGATGAAATCAGTGATCTATCATTAAGACTAGAAGGCTCAATCAAACTTCAAATAGATAATTTGTTCAATTCAGACTGAAATCACTGTACTTAAATGTGCGCGATACAAGTCAGTTTATGGATGAAAGCTATTTCAGACAATTTTAATGCGACAGAAGTTTCGTGCTTAGTATTTATTTTGTGGAAACGGAGTACTCACAAAATTTACACGAGTGGAAGTTATGTGAAAAAAAAATCACATTCTTTTTAAAGTGCATCCTGTTTTATGAGTTAAAAAAATTTTATACTATTGTCTTCTTTTCCCCAATAGGATGGTTTTACTCCTCTAGCAGTGGCTTTACAACAAGGTCATGATCGTGTTGTTGCACATCTTTTAGAAAGAGATTCCCGTAGTCGTGGTGGTATGCCTGCCCTGCATATTGCAGCCAGAAAAGATGATGCAAATGCTGTCAGTCTTCTGTTAAATAATGCAGAAGTCAATGTCAACCATCAGTCTCAAGTGAGTTCTGTGTGACCACTACTTTTTTCTCGCCTTAGCACTACTTCTTAAACATTGTGATTAATTAATTTGTACTAATTATTATTAATTAAATACAACTCACTGCACAATAAATGGATTGATTTGATTTCAGTTGTGTGCCGTTAAGCTCTATTCAATTTACCGAAGTTTTTGCTAATATTTTATTGATCTTGACTAAACCAATGGAGTCAATTCGAATCCTAGATCATCTCACTGGTATTTGAATCTCACCTCCAGATTTTATGATATAAAACTCTGGTGTATTGAAACCACTATTCTGCTGTACATACATGCCACACACTTACACACATGTGAAAATTTCTTACTAAGTGGATAAAACCATCCAAGCTGCAGTTTTATTGTGAAACAATTTATCTGTGAATAATTGATAACTAGTTTCAAATTCCGTTCACATGGTTTATTATGATGGTTATCTTACTAGTGTTATTCAAGTTTACAGTATCATATCTACCACTAGTACTGTTTTAATGTCACAGTTTTTAATGTTATTTATACTCATCTTGTATGCAGTTTAGTTCATAGGTGTAAAATATTTTTGTTTACACATTCTTAATTACTTTGTGTATGTGTACGTTGGTACTAGTACACTTTCATTGTCCGTGAATCTATTATAATACGCTGTTATATTGACGAGTGTGCTCGTTTATATATATCCACGACCTCCATTGACATATCGTTGAAGCGATTAGGTTCATTCACTTTCTGTTACCTTCAAATGCTTCTTTTGTGTATAATTAAAGCATATCCTAATGCATTCAACTGTCAGGGTCAGAATCAGTCTCGGATTATGAGTTGTCATTCACATAGTGTGGTAAACCGTGATCAATGGAGTTTCTTCATTTTTAAAACTCATGACGTCATTATAGTTTGTATTTATATTTCTGTCATATTTATTATTATTATTTTTGTTTCTACTCATTCGCATTTTTTGTATCGTCGCTGAGTATGACGTTTGAACGGTTTTATTTTATTTTATAAAGTTCCGCCTTGATTCATCTCTATAGTAGATGTGTTCTTGAAGTGTTTACCTTTGGAAATCATTTACTTGTATGAAGAGAAGAACACACCGTACATCATCTTTTACATCCTCTTTTCTAAAATAAGTATCAAGTCCGAAAAATCTTCGTAATTGTAAACTTTTGTCAAAAGTGTTCATCATTATTCACCACTGTACCCTATTTACTAGTTGTTTAGCCTAAATTTGGGTATATGGGGGAGTGTAGTGTAGTGTAAGTTGGTATGGGATCTATGTTAGTGTTTTTCGCTTTTGCTCTCTTTTTGTTTATGCTTTCTAATTTTTAGCATAATCACATTCGCAGTGTTTACAAGAAATTTGATGAGTTTAAAAAAATTATTTTGTAGCGTCAATTTTACTATAAAGCAACTTTCATCTTTCCCTGTTTACTTTATTCGCTCATCTGCTCATGATTCTCTATCGTTTTGTTCAACAAGTTGGACAATGGAGAATACTGTCTGTAAATTATGCAGTACTACTTTAATAGCAGTTCTCTTTTGAAAAGTGTAATTAGTGTGTGCTATGTTCGTAGGGCTTAAATCAGTTCAAAACTAGTGAATTGGTGGTATATGAACTGATTACTATTATTATTCTGGTAGCAGCAGCAGCATAATTTGTTCAATTACAACATTCAGTCGATGGGTGTAAACATCTTAATAACTAGGGCTCATTGAATGCAGGCATTCATTTCCAGTGTAATAGCGTATACGATCCTTTTATTCACTGTAGTTTATACTTATGAACGAAGATGAACTGTTTTGTTTCAAAATGTGTATTATGCCTAGTGTATCAATGTCTGCATGAATGAGAGTATATCAGCTAGCATGAATCCATATCACACCACGAGTTTGGAATACCTTTCTCTTATGAATGGTGTATGAGAGTTTAGGTCATTTCAAATTAGTGAGATAAGTAATCTGATGAATATTAGCCTTGTGTGAAACGGTCATTATGCAGATAACTGTTAGATTTTCGTCACGCTCCAACATCAGTTAGAGAGATCATTAAAAACCAAGCAGCACTGGACTTTTTGTTTCGTCCTGTTTTGAAGACGCTTCAGTACTGCGCACACGCGACCCTGCCAGGGATCCAACCAAGATCGTTGACCATGCAACTGCTTTGCGTGGAATTCAGTGACGCGTGACTTCTAACTCTCAAGGATTGGTTTTGTAGGGACTTAGTTTGATTAGATGGAGGATTTCATCATGAGCTGACATCAGTCAGAGAACCATTGGAAAACCACCTGGGAGTACTGGACAGCCGTTTCGTCCTATTTCGGGGCTCTTTATCAGTACGCACCCACTGGGGTTCGAACCCAGGACCTTCTGGTTACAAGGAGGGCTCGTAAACCATTGAGCCACTGGGACCCGATCCAATTGCCCATGAATTCTAACTTCTGCCAATTCACGACATAGCGCGACCATTTCGCCATGTCTTCTTCGATGAGTTACTGCCTCATCTTCAACCTGCTGTACCCTACTGGTCACGGCTTCCCACTAGAACTCCAGGTCACTGCCTGAATAGGACCAGTCACTAATGAGCATCAGGTTAATTTTCAAATATTGGTGGGTGCGTACTGATGAACAGTCCCAAACTAGGACGAAACGGTTGTCCAGTACTCCCAGGTTTTCCAGTAGTTCTCTAACTGATGTCAGCTCATGATGAAATCCTCCATCCAATTCTAACTCTGTCAACTCGTGACATAGCGCTGCTCTCACCACTGCCTTCCATTAGCATCCACTTCACTTTGATATGGCGGACGAAAATCCGTCTAGTAGCCATCAGCGAGGTGCCTATTGATCTTCAGATTACAAGATGCTGGTTTGTGACAAAAATCTAACAGTGGGAATTAATCAAAAATCACCACAAATCCTATAATCTGACTGTTATCTTTCATGTCTTCGACATCCCGACTACCTACACTTTACGTTATCGTGTATCTGTTCGCTTTGCATTATATTTTCCGTAAATGTTGTTGTGAAATGTGAAGACTTGAAGATATACATACATATATCACTGTCGTTAGTCTTTTAAATTTGAATAACAGATGCTTTTTCCCTAACCTTTTTACAATTGATATGTTTAATTTCCTATATAAAAGACTTTTAAGTTTCTGTTTTTATTCTTAAAAGCAGTTCCGTTTCACTTTTTTTCAGCCTATGGTGTATATATATATATATATATATATATATACTAAACACTGAATGTTAACTGTTCATTAAAATTTTCTCATATATTCATCTTTAGTGATAGTATATGTTGACCTATTTTTCATATTAATCAGTGACCTCGCCTAGTGTTGTATACAAATAGGTTGGTTTACATCACTGTCTTTCTTTGTTAGATATTCATTTGGTCTTCAGATTTTTCTTATGATTCACTTTAACATAAGGAGTTTTTGACCTTTGGACTTTAGCAGTTACATGGGTGTTTCATATGGAATAAGAAAAAGATGTGTGTTTTCATTAAATGAAAAAAGTTGGTGAACTGTTAATTTGTATAAAAGTAGTTTTTAACACTATCGTAAAATGCAGAACGCAGAGCAGTCATTTTAGCTCTGGGTTTTACAAACGGACGAGTGGCGGTCTGCTTAAAACTTGGGCTACCAAAAACTTCCGAACTTTTCACCAGTCCAAGTTATTATTCTCCATGAACAAAAGGAAATGAATGGTAGGAGAATAGAGGGGACAAAAAAATGCAATGAATTATTGAATATGTAAGCTGTCTTCCTGAATGGTTTTCCTCACTCGCTGCCACCCCCTGAAATTGATGCATGGAGAAGTGTTTAACTGTAAAAGTGATTCATACAAAGTAAATTTGAAGCGGTCTGGGGAAATTTTCCCGACATTCAGTGAATGGAAAGAAGCAGAATTGTGTGCTTTTATATGCCATAGGCAGAATTGCAGGATACATATCAGATTCGGCCTTTTCATATCTGAAAGCAGACAAAAGCCTTTTCAAAGAAACCTCGAAAAGAAACGACAGTATTTAACAGCGATAGGTGTTGAACAGTCACTAAAACTAAAATCACTACCTTTAATTATCGGTTGCTGTTCTTTCATATTCCATTGAATAATGTTTATATATGAATATGGTAACTTAGTTGACTATTTGTGGCTCTTATAACTAGACTGTTTTTTCACGCAGTTTTTTGTCCTATCTTTATTTTTTACTACCAATCTGTTTTCGACTACATGTGAAGATTATGCTTTTTTCATAGAGTATCATAATTAAATGAATTTTTCACTGTTATAAGAACTGTTGTATTTCAGAGTTGAATAGTCCCATATTATTTAAAAATATTTATGACTATGTCACTGTTTCCTTTTCCTTCCCAATAAAAGCCTGGATTCACTCCTCTGCATATTGCTGCACACTATGGTAATGTGACTGTGGCACGTCTGCTAATCGATCGTGGAGCAGATGTAAATTTTCAAGCTAAGGTAAACAGTTCATGTGTTGTTTATTGATATGTATTTATTTTATGCTCACCATCGTTATAAATGTCTACGAGCTCGCCTTGTAACCAGAAGGTCCTGGGTTCGAACCCCGTTGGGTGCGTACTACTGAACAGTCCCAAACTAGGACGAAACAGCTTTCCAGTGCTCCCAGGTGGTTTTCCAATGGTTCTCTAACTGATGTCAGCTCGTGATAGAATCCTCCAACTAACCAAACAAAATCCCTACAAAAACCAATACTTGAAGAGTATTCATAATAATTTATCACTCCGTCCTCGTAGTCCAAGTGGCTTTTTATCTATGTCGGTGCTTAGCTACCGTGCTTCATAAAAGCATATATAACGATAGAGATAAAAATGCATGGAAAGTATAATAAACAGAAAAAATACGAAGGTAAAGAATAATTAATAATCAGAATTTATCAGGCTAGCGGTAGGTTCGCTCAATCTCATATCACCTGTACATTTTGGTCAATGATAATATAAGACATAGGATATTAACTAAGAAACGAAAGTCAGTCAGTGAGAATGTGAAGCTTTATCGATTGAGATGGGCGGGACACTGCGCATCGATGCGTGTTCTTCATTATTTGTTCCCAATTGTTTTCGTTATTTGTATATTTTTTTAGAATAATATCACGCCTCTACATGTTGCTGCAAAATGGGGTCGTGGTGGAATGGTTCAGCTACTGTTAAGTGCAAACGCCCTGGTTGATTGTCGTACACGTGATGGTTTAACGCCACTGCATTGCGCTGCAAGGTCAGGTCATGGAGAACTAGCTTCATTGTTAGTTAGTGCTGGTGCGAATCCATCGGCTAAAACAAGGGTATGTGTTCCCTTTTTAATTTTTTGAATAACAGTTATCAACACGTATTTATATGACTGTTTATATTAACTTTATGTCTAATTAATTCATTTGTGAATGATGTAATTACAAGTGAGATATTCTCCACTGTTTTATCATTCTTAATAGTACAACTGATTTTTAGTTCATTCGCTGACAGCTATCCTGTTCCAATGTCAAAGATTTCTCAGCTTCATTATCGTGGATATTGATGAGTATCAACTGGTGACTTGATTGTCCAAACCGTTAAATATACTTAGAAGTCATCATCAAGGCTTATTCATAAATTAGTTCTTCATTTCCTCTGTTGATTCTCTCATCTGTATTAAATGGACGAGTTAACTCATGGAAATACGAATACTTATCTTAAACAGTATATTAATTCTTCTATTCATGACAGCTGTTTTGACTAATTGACTTACATCCTTCGTCGGTGTGTTCAACATATATACAGTTCTGCTCAGCTGCCACAACTGTTTCCGACTTGACCATTCCAATTATTGTGCGTGTAGTAGTGTATCATCTCTGTCCTGTGGAGACTATGTTGGTGACATATTGTAGTCGGTTTAAAATCAGAGGTGACCACTGCTAAGTACTTAGAGAACTGTTCACTTGTAGGACAACTGCTTACTTATTCTTCTCGCAGTTTTTCACCGGTGGAAGTGTAGTGTTATGATGTGTTGAAAAGGATGTTGCTTTAAAAATGAATAAAAGCAAGCATTCAGACGAATTATTTTCACCATTATTATACATATATATATATATATATATATATATATATCAAATTAGTAATTGATCGATTGATGCTCACTGTATCATGATGGTGGTAATTGCTTTTTAAAATTCTCTTTCCAAAATGTATTATATATATATGCTTTCGTGGGTGTGTTTCTCTAGAAAAACCACAATCATTTCTAAATGTCACATAATTGTGGTGAATTATCACATGTCCCGAAGTATGTTACATACGTCACACGTTACCAAGGTAACCGATTTAGAGAATGTCTTCTCGTCTGAGTAACTTGATCCTATTTGTATGTATTGATTGATTGAGGTTGTCATAGTTACTCTGCGTTAATATGATTGTTCATATTTGTTTTTCTCCTCGTACATGAAGATAAATCATGTGTGGTAATAATTTTGCACAATAAACCACTTGGTTTTCATTCTCCTCCTGGCTTTAACTCCTGACTCTGTGTGTATATCGTAGGTCATTCACTTGTCTGAATTAGGGCTAAACAGTAAAATGTTAAAATTGTATCCTAGTAACTGGATAACTACCGTACTTCGGAAAATTAGAAAACCGAAATCAACATTTTCTTTCCTACTCCGATTTGATCAGTTTTATGTGTAATCTGTGCTTGTATGCTGACATGGATTCAACAATCTCGGGTACCAGCATCTGCTGTTTCTGTACCATTTTGTGCCGAAATGTTGTTCAGTCTCTGATTTTTGAGAAAGCACGCCAAAAGCTTTTCACTTAGCCATTACTGGGATTCGGTCATCAATACTTCGGGCATAATTCATTTACCAACAGCAATATATTGAGTTATATCCTAGTGCACGGCTATTATTCACATTAAATCGGGATAAACATTTTGAGTTATTGAATATCAGATAACTTTGTGTCGAACGTTATTTGTGGATTGCCACCATATCGCATACCGATCAACTTATTTTATTATATCTCAAGAATAAAAGGTTACATTATCTTTACGAATGGATTGTTGGTAACATGGAACTAATATCCAAGATTTTTTTATGGTGTGGTTGCCATATATTTATTAACGTATGCTTAGGACGTTACAAACGCTAAGAAATATACCATACAAAATAATCTAGTAACGATATAAATAAAAGTGAATCAATAGTTAGAAATTAACAGAATGATGAAAAAGGTAGATATGCTTCATACTTTCACTAAATTCAAACGAGCATTCATAACTTCCATACGGTTTTCAGTAGTAAAATAAATAAATAAGCGCATTGCAGCATGATCGACATTGTTTTCAACTCTGTGTTGTATCTGATATCATCGTGCATTACCTCAGTTCCCCACAGAAAAGTCTTGATGGATAAACCAATACTAATCCAGCACATCTGTTTTTGTTCTCATAATTCTATATTATCAGGCCACTAAAGTTTGTTTTCCATGAGTGGTATCTCTAGGAATAATGGCATTTGTAATATGTGTCCAAGTCACTGAATTTCGCATCCCAAGCAGGCATCATTTATTGATAGACGATTTCCACCTTGTGTAAACATATACACCGTCGGATTTCAGAACCGCTGCTACGTTATTGTCACTGGGTGACAGCAATTCTGTTAGGACAGCAGTAATTAAACTCATAAAGTCCCTGTGCCTCTATAGCCCAGTGTCTAAATTTATTATGCCTAGCCAGTTGTAATCATTATAGCAAAATATTTCTTTTTGTATATAATCTCAAGCACATATAGCTCCAAACTAAATTAAACGTTTGACTTCGTCACTGTCTTTCTTATTTAGTCGGTTTCTATGTTAGTATATATATATATATATATATATATATATATATATTATTCCCATGAGTTCTGAGTGGAACATGGGGCTTCTCTATACCGCGACCACGACCAGCTAAGTAAGGTTTAGGGAGTGCATCAATCAGGAATCGGACCCCACACCACGTGCATAGTTAGTGAATATTCCACTCATGTATATGAGCATGATTAACGCTATGAACTCTCCACTAATAAACTTAAACATACATCATAGTTGTTCGACCCCTTGAAAGAAGGATAAGCTGTCGTCTGCTTAATTAGCGTACTGGTGGTGTATTAACACTGTCAACGTGGTCGTATATATTCTGAGTTTCATAGTCGAACACAGTGAAAATAAAGACTCTGGTTCTAGCAGAATTCGGGTCAAAATTCTACCAACTGACCTACACTTCCTAATTTCACTTCAACCTCTACTGTTTGTATTTTTTCTTTTCAATGAAATTCATGCATCTTTTTTTTTTACATGTTTTTAATTTGTTAGAGTGGGTTAACACCTTTGCATATGGCTGCTCAAGGAAATAATGAAGAGGTTGCCCGAGTGCTTATCCTTTGTGGAGCAAGTGTAGCCGATAGAACTGGAGTAAGTTTAACTCAGATTTTAAAACATGCAAAATAAAATAAATTTCATCAGATTTGTTAACAGGCCCAAGCAATTTGATTTAAGTATTTGCCTCTTAAACCTAGTTTGACTTATTCTACATCTGTAATAATTTTTTTACCGCTTTGTTTTCTATCACAGTATGATTCAAATTGTCAATAGTGTGTAATTGTTTCTTTTGTATCTAATTGATATGTACAAGGCTATTTACTTTCACTATAGGCTTCGATAGTTTTCAACGCTTATTATAGTTTGCTTGTTTGTTTCCAGTGAATGCTTAATTAATCCTTAAAGGTTCACTGTGTGTTTTGTTTGTTTGTGTTCAAAACTTCGTTAACATAATATCCACCTTGATATATGTGCACGCATATTTTACTTGGTTTCGTATTAGTTCTTTCGGGTATGTATGTGTACTAATGTGTTAGTGAATGAGATAAGTAGAAACCAAGTAGAGCAGTAGTTTTTTGGCAGTGAATACTAATGAGAAATGTAAAATAATAAATTGTATTTTTGCGTGTTATATATTAGTAGTATATCTATGTCAGTAGGCTGCCATCATCTTAGGTAACGTCAATTATAATGGTGCGTTGTGCGGTGTTACTGATAAATGTGTACATTATATATTATATAGTTAGCCTTCTAGTTTTTTGTTTTATTTTAATCCGCCGTTGCTGTCTTAGTTGCGTGTTGTAATTAATGCATAGCTCATTTCTCTTTTTTTTTCCTGCGTTATTACTCTATTAATAGACAACATCTAAGAGATAGATGATGATAATTTCAGATATGCGATAACCATATAACGAGAAATTCTGCTTTATTGACTAAAGGCTGTTAACGTCAGATTTTCTGCTGGTCAGTTTATTCTATGCGTACCACTTAACTTTAATTATGTATCAACTCTAAAACTATGCAACCCAGGTTGCTTTATAACTTCAGATACACAGTTTCCAGGATGAGAAATCATTTTGAAGTAATTATTTTAGTGTAAAAAGAAAGTATGTATAGTTATGTACATAGCAGTGTAGCTTGGAACCATTATAGGAAAAATATCGAATATGTTCTCCATGTATTTTTAAAAACTTCATTGAAATGCAGCCTAGTGACAATACTCACTGGAAAAAACCAGTAGACGAGACTGTGAAATTACATCAACTGAGATGGTTAAGACATGTGATACGTATGCCTAGTCATCGCCTTCCTCGACGGGCAATGTTAGCTGATATAGGGTCAGACTGGAAAAGATCTAGCGGCGGTCAAACGAAAATATGGCATCAGTCAATGAAATCCACAACTGTTAGTTTAAATCAGCCACGTAGGAAGGTGTAGACATCCTGGTTGGGGTCCTCGGGACGGTAAAAACCAATGGTTGGAAACAATTGGTGACATGGTTCAAAATCGTTCTCAGTGGCGCAGATGCATCCACTCCTTGTGACTCATGATTTCCAATGAAACTGTTTTGTTCTTCGTTATTACTATACCTTTGTCTCAAACCTCTGTTTACTGTCTATATTATGCATTTCTCCTACTTTCTTCTCTTGCTTTGTGTGCTACATGGAGTGTGACGACTTGAACTGCCGCACATATGTGCAAAGTTCTATATCGAAAACCGACCGACCGACCGACCGGAAAAAAACAGTGACAACAATTAAATGTGCCACGTAAACCACTAGAGGTGATTGATTCATTCATCGGATGTTATATATGGGGGATATCAATAGACTTTTCATTTATCTTATGCTTGCCATTAACTTTAAATAGTTGATGTACTTCGGTCCTGGTCTTTAGTATTGATCTTTTTCTCTCATCAACTTGCATTGTATTTTGCAAGCATGGCTGTTCCCTAAATTGTTTTATTGACATGTAGAGAAAATATTTGGTGACCTTTTCTCATCTCCTTTTACAATTATATTAGTATTGTGGATTAAACCTTAGTGAATATTTTAAAACTAATCTGTGTTTAATCCGTTTTTGACTAGTACTCAGTTTTTCATGAATGATCCAATTTAAGTGATATGACTCTTATTTTCTCGTAAGTATACAAAAAGAAGTTTTCTCTTGCCAAACCAAACATTCCGTACTCATAAATATAAAAGCGTGTAGACTGATCAACCGTTGTGTGTGTGTTGTGTGGCATTAACTGGCGCACTTCAGTATTCGAGTGTGAGATGTTTCCTTTTTTCTGTTTAAATATTCCTCACCGGTATCCAGATAACGATAAATAAAGTTGTTTTTTCGGGAACACTTTGACACCTTAAAAAAAAATCTTTTTTGTGTGTAAAGTGATGTGATCACTGATAAACACTGAGTCACATAAAATTCCAATGTGGTAGTCAATTCTTTCGTCCATTGATGCTCTACGGAATGAATGTGATAGCAATGCATCATCATTACATCTGATTGTATATTGATTTTAAGTGAATTGCACATACAGATGTTATCATGACAAAACGTATATGTGTATACTTAGTCCGACGATGATGTGAACCTTAGTCACATATATTACAATATGCGAAGTAAGGGTCACGTAGAAATCGTCTTTTCTCTATTCCTTTACGTCTCAAGTGGAATATAGGGCTTCAGACTAGAGCTTTGAAGTTCCGGTAACGGTGGTATTATTTTACGAGGTGAGGTTTGTTAGTCTTACGCCCAACCTTCCCTCTGTACCGGCCTTACTACCGACTAAGTGTGAGGTTTAGGTGTGCGTCGGTCGGTGATCGAACCCCGAACCACTGACGCGTCACGTAGCAATACAGTGCTATTTTAATGAAAACTAAATGTGGAGATACGGAGTTTGTTAGTGGAAATGTTAGATGCTTTCGCAAGGTTGCTTTTTATGCAGTCGTATGTTTTGATTTCATACGACAATCGAAAACATTGAGTATGGCGATTGTGAAGCGCTTAGAGTTTAGTTGATGGACAGACAATTCTCCACTTGTCATTGAATTTTACTGACTTTTGAGCTTCAGTGTCACAATCTAACAAAATGCCTGTTTCCAGTGACGCAGAAAGTGAAATCGTAACATGACGACGAGTTTGTATCCTCTAACATAGGATCGCATTAAACTGGACTGATTAATCTGCAAAGTTATTATTATAAACCACTTTATGACTCGCTCAATTTTCCGTTTTCCTATCTAATTATTTATTTCTGTTATTTTCACTCTTCTTTTTTAAAGGATTCTTTAACTCCGTTACATGTAGCTGCTCATTGTGGAAATGCAGAAGTTGCACGTGTACTATTAGATAATGGATGTGATGTAAATGCTCGTGCTTTAGTAAGTTTCTGTCGACATATTCTTCAGTGTATGATTTATTCCACTTGTTTTATCTTTAATTCTGAACATACTTATTTCTTTTCGTTCGTGCATTGCATTATACAACTGTAAAGTGTTTAGTTGTTTTCGTCATTGATAGTCAGTGAATGCATGTAGTGGAAGTATGAGATTTAATGTATCAATGATTGCTTTGAATATTATGTGCATACTGATGATGAGTCCCGAATTGGGACGAAACAGCTGTGCAGCACTCTTAGGTTTTCCAATGGTTCTCTAACTCTGATGTGTCAGCTCGTGGTCGAACTGGTAACCAATTAGATTCCTGCAAACCATCACTTGAATATTATTGTCTACTATCTTGGGTCTATGTATTATCCTAATGTAAGTGTAGAACTTGGGCACTGTGATAGAATGTAATTCCATATTAGATAAGTTTATCTTAAGTACTACACAGTGATTCAGTATTAACAACTGGTTGACAAGGTTTCGAGCATAAATTATTGCTGCTCATAATCATATCAATTTTAGTCACACAGCTTCACAAATTGTCGTATTATCCTAAAGATAAAAATGAATGTAATTAAAATGGTCCTGAAAACCAGACCTCCAATCGTTACTCTACTGCAGGGATCTCTAACACTCCACAAGATCAGAGTTCTCAGCACTCGTGAGGAGTCAGTGCTTCTACATGCCTCATAGACTTTGTGTATACTTCACGGAAAGCATTTCCAACAGACCGCAAACTTTTATCACCAGCTGCTTTCACGCAGTACGGAAGATCAGATGGCTGGAAAAGGTAAGAAACAAGGTACTCTGGTAGACAGAAAACGAGTCAACAATCTGTCGTCCAAAAGATGTGCAGGAAGAAATGGGGATGTATTGGACATAAGCTGATAAGACCCCTGAGTGACATCAGGCATCAGACCCTCGAATGTGACCCCAATTCGAAATCCAGAGTTGGGTGCGCGAGCCTGATCTAGAGGAGATCTCACGAGGAGGTAATGACTGCATAGAACAGAGTGAAATGGAAATGTACTGCTGAAGCCCTGCGTGTTCTACACTGAACTCAAGTGACAAATGATAATGATAATAAAGGTGTTTGATTCGATTCGTCTGTTTATGTTTACGTTCTACTGAATATCACTGCGCTTACTAGTGGTCCCCGTGGACCGCTGTGTAAATCTGTTTGCAGTAAAAATATATTAGCAGCGAAACATACTGCTTCATTATGATTAGTACTGGTAATCACAATGCATGAGATATACCAGGGATACATATATTATCTTCACCGAGTGTATTTAATATTTGATTGTTATTTTTGTTCTTACTCTTACCCTCATTTTTATAATTCTTTTGTAAAATTAATCTTTTAACTGCATAATAGAATGGCTTTACTCCGCTCCATATTGCCTGCAAAAAACAAAAAATTCGTGTTATAGAACTGCTTCTACAATACGGGGCTCAGATTAATATGACGACAGAAGTAAGTGACTTTCATTCCCTCTTCTTTTTTATTTCATGTCAGAAGATAATATTTATGAGTTTTGAAAATGGGAATCATCCATTCTGTAAAGGCTCCTTTGGCATATGCTAACTTACGCCATCTCTCGCTTAGTAGGCATGATATCCGGCTGGCTGTCAACCAAAGGGCGAGTGTACTGCTGAGCAGTTCACTTTGTCCTCCTTTATGACTGTGAGACATTGACATTGAATATGGAAGACATGAAACGTCTGGTTGTCCTTTATCATAGGTGTCTGCGTTCTATCTCCCGTGTGAAGTGGTATAATAGGGTGAGCAATATTGAGTTTAGGCATTGGTCGAGTGATAGGTAGGTGTGTGGGGGGAATCACTCCATGAGGTTGTGAAGTTATACTGATTGAGATGGTTACGATACTACAATGATATTCAGTACAACTTTTGGTGTGGATTTCTTGTTACCAATATGAGCTTTTTCTTTGTATCAATTCACTACACTTTTGACGGTGATCGATTTGTTGGTGGACCAGTGTTTGTGTGTGTATGTGTGTAGGAGGGGGGCAGGTTGTGTTCCTACGATTTCTTGAAAATCGGCTTATCATAATTATAAAAGGAGTGATCCTCACGTCTTTTATATTTTCTTGATATCGTGGTTAAAGCCTAGACGGTTATGTGGAATTCAGTGATCTTTACAGATGTGTACTCTTACTCTCCAATTTCTGATGTTATCTTACAATCAGATGTTATTCAAAATCTGCCTTTTTGTCAACAGGTTGTTAACTAATTGTTTCTTTAAGTAATTACTGACAAGAGATATTGGAAAGTTTGAATTTGAATTCCACCTCGTCTCTGCATTTACGTTCTCATCTTGTTGTTATTGTTGTTGTGTGGATCAATTTTTTTTAGTTGAGATTCGCTTTACGGTCATTTTTTTGCAGATCACTACTAATGCATTGTGTCTATAAGCTTACTTTCGAATCACTTCTGAATTCACGTTCTCTACTATAACCTGTCTTAACTTTGAATTGGCGATTAGAAACTACTACAGAAGACATTTTGTAAACATTGTCTGATAATGATATACGAGTAGTTTACCACTAGTGACTCATTCTTCTGATTACTCGTAGACTTACCGAATGCGCTGCGTCGTATTACGCTAATCCAATCATATTGATACTAACATTAATGCATTTTTGAACATTTTTTCTCACACTTAAGTCATTGATATTAAATGTAAATGAAGGAATTGAATAATTGTTTTATTGAATTCACTTTCCATTGGTTTTTATTATTTACACGTCTGTCTCTGTCTGGTGAATATTTTTATGTTGCTGTTTTGTTTGACCCAACGTTCCTACTTTCTGTCGTCTTTCTTACCTATCAAGGTCACATGTGTTTTGAATATATGCATGCTAGGATAGTTGTTGCGGCCCATATTTGTTGCAGTTGGTAACACGCACGTGTACACAATTATGACTAATCTAGTTTTTAATATTTTTTTTTATATTCTACAAATTGGTTATTGGAACCGTCGACTCGTAAATAGTGTTTATGATGAGAGAGAGAGAGAGGGAGACAGGGGGAGGAGGAGTGTTGGGGCAATTATACACCTTGTCTGATGATGATTCACTTATTTTACTCCTCTGTCCACATATTTCAATCTTAGCATGTGTTTCTGAAACGTATGTGTGTGTGTGTGTGAAGTGTATGCTTAACTTATTGTTGAAGAATTTGTTAAATCTTCTTCCTAAGTTTGTAGTACAACGCGAATCTTTTATTAACGATGGTTTTTTAAAATATGACCAAGAAAGATCTATTTGAATCGACGACTCTAAGGTGTGAATCATTTTCGGTATTCTTTTTCTTTTGATGTGACATCCATCATGTTGTTGTGACGATTAACAGTATGAATTAAAGTCGACTCAGGAATTCATGCTTCAAAAGGGCACAACGTTTTTCGATATCTCTATAGATAAATGCAGATTGCAAAGAATCATCATCCTGTAGAGTTTGTTTACACAATGATTGCGACGCTTCCATTCGGATGGAAAGTAATACATTATAAGGTGTGAATACTTTCTTTTACACTGCTGAGATGGTGGCCCCTGTCTTGGTCATCTGTGTGTAAAACAAGTAAAATTCTGTTTGGTGCTTATAAATTCTTAACTAGAATAAACGCTTTTGTACCTTGGGTAAACTGTTTTTTTGTTGTTGAAGAATTGAGATTCGGAGGGGTCCATTCACACTTTAATAATACCATCTTTGTCTGCTGTGCATTATTTTATCTCGTATAACACTAGGCTCATATGACTTGATCAGATCACTATACACAGTAATTAAAATAAGTCGAAGAATTGCAGTTCTCAAGACACTCTTACTCTTATATGATGTCTTCAGTGAATATTAGCCTAGTTACATTCAAAAGTCTATTTAAATACATGCAGTTTTGATTCATGCGTATAAAGATACTCATGTATCAGGTATCTCTAACATCAGAACTGCATGCCTCAATAACATTTTTATATTCACACTCACTCACTGCTTATTGACTGTCGGAAGTCAGTTGTCTGGCATATCATACGTATGCAAATGTTTAAAAAGGTCAACACTGTTTTTCCGGGGGGAAGTCGGGAGAGTGACGTCGAGGGGAAAGAACAGTTACTAAGAATTGAGTTGGCAGAGTTTTGTAAATCCCAGTCTGAAAGAAAAAAATTCACATTTTTTACGCTTATCTGGCAGTGTCATTATTCCGCATAATTTATTGTTTCTTTTTGGTTATTTACTGTCATGTTTTCTCTTTCTTTCTCATTACTTTTTTCAATAAACAGTCTGGTTTATCAGCATTACATGTGGCAGCATTTATCGGTGGACCAGAGATTGTCCAACTGTTAATACAAAATGGTGCATTAGTTAATCAGGCTACAATGCGATGTGAAACAGCACTACACTTGGCTGTACGTAATCGACAAGTTGATGTCGCTGAAACACTTATTTATCATGGAGCGTCTGTAAATGCCAAGGCTAGAGTGAGTAACAATTTCTGTTGATATTTTTGTTGTCTTTTTTCCACTTCTCTTGTGACGCTTAAAGCTACCAGATTCAGTTTTTGTTGCTTTTCAGTTATCTTTTTTCTCTATTCAATGAACCATTGTTGTATGTTCCTCTCTGCGTGTAATATACCGCGATTATTTTTTGACGAATGGAATCTCACATATACTTGCTTTAATTGACATTCATACAACAGTATTAACGTTAGCATAAGTTGAACCCTATTATTCATCATGCACAATTTCATGAAACTAGTTTTGTTTCTTCTTCTTTTCAATGATTCATTGCTTTAGTCAGTACAGTTAAACAGTAGCGGATTTCTCTAAATTCAGATATTGTAATGACATGTTACCTAGTTTTTGGATGCTTGTGTTCTCTCTCTCTCTTTCTCTCTCTCTCTCTCTATATATATATATATATCATCTGTTAGTAAAGTTTCGGTGTGATAGTCTTGATAAACACTGGTTATTTCTTCTACCACAATTGCTGATAGTGGAATTTTGACAGATAACTTGTTTGTGCGTACACATGTGTGTATGTATTTGTGCAATATCAGGTTTTATTAGCTAGAACCTCATTCTATCATACATGACAACATACGTACACGTATAAAAGTTGAACTGCCAAACGATATGATTAACAGGTGTGTGGCAGTCATCATGGCTGAATACGAACACTGGTCCTAATTAAAATAAAATACGTGATCTCGAATATTAGAATAAAATGTGTTTCCTGTTGTTGTGTTTTTTTTTCTCTAAAAATTTTCTCTGGTGCTAAAATCTACTAAATCTCTCTGTTTCTATTACTCAGAGATCAAAGCCTCATTGTTTATACTTTTGGTCCTGTTTAACTATTGTTGAAATTTTTTTAAAACAAATGCTTAAACAAAGCCGATTAAAGAGAATGAATACTTGTTATCTTTTTCAAACTTTATTCACTGAATAAGTGTTTAAAAAACAAAACATTGACAATAGCCTAGTTGACTGTTGACACTTGCAAATTGCAGAATTTATGCTGTCTGTGTATATAGCTCAACTCAGAAAAGTCTTTCATTTTAATATTCAATTACCTTCAGTGCGTTGCCTCCACCACCACTTCATGTGTTTCTGTTACAACACCAGTCCTCTGACTGGTCCTATTCAGGTAGGTAGTTACCTGGGGTTCCAGTGGGAAGCCGTGACCAGTAGGGTACAGCAGGTTGAAGATGAGGCAGTAACTCATCGAAGACATTGTGAAATGGTCGCGCTATGTCGTGAATTGGCAGAAGTTAGAATTCACGGGCCATTGGATCGGGTCCCAGTGGCTGAATGGTCTACGAGCTCGCCTTGTAACCAGAAGGTCCTGGGTTCGAACCCCGTAGTGTGGGTGCGTACTGATGAAGAGTCCTAAACTAAAACGAAACAGTTGTCCAGTACTCTCAGGTTTTCCAATGGTTCTCTAACCAATGTCAGCTCATGATGAAATCCCGTAACAAAACATTAACTTATGTTTCAAAGGCTTATTTGAGTTCAGTTTGAAGGTAGGTGTTCGTGAAACTAATATCGGTAAAGACAAAGACACAAAAGTGCACAGTTTCATCAAGCGATCCTCAATTAAGTTGTTCTTCGTGCTCGAACTGTGAGTGTATTATGCAACTGTTGTTTTCTTACTTACTAGTCATTATCTCACAACCGGTGGGTTTGTTTTAAACCGAACAGTGTTTATGGTATTCACAAGATGCAGTCTTTGTATGCGTGCTCAGGGTAAGATTGCGGAAGACATCGACACGTTTCATGGAGCTATCTAGTTTCAACAGCATTATTCAACTGGATACCCTGTTTTCTGAATAAAGGCTTAGTATCTCATGCACACTTGTGTAGCTGTAATATAATATTTGGCTGTTGAATTCTGATAAACTTGACGCGTTATGTGTATGGTCTCACTGATCGAGAAATACTTCACTTTTCTCACATCTATTTCAGCCACCTCTACAAATTTTCAATCCTTCGCCATAGTGTAAGCAGCTTATACTTTGACATTGAATATTATTTTTGGTAGTAGCATTTACGCAACACTTGTGGACGAGCAAAACTAATCATAGAGAGTTATTGGGCACAAAATCTCATAATCTGCCAGCTACTAATTTTGAAAGTGATACCAATAGTGAATTAAAGAGTCTACTTCTGTAATCCGTCACTGATATACATATACGTCGATACGTCAAACTACTGTCTAACACATTTATAGCTACAAACCTGGCTAGAATTCGTTGACTCTATCCTGTCAGTGTAGAATAGACGCAGTTAAACCAACATTAATAAAGTTTACGTAAAACTGTTTTCCGTGGTTATTTTCTACATCTGACTAATGCTCAAGATTATTATTCAAAAGGCATGACGATGATCTGCGTCCTAGGACTTTATGATCACATTGCGATCCCAATCAATAGAGTTCTGTTGACATCCAGGACTCTGAAGTTCTTGATTCATACTCCTGTATCATAATTCGTCCGTTTGTTCAGCTCATTGCCGCATTCCGTAATACTAACATATCAGGGTATGAAAGTGTTAGTTACTTTCTGAGTGCAAGAGAGCCTTGCTGTAAGTTATTGCCTAACATGCATAAAAATCTTTCTGTTGATTGCTCTTACTACCTTACGCCATGAAGCGTCAGTAATTCACATGTATGATTGCAGATAAGAAAATTCATGGGCCCATGGCATTAGCCACATGTATTTACATAACTGTTATAATGTGATAGGACAATTAATAGTTTTGCAACAAAAAACAACAAAAACGCTTTACAAATTTCTACTTTATTCAGTTTTGCGTCTTTATCAGTGTTAAGAGGTAATATTTCTTGTTGGGTAGTTAAAGATAAAGAAAAAGTCAGGAGAAATGAGTCTTATTTTTGGTTTGCTATGATATGTGTTCAGTTTCCCAGTTATAGAAGAAACATGGAAATCACACTTTCAACATTGATACCGTTTCTTAGCCTTGTATCATGACGCATTTGAATTCACCCGTAGCCTTATAATGCACAAAATTAAAATCCCTTAACTAGGTTATTTAGAGAAGCTTGATTGAATTTGATGGATGGATAAGGTTTTTAGACTAACTAACTAACTATGTAGCTAATTGACTTGATTGATATAACCTAGGCATCATCGCACTTAATTTAGCGATCGTTATACTGTGTTTAAATAGTAGGTATTTCCAGCGAAATTATTGGGCCACAGTTAATCAGCATGTTCACTGATTATATCATTAATTATGTCAATTTTTTGTAATCATTTACTAGATGCACAACAATACTCTGCTCAGTCATCCGTTTTTCTTTTTCTATCTCAGCTGTTTTTCTCCATCTCTGTTTATTCATATGAGCTATCTGGTTATAATCTCTAATGTAAGCATTTTGAAATATGATGTGCGGTTTTCACTTTGATTCGTAATTGGGTAACTATCTTAAGCAACAGGGAGAATATATTCCAACAATAAAGCATGCTTTGGAGAATTTCAGCTGTGAGAAAATCTCAGCGACGTCTGTGTTCACTGTTCACACGAACTTCTTACAGAAATAAGAAACATAAAGACTAATATAACAGCTACATACACGCCACTTGAAGACATCGAAACAATCGACATCAGGACCATTGTATGACTGAAATCACAGCACAGAAGTCAACTAGCTCAAGTGATTACAGAAGTCTGGAAGATTATACCAGAGATATGCAATAATGAAGAGTAATTTTGTCCTATAGCAAACTGCATTAAAAATCAAGGATATGTTTATTAAATTACTCAGATTTCACATTCAACAACGTCAATGGCAAAAGCTGTCCCCCAACAACTAACTGGAATCTCCAATGATTGAGTCCTTTGATTTTCCAGTTTTACGGCATTACCATATACAAGTGAAAACAGCATAATGCAATAGTCAATTATCATACAGAGTAACCTATAGCCTATCAAGTGATCCAGTTGAAGTCTACAATATCTTAAAAATTTTGCTCCACCCGCGAATGCGGACATAAGTTTGTGGCTTTGTGTACATATATATATATATATATATATATATATATATATATGCTTTATTGTTGGAATATATTCTCCCTGTTGCTTAAGATAGTTAACAGTTGAACTTTTATGGATTTCTTTTAATATCCCCACTTTGATTGTCTTACACAAAAATGTATTTTGCTGCTAATAGTAAATATTAATATGATTAGCACTCAGTGATGACGCAGTATAATGGATACCTTAAGAACAGTGGGAACAGTTTCAACAGCTCTATTCATTTACAGTCTGTTTATTACCTCTGAGCAGTTTTTTTTAAAAAATATTCTCAGTATATATTGCGTGATTTGTGATTTTTGTAGATTTATCCATTGATAGGTATATGTAAATGTATGTTTTGTTCAGTCAGAACACCGAATCTACTGACAATAAGTAAACCAGGTTTTTAGCTTATAACTGAATATTCTCGTGTTTTTTTCCTAAGTTTAATTAATTTTTTGTGGTCAACCGTATTTCTTAACTAACTTTGGATCCTCACATCAAGTTGAACTCTTCTCTGTTAGTGCATCCTTATGGTTGCAAGCATGTATGTGTGTGTATAAAATATTTTTAGTTGCGATTGATCTTTGATTGATGCCCGTTAGAGAACCATTGGAAACCATGGTGCACTGGGAACATGTTTCGTCCTAGTTGGAAACTCTTCATCTGTAGGAAACCGCAGCGGTTCGAACCCAGGAGGTAGGTGCATACTGCCGCAGAGTCCCAAAATAGCTATCCAGTCCCACACTGGTTTCCAGTGGTTCTCTAACTGGCATCAATCTGTGGGCAAGCTTGAAACAAATCAAATCCCCACCAACATATTTATTACTGGAAATTTTCGGTTGAGATTTCAACGAAAATATCTCTTAGGCATAAATTTCTTCTAGCTATATAATTAGCGCGAAAGAAATGAGAGCGTCATTTTGTGCTTATTATAACTATCAATAATGCATGGAAAAAGGGTTTGTACATAGAAGAATATCGTATTCGTTCTGTTTTCCTCATATTTACCCACCTAAATATTGAGTTGTTTGTAAAGGTCTCAGTAATTTTCGCCCACGTCGACTGCCTACGACTGCTACAGATTCGTTACTAGTATGGTTGGGCAAGTAATACCACATTTTCTATATCCTCGAAGTTGGCAAATCATCCGATTTGAGTGCGAAATCCCAATGATTTGTTTCCAGATGCTCTAACCTCGAGTAGACAGTTGTGATAGAACGCCGCATTTTACTTGGCTTACATGTTGTCTATTCAGCCTATAATATGTACTGAAAGCATTTCAACGTCGCAGTCCCACTAGATGTCCTTCTTTGACCACTTTGCTATTCTCCCACCAGTTTATTCATGGTTTCCTTTCTTCAATTTGTATTTCTGTTATACTATTCGATGAAAGTGAGGAGAATTTTGTGAATATCTGATTAACATCTGTCCACCAGTGAATAGTTCACTTTTGTCTTCCACATCATAAATAAATATCCACAGTTGGTTGACATTTTCACTATTTTTTCCTTGTTTTTCCTACAGTATCTTGTTTCATTATATATGTAACGTGTTCAACTGATATTTGTGTGTACGTGTGTGTGTTGTGCCCATTTGTTTCGTAAAGTCGCCTGACCTTTTTAGTTTTGAATTATGTAAGGGAGTTTTCCTAGGCTGTCACCAGCTCTGATATCCTCTCTTTGCATAAAAATGTAGTGCTACTAAAATGTGCATTAATGGGAGAGAGACAGAGCAGTTGAACAGTATGCGTCAGTCGTTACCTCTCAATACATTGCAGATGTATTGTGATGTATGTATCTGTGTGCATGTTTTTCCGACAATTATAAACTTAAGTCAGTGACGATGATGTTGTTGCTAATATCTTTCTATATAAGTGATGAATAATGTTCCTCAGAATATACTTTATGAATATCCCCATGTATATTGAGCCTGTCTAATGCTTAGCTGTGCACGCTACAAGTAAGAACATAAACTAACGTCAATAGGGGAACTGTTGAGAAACAGGTAGTACTGAAAAGCTGTTTTTTTGAAGTTAAGGGTTCCTGAGTAGTACGCACCCACCACTCTAATCGAGTTCATCTTATATATATATGTATATATATATATATATAATTTTTCATTGCGTGTTTTAGGTGTCTATATTTGTTTAAATAGTTAAAGCAATAATAAATAGTCTTTATTTTGGTAACTTAAAATCCATTTTCTCTAATTCCCTTTCTTTCCAAGTTGAACATAGGGTTTCAATGTTGATTTTTAAAGTTTCAGTGGCGATAATGGAGTTGCTAGCCCAACCTTCCCTCCATACTAGGCTTACTCTACCTGTTAAGCGAGGATTAGAGCTGCATCGTCCAGGCATCAAACCGTGAACATGTGCGTAGTTGGCGGGCATTCTCCCTATGAACCACTGACGAACTACTACATGCATTGACATTTTATATTCTGCGTTGTGTTTTCATATGACCTTTATCCCAGTTTTTACCTAAATAGGCATGCTTAGCTTCAGTCGAACAGAATAGATACAGTTCCACACAATAAAGAGATAGAATGCTGGAAAATGTAGTAGTGGAAGAGGTCCTTGCTTTTGTGAGGCATGTTAATTTGTTTTTCTGTGGAAATTGTTGAATCATTCTCAAAACTTTCAGTATACGAGATAAGAAAAAGTTTGCTAGCTTTATTTGATAATTCAGCTTTTTTGTAAACGTATTATGAGTCGATATTTATGAATCTCATGGTTGGTCATTAGACTAACTATTATTTCAATCAATCATTAATCATCTTTCGTGACAACAATAGTCATGCATTGCATGACACATGCCAAAACCATGAGAGTATGGTTTCGCAAGACAAGGAAGGGCTGCATTATCCCTCTGTCTTTTTTTTTCTTTCTTTCTTACCCCTCCTTCTCAACCATTGTTAACTCTATGAATAAGCTGTCGTTTATATTTTATTAAAGGATAGCTTTTTTGTAATATATTTTGTGACAATCGTTGGCCTATATTATTAATCTGCAAGGACTGACTGCTCATGTCGCCAACCTGTCATCCTACATTCACCTTTGCATAACTTAAAGACGTTGGTTTTTTTCACTTTTGCTCTAGTCAAAGAAGATTTTAATCCAACCTCGTTATTACTCTAGTCTGTTGGTTTTGATTAAATTTATGCAGTTTTATGGAGATGCATATTCTAGCCAATTTTTCTGTAAATCACATGTTGATCAGAATGAAGTTGAAGTGTTTTGTTTTAACAAAAAAATGTTTTTTTTTTTAAAGCCATTCACTATCTTGATGTATAGAACGCTAATGCCACATAGTCTTAATCCAAAATAAAGTAGATGCTCAGTCTTTTTTTAAAATTATCTTGCAGGCGTTCTTTAGGATTGTAATTCATGAACAGGCGTTCCAACACATTTTACCATTCTTCCTTTAGGTTCTGTATCGATTTTAGGTCATGTCAGTATTCTAACTAAGGCTCAGTCAACATATCTAGTCTGTGTAACTATGTTTTGCTAATCATTCGGTTTGTTTAGTTGTAGGCATTTCTTCTGTCATTCTTTTAATATGTAAACATGTGACACTGTAGAACCCAAACTAGCGAGATCTGCTGTTTGACAGCACTGATAAGATTCTTTTTCAGTTCTGTCAAAGCAAATCAATGTAATTGTTTTTTTACGATTTCTCAATATATTTGTCATTTTTCAATTATGCTCTGTTTTTAGGATGAACAAACTCCTTTACATGTGGCATGTCTAACCGGGACGCCTGAATTAATCTCTGTCCTGTTATCTTGCAAGGCTAATCCTAACCTGCCAGCTCGGGATGGTTATACAGCACTGCATATCGCTGCAAAAGAAGGTCGCCATGATATTTTGGGACAACTTTTGGAAGCTGGTGCTGATATAAATGCTCGTACAAAGGTTAGTTCTCATTCCCTCTTTTTTTATATTGTGTTTTTATGCCCACCCTTTACTGAGTTATTTATCGACTCTATCTGAATAAAGTACACCTTGGCCTTTTTGGCACTACATATTTAGTTTTCTGCTGTAAGAAATAATATGTGAAACTACCTTGAAGCAATCTACAGTCATTCGCGTTTAGTATTACCATTATTTTATCTTAAACTGGTTAGATACATGAATAAGACTGGAACTAGGTTTCTTCTACCCCTAACTGAAGTGAGTTCATGGTTGTGAACTGCTGAGTTTTTTCACAAACTTATGATTACAAATATTTAAGTAATTTCAGTTATCAGTCATCCATCCACTTGTCATAAATTCATTGTATATATTAAAATGACCTAAAATGTTATCAGTGTAAAGTGAAAGCTTTATTCAAGCAAATGATCCACATCTCTTAGGGACTTCGGTGACGCACTGAATTTAGTCTTTGTGGGGTTATTTATAAGTAGTCTCCCCTGAATACTGTATTAATTTACACCTATTGGTTATTCATTGAAAGTTTGTTAGTTGTAAGTCATATCATTGGTTTAAGCACTTGAAGTGTAGGCAGTGGGTTTCAATTTCTAGTCTCGCTCCTCCTCACATGTCATCACATGATGGGCGTGGCTCATAGCCTGTTCCGAGTAATTGAATCCAAACTAAAATCAGTTCCTTTTTTAACTTATCGAAACTCTGAAGTATTGGATTTGTAGGGATTGTGTTTGATTGGTTGGAGGATTTCATCATGAGCTGACAGCCAGTTAGAGAACCGTTAGAAAACTTGGAAGTGCTGGACAACTGTTTCGTCTTAGGGACTCTGGGTTCGAACCCCGGTGGTGCATACTGATGAAGAGTCCGAAACTAGGACGAAACAGCCGTCCAGTTGTTCTCTAACTGATGTCAGTTCATGACGAAACTCTCCAATTTATCGGAACTCTGTTGGCTCTACGATATTCATATTTTTACTATACAAGAAACTCTGATATCTGGTTTATTTTCTCAAAATAATGAGTAATTAGTTCAATGTTTACGTTGGTGGAGATGTTTTTTTGTTCTTGAGTTATTGTCAATTTTGACTCTTTTTTTTCTCTCAAATTTACAGAAGGGTTTTACAGCCTTGCATTTAGCTGCTAAGCGAGGTCAAGCTAAAGTGGCTAAGCAGTTGATTTACGCTCAACCCAAAAGTGTCAACGCCACTGGTCAGAATGATTTGACCCCATTGCATATAGCGACACATTATAATCGTCTACCTGTTGTACAATTATTGCTTGATAGTGATGCACAAGTTGACTGTCGAGTAAGTGACTAGTTATTTGATTAGTTTTTTGTATTTTTTTGTATCAATCCGTTCTTTATTCTCCCGTTATCATCTGGTAGCAAATCTTCGTTTTTAGCTTATGGTCTTCTCCTAATTTTATAATATTTCTGTTACACTAAATGTGCATTGATAAATTCTCAGGTCACTACTTCTCTGTTATACTAACAAAAGCGTTTCTTAAACATTCGGTAGAAACAAGTGTTCAACGACTCAATAAATCATTAATTTATTTGAGCTTTGAACAAGTAGACATATTTTGCGAATAATCTGCATAGTTCGAAGATATTTATCCATCGAAAAGGTAAATTGTATCACTGCTGCTATCATTCTTTTTGATTTCGTTGTGTATGTGCGTTCTTTCATGAGCATTGAAGAACATTCATCAGTCGACAAGTATTCTCCTGCTTCGTGACTTTAGCAGGGTACCACCTTTGATATACAACTCAGGTTACCTAAACTACCTATCTTTTATTCCTGCGTTTAAGCGTAATAACTTAAAGTCGACTTTCTTGAATGTGTACTTTCTTGGTTAAAAAGAAAAGGTAAAATACACAAAATCACCATAAAATCTTGTAAACGTGAAATTCTTTTGTCATGTTTCTTTTTTATTTATAAATAATTAATACAGTATTTACACACACATGACTACTTCTTTGTGCACATGACTTAAGTTGTATGATTTATTTTCTTGGCAGTATAACTTCTTTCTTTCTATATACACCACTATGACTAAACGGTCTCTCCTCCCCCACTCATATTTTTGGTGTTAAAAGTCAAATGATGATATTCACACTTGTATTCCAATCGCAACACATGATACTCTATTCTATGACTTGATTGATTATAACTCATACTGAGCGTTATAGTCACTATTTCTCATTATTCTACACGCCCATTGCATATGTTCATACAAGTGTTCCTACTTGTCAACAGGTGGTCAACACTTGATTATTAATATTATTCATTTGTTCATTTGACGGTGAGCACAAGGGAAAGGAAAGAGAAAAGAAATCAATATGTTTTACACGACTACTGGTTGTATTGCTTCACAGTCAGAAACTTAGGGGATTACTGTACACATAATCTGCCTGTCTGTTTTCGACATAGAACTTTGCACATATGTGCGGCAGTTCAATTCGCTACACTCCATATAGCACACAAAGGAAGAGAAGAAAGTAGGAGAAATGCATAATATAGACAGTAAACAGAGGTGTGAGACAAAGGTATAGTAATAACGAAGAACAAAATAGTTTAATTGGAAATCACAAGGAGTGGACGCATCTGCGCCAGCTATTGAGAACGATTTTGAACCATGTCACCAATTGTTTCCAACCATTGGTTTGTACCGTCCCGAGGATCCAAACCAGTCAGGAAGTCTACACCTTCCTACGCGGCTTAGACTAACTGTCGTGGATTTCATTGACTGGTGCCATGTTTTCGTTTGACCGCCGCTAGCTCTTTTCCAGTCTGGCCCTACATCAGCTAACATTGCCCGTCGGGGAAGCCGATGACTAGGCATACGTAACACATGTCTTAACCATCTCAGTCGATGTAATTTCACAGTTTCGTCGACTGATTTCCCCTCCTTACCTAGCACTCGACGCGTAACCCCAATATTGCTCACCTTATTGTACCACTTCACGCGGGAAATAGAACGCAGACACCTATGATCAAAGACAGCTAATCTTTTCGTGTCTTCCGCTCTCAATGGCCAGGTCTCACAGACATAAAGGAGGACGGAGCGGACTGCTGAGCAGTACACACGCACTTTGGTCGATAGTCGGATATAACGTATACGCCATATATACACACATAATAGAAAAAAAGGAGATTGACATAATGATTAGATTTATTAAGGCGGTTAAACAAACAACGTGAATGCAAAAAAGTTGGGATTCTTTTAAAAAAAGTTCTTCCTGAATATATTTCTTCAGTATGTCAGTTTACATATTTAGCCCTATTTCAGGTTTTTATATTGTCCTTTACATTTCTGGATTTGGAAGCTAGTTATTTTTTACTTTGATAAATGGTCTAGTCACAACACCATCTGTTTTCTTTTCAATCGATTTGTTTGTCATGTTTTGTTTTGTTATTAAGACTTCATGAGATTTCCTTTCTCTTCTTTATTTATTGTACTCCTTCATGCTAGGCTGGCAACGGTTATACAGCATTACATATGGCAGCCAAACAAAATCACCTAGATATCGCCACACTTTTACTGGCTCATGAATCTGATCATGTACAAATCGCCAATGCATTCTCACGCAGTGGTTTTACACCGTTACATTTAGCTGCACAAGAAGGTCATACTGATATGGTCTCTTTGTTATTACAGCATGGAGCTGATCCAAATCACCAATCTAAGGTATGTTTCCATCGATATTATAACTTGCAGTGATTCATCTATTTCCTTCTGGTTTTTCTTTCGATAAAATGTGAGTCACCACGGAGTAGTAAGTATTGCTGATGGATGGATGGTTCAGTGGTAGAATGTTCGTCGTCCATGCGAGAGAGCTGTGTGTTCCCTTCTCGACCAACAAACCTGTTGAACCCCACCTATTAGCGTGAAAACACACTCCACCATCACATACCTCTAGTGAATTTTGAAAGCTTAAAGCTCTATACTCTAGTCGGAACGCAAAACGTATTTTAAAAACAAAAACAACAACACAGAATAGTCGGGGCTTTACTGGTATGTAGTTTTTTTTAGAAGAATCTCTTTCCTGAAACTAATGACTACTACTACTAAAAGCCGCAAAGTAAATGGTGTGTGAAACGACAAAACAGCAGTTGTATGACTTCTTAGTTGAAGAAAATAATGAGCGCATCATCATTCATGGACACCAGTGAGTTGACTGAAGAAAAGGCGGAATAAATGTCCAGGGGTATCAGTGCTGTTTGCTATTCTTTAAATATGTTCTGAAGGCTGTTTATAATAGGGATATTTTAATAGATGTCCAGCGTTACCAACAGACATTACAGTTTATCATACTTCTCGTTTTAACCGATCTCACTCACTATTTAACAATCTTTTCTCCCAGCAGCTTATATTTGCTTGTTTAATTTACAAATGATACTAGTTAGTCAGTGACGATGTGATTCACCAAATCGAAAGTACAGTCTCTCTCTCCTTAGCACTTGTGTAGATATTTTTAAGAAGTTGGTGCTGTCAACAGGAGGGCAAAAATTTTCAACATTGGTTCTGAATTTTCTCGTGATTGAGCCTGCCGAAGAAGCAACATTTTTACTGACATGTAGAATGATGGTAAGCGAGAAACCCTGAAGGAGAGAACAACAAGATTCCAAGGAAGTATAAAACTATGTTGACTAGATTTGAAGTTGTCATTTTTGCACACACAAAAAAAAACTGAACTGATTTTTATGAAAGACTTTACATGATCTTGTGATCTAAGTTTATGACTTTCACCCTTCCTCCCCCTCCCCCCGTCATTATTTATTTTAGAATGGTCTTGCACCATTACATTTGGCAGCACAAGAAGATCACGTTTCAGTGGCACAAATTCTAATATCAGCTGGTGCACAGATCAGTCCGTTGACAAGAGCTGGTTATAGTCCATTGCACACTGCATGTCACTTTGGACAAATTAATATGGTGCGGTATTTATTAGATTTACCCAATGCACCTGATATTAATCAACGCACTCAAATGGGTTTCACACCATTGCATTTAGCTGCACAACAGTGTCATTCACAAGTGGTTCGTCTTCTCTTAGAAATGGGTGCTGACAGTAACATTAGAAATCAGGTTGGTGATGATTGTTACTTAATGTATGCATTTTCTCTTTTCAGATTGTCTGTGCATGATTAATCGTGATATTTTTTAAATATTCAGTCTATGCAAATACTCTTTTTTCAATATTGAGATATTCACTGTTTTTAACTCAGCGGTTCGAGTGATGAAACGCAGAAGATTTATGTAACGCAAGCTGTGTGACTTAGATTAGCGTACTGACTGTGTCGTTGCAACCGTATACTTCACTTGAATCTCAAGGGACGAATAATTTTAATGTCGATTTGCTGGTGTTTAGCGTCTTCTGCAAGGAGGTGAATCACCTCATACTTTGTCTTATTTATGAATGTCTCACACAGTATGATGATACTTAATTACACATTTAATTTTATTTTAAGTCACTGTGTAATAATATTATTATTACTTGAAAAAATCACAATGAATCGGTGAAATTTACCGCTTAAGTTATTGGCACAATCTTATTATTATTGTACAAGGGAAAAAGTTAACTGTCCAGGTTTTTACTGTACAAAGTTGGAAAAAAATGTTTATTTTTGCAAAACAAACGAGTACTTGGTGTAACGGTATTATAGTACATGTAACACTGATGACAGTAATTTAGTTAGTTAGTCCCTACAAGATAGTCTAAATAGTAGATGTTTTTTTTCACTGCTACAGCTGGTGCCAATATGTCCTTGTACGCTTGTTACAGTTGGTGCTATTTTCGGCTAACAGTAATAAAGTTTTACTTGAAAATGTGTGTATTATTATTATTAAAGTGATTAATGGTAGATACCTCACTGTCGAAATTTCACAACATTTACTTGTTAGCACATATACGTGTACACACAAGATAATGTATGTCTAAGGTTACTCGAAATAGTTCATATTCAATAATTCAGATGGTAAATAACTGTTTGGTTTATCATGATTGAATCTGAAATATTATTCAGTTTAGTTATATATGCTATTAGTAAAGGTCGGATGAAGAAAACACTATTAATATAACAGGATTTTGTGCGTGTATGCATGAAGCGTTAGATAAAGAAATATCAGATGGTTGGAGGCAATCGGCAGGAAACCCAGCCTAAACTAGGTTTCGTGCTAGTTGGCACTCGTAAGCAAGGCGTATCTGCAACCTTGAAGGAACTCATGTCCCTTCTGAGATTCGAACCCGCGTCACCCAGTGCTGCAGTCAGAGACGTTACCACTGAGCTTTTCGGGACATGGGTTCCTTCAAGGTTGCAGATACGCCTTGCCGATTAGTGCCAGCTAGCACGAAACCTAGGTCCAAGGCTTCCTGCCGATTGCCTCCAACCATCTGATATCATCAAATCAATGTGCACCGTGATGGCGAGCTACCTAGAATGGTGGCCATATTACAAACCTGACTGATAGAATTCAGTCTGCACCAAAGAGAGGACTAGAAACATCACACTAGTTACTAGTGTCAAGTCAAAATATAAAGAAATGTGTTCATCGAAGAGTCTCTTTTCGGCGAATTCATTTTCACAACTGTACGATCGCAAATGTATATGGTTATTTTGTATGTGTGTGTACGTTAAATTTGTCAAACGAAAATACAATTAGTAAGTTCAGATGAATTGGATGTTGATATAAGAGAGAAGTAACAAAAGTGATGAGTTGTCACAAACGCGTATCCTGTCAAAAAGGGTCAAAGAACATTATCTACCGTGGCTACAGAAAGGAAGTAATGGCTGCATAAGGAGTGCAATAATAGAACACCTCGTCAACACTGGTCATTCCATCTCAACAAACGCCTCCTTCAAAGTAATTTACAAAGTGAAGAACAATCTTCCAAAGACAGTACGATTCCGTCTTCTTTGCATCTCAGAGGCCCTAGCCAATAAGCTAGAGGAACCAGAACTGTGCATACAAAAGAAAATTATTCAACCACTTCTACTCCCATGGTAACAACTGTGTTGATTTGACTTAACTTTTATTTGTTTGTTGGTTTGATTTGGCTTACCTTTTGTTTGTATGCTTATTTTTCTACTCAAAACCCATGTGTAATTCGGTATATTTTGTTTCCATGTAAACCCTGAGTACAACTCTTTCATTAAACTATTAATGTCATTACGTAACTCTTCTTTAACAATCGTTTGTGACAACTCATCGCTTTTCTTACTACTCTCTTATATCAACATCCAATACCTCTGAATGCTTTTTGTATAATGTAACTCCACCAAAAAGCTTACTAATTGTATTTTCACCTGACAAATTTAACGTACACACACACATACAAAATAACCATGTATATTTGCGATTGTACAGTTGTAAAAATGAATTCGCCGAAAAGAGACTCCTCGCTGAACTACTGGTCTTCTCTCTATCAATGTTCTAATGGGGATTTTTCATGAAAGAAATATGAGAATAACAGTGATGACAGGATGCATACAGTGTTTCATGTAATTTGGTGATTCCAATGACTATTGTTTTTTTTTTCTTTTGACCATCGCCTCTGTAGTTTGAAGTATTCTGAATCAGATCGCTTCTAGCAAACAACCATTCGAGTATGGATATTATTATACATTTACTTGAAGTTATTTAATTGCAATGTTTTTTTCCGTTACAGTAATCCTTTAATTGATTATATGCTGAAAGTAAGCGATTCAACTTTAGGTTGGATAAACATGTTGTGTTGTAAAACAGTAATCCCAATGGATACCAGTGATTGGCTATTAAGTGCTTGACACGGGTTCATAGTTCGAGAGGTCTCTTATTCTCCCTGACTTTTAACTCCTGTCTAGAATGGTAACTGGAATTATAGCAAGTGTATGTGATATTCTAAGGCATGGAGACGTTTCGAGTGTGTTTGTATAGTTTTATGATTTTGTGATATGTCAAGTTTCCTGAGCTATTCAGTGGAATGAATATCGTTAGTTTGAGTAGTTTGCTGTACAGTCACACGAGAATAAAGACTCTTTCATTCGGGATAAATCAACTGCCTATTGCCCTATGATTTCAGAAACCCAAATCATTTCGTTTGAAAAAATGAAATCCCTACAATATACCTTCTGAGTGTGGGCATTCGTTTACTAGGTGGTATATAGATAAGTATAACATATAACTGCGTATTTTTGTGTTTTGGATGATCGTATATAAGCTAAAGATGATTTCTATTTTTTTCTTTTTACACAACACAGATATTAATTTATGGTGAAACTCACACACTTCTCTCTCTCTCTCTCTTGTTTATCTTATTTGTTTCATATTGAATTATAAACTACAATATGATATTTATGGGCAATGTTTAACTCCTACAGCAAGGCTTAACACCAGCGCACATAGCACGTAAACAGCACTATGTTACAATATTCGATATATTGAAAACTGTGACTACAACTGTTGTCAGCTGGGAAGAGGAACGCGAAGAGTTCGATCAGACTTTGATGCTGGAACATCCAGATTTTATGCGTGAACATCCATTTACTGAATTCGACGAAGATGGTGTTGGTGAGTATTTTGAAAATGTATTTGGTTACACTGATTCCTTTATACATATATATGTCATGCATCTTGTGTGTTTGCGTAACCTTTACTTCTTCCCACCCACCCCCCCACCATACATCATTATTATCGCACTTTAGTATTTCCATTGACTGTCAAACTTTAACACACACACACACACACAATGTTGTATATTTTACGTAACAACTCAATCAAATTCTAATAATTTTCGTCTAAGTTGGGTAAAGAATTGTTCCATTCAGTCGTCGAATGTCGTTCAGTATCATTCGTCTTTGAACTAGAAATGTTTTCCAGTCTCCAAAGATCAAAAAACCACTAATGTTATGTTGACACTCTCCTTATTCAGTGAAGACTTGATACGAATGAAGTTTGATCGATCTTTCTAATCAGTATTATAAGTCATGAAGTTATGTGTGCCTATGTTTTAAACTAGAGAGAAGTCGGTAATTCAGAGTGAATCTTACTGCCGAATGCAAAAAAATCTTAATCAGTCATACAGTTGAACTGGGGCATATACTCCTTAATAAGATAAATATGGCGGCATACTGAAACATATTTGTCCCTCTGTTCTTCTAGATTTTACTACTTTCCTGGAGGTTTACATATGCCTTTTCTTTTACTCTCTTTCGTTTCGCCTTAATAAATAAACAGTATCAAATGGGTTATATGACAATATACTGTATGTAGTGATTGAAGTAATAACATGAGTTGGAACCAGTTGCAGAGTTTGTTACTCCCTTCAGTTTAGAAATATACATATAAGTCCGTGTGAACCAGTTACCAAAGCTTTTGGGGGCTTTGACAATAAAAATAGATCTTTCTTCTGTGTATATACAAGTTTAGAGAAATAATAGTGTGAGTCACATATCAATAGTTTTGCTAAGTAGTTTGGTGTTTATATTTGTCCAGACAGACATTATAATCAGTGTTTGTGTGTACTGCTCAGTGCACTCTTATATTTTAAATCCTATTGGAATTACAATAGCTATTATTATTATTATTATTATCATTATTATAATATATGTCCAAACCAAGTTCACTTTTAACAGTTTGAAAAAATTTGAGCATTGGGCAAATGATATTCATTATATATAACATTTGCATATAAGAAATAACATGAGTTCAGCTCAGAGTAAACAAAAAAAGTTGAAGTTAATCAATGTTTCTCTGTCGTTAACACTTGAGATGTAATCACAACTCAGTTCATCTTAATCGAATTAATCAATAAATTCAATATTTTAATTTATTCTATGTGCTTGATGTACTGAACTTTTAAATGGATTTGTGATTAAAACTTGCTCTGAGTGATACTAGTAATATTAAGTAAATTGCAATTCAGATTTGTTCATGAATTGAGGCTAGATCATTTAGAGAACTGTCAGAGAGTATGCTCGGACACCAGATTGCTTTTTACTGCCAGTGAAAAGTTTGGGCATTGTGGAATAGATCAAGTGCGTTTTTGTTTTGGTGGTATTGTGAGCAATATTACTGCCCGTGATCACACCAGCTGTTGGAATTTTTATAAATTTTTTTTGTTTTTACGAGTTGATCACGGATTGATATCAGTTAGGAAACCATTGAAAACCAGGGAGTACTGGACAGCCGCTTAATTCTAGTTTGGGAATCATTGGCAGTACGCACCCACTGGGGTTCGAACCCAGGACCTCCCAGTTACAAGGCAAGCTCGTATACCATTCAGCTACTGGGATCCGATTCAATGGCCCATGAATTCTAACTTCTGTTGTTGTGATCAACGGTAGTGATATTGCTCGCAATATTACCAAAACAAAAACTTATCATTGTGTGTAGACTATTGAAATATAATTTATTTCACCGGATAGCATGTTTTGCTCTTGGACGTTGTCATTCATAACTTTACCAGGGATCAAACTGAAAACTTCCACGATCACTATATGAACTCGTGCACTTATTATTTAATTAGTTTTCAACGAAACACTGTGTAATTCTTGAAGGAAGTAAAGAAAAGGCATAGAGAATTGGTTCTGTATTCATATACAACTATGTTATGTCACATAATATACTTCACACTGTCACTTTACATGTAAATCCTATAAGAAGACGAACTATTTCGAAACACTGAAAATTTCTGTACTGTGTACACATATTTTATGAAATAAAGCCTTATTATTACTGTCATATATAGTCACGTGATTGCTGCAGATCAGTAGTGTTGACTGAAGACAACATGTCTTAATATATGCTTCTCAAAAGACTAAGGTGTTAGCATTGTTTAAACTTATTGATCGGTAATTTTGACTCATCTCCAAATTCGGTTGCATAACACTGGGCTAGGCGTGTGAAAATGCGTAACACATTTATTTTTGTAATAGACAACGGAAGATTTTGTTTAATTCGATAGTTTTAATCGTTCTTGCATAAACTACAGATGTCGTTCTAGCGACTTGAAATTATGTACTGAACGTAAATCCCAGTTATTATTTTATAAATTATTCTGTTTTAATTAGATAATTTTATCATAGTGGATTATTATTATTATGCTTATTATTAGAATCTCTCATTCTTATCTGTATATTTAATTGATTAGAATAGTTACACGTGATACTTCTTTTGGATGGCTCATCACGCCATGCTTATTGCATATTTTTGCAATTCCTCATTTTTTAGTGAAGAAACAGTACTTACCCTATAAGATATATTTCATCATATACTATATTAAATATTGAGACAATATGCCTACGATTATATTGCCTAGATTTATATATTTAAAAAACATGAATCTATAGTGATAAGGCATCTGAAGCTTCAAAACACTGGACTATGATAATGCAGTATTAACTGTTTTTTTTCTTTCCTTCACGTTGCCAGTGGAACATATGGCACCTTCTAGCTAGTGCCTTGAAGTTTCTGTAGCAGTGTTTAATTTTTACAGGATGGAGTTGCTAGCTTCATGACCAACCTTTCCTCTTTACCAGCATTCTTTCTGGCTTAGCTAGGTAAAAGAGTGCGTCGGCCGGGGATTGAACCCCGGACCATGTGCATGGTCCGCGAGCAACCTAACCGTTATGCCACCGACGCAGTATTAACTATACTGTACAGATAAAGGATTCGTTAGGTTTAGGCAGTAATAAGATCAAACCACATTAAATATTAATTAATCTTATACAGTATTGTAATCCCACAATAAATAAATAGTATTACTTTACGTTTACAAGAGAAGTGTGAAATACAATTCGAAGCTGTTATTCACCCAATTATGCAATCATTTTTGTACGCCAGTATTCCTTATTTTTTCCTTTAATCAACAATGTGGAAAGTGAACATGAATTGGGATGTTTATGGGCAATAATAAGTAAATATAAGTGAGTAAGTGAAATGATGCATAATGCAATGGCGGAGGATGGGTTAAAGTATCCCTCACAGTCGTGAACTATGCTTGGAAGAGATGTGTAGATATGTGACAGGGATGTGTCCAAGTCATTAGAATTTGTTATTTGATTGTAATTATATTATTCTATAGTTGTATATAGTAGTGATGACCCCTTTAGTCGGAAATTATGTTACATATTTGATAATGTGTATATATAAGCTTGCCTTGTAACCGGAAGGTCCCGGGTTCGAACACTAGTGAGTGCGTACTGACGATATATGTGTATATATATATATATGTTGTGTGCGTTGGTGGCACAGCGGTAAAATGTTCGCCGACTCACTCATTTACGTCGCTAAGCCAGTAATAAGACTGGTGAAGAGGGGAGTTTGGTTATGTGGTTAGCAACCCCATCCCATAAAAATAAACACCACTGCTACAGAAACTTCAAGCCTGTAGTTTGAAGCCCTATATTCCACTGGGAACGTAAAGCAATAAAAATAATATATATATTGTACGTTATGTTGTACAAATTATTTACCTACATTTTGTTTACTTATTACTTTGTTCGATTAAAACAGCACCCTCACCGGCTATTTCGCACAAATTGCCTAATAAAAAAACAAAAACTAGTGAGGATAATTTGGCTTCATCCGATATGTCTGATCAAAAAAGTAAGCTCCTTCATTATTAGTATTATTATTTCATTATTTTTTTTAAACTAAAAAATTGTTCACACTATTTAAGATGTTAACATGGATAAGAGAAGTGACTGTATTATGGTATTTTGATTAGAAATGTGTCCTGCATTAGGGGGGATGGTGTTGTCGTTTGAACTTTATCCCTTTCTAATTGAGTGTTAATGAAGTTTTTCTTATGGGATTAATAGGGAATGCATATCATTCTAGTCTTGTACTACCTCAACTTTCCACAGTTACCTATCACTGCTTAACACTAGGTGTCTGCTTATAATACTAGGCCATTCTTCTCTTGCCTCGATAGACGGAGCGATTTCCAATCGCATGAGGATTTGATTAACAATACCCGACCGGCAACTTCTGAGCTACATTCATTTGTTTGTAAGGGGAGAATTTCGGTCGCTATGATGGAATCCAATCGTATATATTAGTTAAGCTTATTTCATATAATAATACACAATGGTACAGTATTTGTGACTGGTTGATCTCTCGAGGAAAATATATTTCTCTTAACCTTATGAATCTGTTAACGACTCGCTTTATATTCTTTTACACACCAGTCCGCACTTCACTGGTGTCCTTATTAGCCTGTAAATTGATACTGTGTAACAACATTTATTCTTCCACTTTCAACCTCAGTATTTATTTATTTTTTCCATAAATCTTTCTAGATCTTGCTAGCCCTTTCACTACAGCATTCGACAATACTATGATAACTGAAACTGAGAATGATGATATTTGGGGACAGTTGGAGTATATGCATACCACGTTGAGTAAGTTCACAATATATATATAATTTTTGCTTATATAGCTTGTCCAGGCCTCATACTATTTCCTTTTATTATTTTTTTTACCACAGATTAACATATTTTTTGTGATAATTAATTCAGCCAGCCAGATTGTAAACTGCTGTTATTCATCAATTTTCTTCTGTTTCAATCCGTGTTGTAGTTCGACTTCTTCCCTTCTTCATGAGAAAATGGCTGTATACTTCCTGCAGATTTCTTCTGTTTATTTAAGTATTTCACTGTAAACTGTCGCTAAAGCAGGACATGACTGGTTTTGTTGATCATGTTGTACGACTGCACTGTGTATACGGATGTCTCATTCGACTGGGGATGAAAATAGTCTGTGATGCTTTCACATTGGAAGTCAGTCAGCTATTATAAGCGAATTCTTGAAATTTCTAGTGAGATTAGGCAAATAGCACTCTTTGTGCTCTGTTATGAAGGTGTCATCAACCCATCTACATAGTTGACTTTCAATATCTGTGAGTACAGTTACAACATAGGTAGAAAAAAATTATAATGACGATGAGAGGATCTCATTCCTTTTGTACCCTTTTTCATTTTCAAATTTTTGTTTTTCATGAAACCTTTTTGTTTGATTTTTCTGATTGTTTGTCTTTCTCTGGTCTTCTTCATTGTGTTTGTGTGTATGTGTGTATGCGTAAGTTGGCACGGAGTGTGTGCTACACAATCTATTGATCTAGTGTTGATGAATACATTTATAAAGTTAAAAAACACGTATAAATGACCTTGGGGTAAGGCATCAACATTTCTATGAAAGCATATTATGTGTGCATACACTATTGTGCAAACACGCATACACCTACAGATAGGTTTGAACTTGGTTGGCAGAGACAGTGATGTCTGCACGTTTTTTTGTGCACTATATTCTATCAAGAAAATCACTGTGTGTGTATCTGTGTTACAGTGAAACGTTCTACTGTTTCCTAGTGAGTGCTTGTCTGCCTTCTCGTGTATCTGTGTTTGTGTGTGTGTGTGAAAATAAACATATTGACACTGCGTTTGTTTTTCTTTCCGTATAATGCCGAATTAATAATTTATTCAAGTTCTTAATATTTGTGCATTTTAGGCACTGAATGAAACTTAAACAAACGGTTTAGCGGGTGCAAAACCATTACTAATATTATTTATAGCAGGCCTTATGCATAATCGTTTAAGTACTAGTCACTAGTTGTAGATGAAAATGCAAACATGTTTGTGTGAATCTGTGTTTTCACACATTCACAAGTTCCAATTAACGGAATTTTGAGAAATTTTAAAAATATATGCATCAACCAAGCACATGTTGACCAATTCACCCATTTAGGAAGTTGCATCAGCCCCAACGCGTTGGTCGCTGACGAAATCTCAGCACGGATACAGAATGCTTGTCTCGCATATGCCAGTTTATACCGTCTCCGGCGTAGAAGTCATATCCGACTGGCTGTCAACCAAAGGGCGAGTATACTGCTGAGCAGTTCACTTTGTCCTCCTTTATGACTGTGAGACATTGCCATTGAAAGTGGAAGACATGAAAGGTCTGGTTGTCGTTTATCATAGGTGCCTGCGTTCTATCTCCCGTGTGAAGTGGTATAATAGGGTGAGGAATATTGAGGTTAGGTATTGGTCGAGTGCTAGGTAGGTGTGTGTGTGTGGGGGGGGGGAAATCAATCGATGAGGTTGTGAAGTTATACCGATTGAGATGGCTAGGACATGTGTTACGTATGCCTAGCCATCGGTCGTCTTCCTCGACAGTGGGGAATGTTAACTGACATAGGATCAGGTTGGAAAAGAGCCGGTGGTGGTAGTGGTGGTGGTCAAACCAAAACACGGCTTCATCGTTCAATGAAATCCACAAGAGTTAGTTTAAGCCGCTTAGGATGGTGTAGACTTCCTGACTCGTTGGGGTCCTCGGGACAGTAAAAACCAATGAAGGCTGGAGACAGTTGGTGATGTGGCTGAAAATCGTTCTTGGTAGTGGTGCAGATGGATCCACTCTTTGTGACTTATCACATCCAATAAAACTGTATTGTTCTTGAATATTACAATTCTTTTTGCCTGATATTTGTGTTTATTATCTCTCTTTTGAATATCTCTTTACTGGCTTCTCTTGCATTGTGTGGTATGTGTGAAGTGTGGCGACTCGAACTGGTGCACATCTGTGCAAAGTTCTACGTTGAAACCAGGCAGGCAGTCAGCATGTTTGAGTGAGACTACCAAAGGAATCCGCTTGTTGTGATTTTTCAGTAGGAATCTTAGGTGATAGATTTCCTTGAAGTCTGTCCATGAAAAATACTGACTCATAAACTGACTGAGTTGACTGGTCGAGTTTCAGCATAGAACTTTCTGCCTAATTGCAACTGTCCAAGTCACCACACTCCATGTGCGAAAAAAAATCAAACGAACTGTGATGAGGAGTAATGTGCGCAAACCAGAATAGTAACATGGAGAAACATAAGGGTTTAATGGATTTAGGAATGAACCAGGTCTCCAAGCAGATAGTCGATACTCTCCTTTGTGGTCAAATCAACTGTCAGAGACTTCATGGATAAATGTCAGGTTTTGATTTGACCACCACTAACTCTTATTCAACCTAAACCTTTCAGCTAACATCACTCGACAAAACTTAGAGTATGCAGGTGTGATACACTTTTTATTGCATAATGGGTGTCAGTGCTGCATGTTTGCTTATAGAACTTCGGCAGACGGTATTGTGTGATCATAATGAAACCTAGTACTATAACAACAGAAGGGAAGACACGGATACCATGGTATATTTGCCTTTAATCAAACCCCTGTATATATATATATATATATATATATATATATATATATATATATTCGTTAACCAATCACTGAGCGTGTGATTTCGGTTTACATCAAACGAAATAAAATAGAATATTCAAATATACGTATGGTATTCTGTTACTTATACAATATTGAATTGTGGGAATATGTGAGAATAATATTCCGTTGCTATACATTGTCTGCATCACACCACCACAGTACCAAATACCAAAATATGTTCTATCTGCTATCTTTTTGATAATTTTGATTTTACTCCACTTTATAAACTGTGTACACCTAATTAATCTAGGTCCTCAAGGTACACTTTCTGAACGAATAACCAGCCAGAAGGGTATGCGATATAAGCACACATTTTTTTGAAAAGCGTTTTGGCACTTTTTTCAATCACTTTGCATTACTATCTAATGCATGATACATTCATATTTATATTATACTTATGCATGGATAAATTATAAACCCTAATTGTGGTATTTGCCTGTATTTGGTGATTTATTCTATCTGCTCATGTTAACATACAAGCTTATTCTGCTTCAGTTTGATTCTGTTTTCCTACTTTCTTTCTGTCTCTCCATCATTCTCTCCTTCCTCTGATGTGGTCCTGTCTCAGCCTATAGAATAACTATAGTGTTTAATTTTTTTCCCCACCAAAGTATGTGTGTTGTTCATTTTTTCCATCTTTTGTGAACGCTTACTATAAATTCATTCTATGGAAGGAAGCATTCCGAAAATTGATTAGTTCTATGCACTACTGAATTTTAATTTGATAGCTCAAACTAAATTCACTGAATTACTCGGAACAGATTTCCCATGTAGCACGCTATGAACCAGCTAGCTACGTCTATTGTGTTCATTATTATTGAAAGTCATCTGTTGTTATTACTCTATGGATCGGTGTATTGGTGCATTTCATGCTTTTGCGTATGATGTGACAAACTTGCAGACTCTTCCTTTTGGGTTGTGTAGATGCAATAATAATAATGATAATAGTATAAACATATAATAACCGTTTTACTTAAAACGCAGTGTGGTGAAACAGTGCGAAGTATATGCATTTTGAGTTGCGCATGTCACTAACTGCTACATCAGTTTAGCTAACCCCAACGTTTACTTCATGTATATATATATATATATATATATGTATATATATATATAGTCGCATATTTTTCGAATATTCTCCTTTTTGTGATGGCAAATTCTCCTTATCAACATTAGAAGTATATAATAAATATATAATGTCAGATGAAAAACAGTCAAACTATTCGATTTTTCAGTATTTATTATGTTTTATTAGTGATGTATTTCGTTACTGGCTTTTTGTGAAAGTCCAGGTTAGGCCACTACAGGATGATATAATTCAATCTTTTTGCTAAACTTTCCATCTTGTCAATAAATTCAATTAATGAAATGTGAACAAGTTTGAGAACTCTTGTCAAAATAGAACATGAAATCCATGAATGCATGACATATGATATATATATATATATATATATGTTTCTGCGTTTTATTTGGTGCGTGTGTCTGTATTATTTGGCACGCTTTGCGTACTCTGATTATGTGGGTGTCTGTGTGTTTCTTTTGCGTTGAGCATATGTAAATAATTTGTTTCTGATTGTCAGTGTTCAGTTATGTACACATGGCCGTTTTTTGGTGTAGTGTTTATGTGTATTTCTTTGTTCAGTTAGCCACCAGCAGATTATATATATATATATATATATATCACTATACGTACTGTGCTCAGCTGTTACACAGATATGTTTACTCATTAGTTCAGTTGTTATTGTCGTGCTTTTTTTGTTTACCTGACCTTAACAGATTATTGAATTTTCATTGATTATAGTATAACTGTTGCTAGCTAGCATGAAGAGCAGATAGATTTCAGTGTTGTCAGTTAATCTGTGTGTGTGTGTGTGTTGTGAACAACCTTATGTCATTGTATGTGTTGAATCGATAGGCGTAAACCTGCAGATTTCTATTGCATGATTTTATTATTGCTTTATAAAGTTGAAGCATAATCAGTCAGTCTATTTATATTCACAATATCTACTAATGTGTTAATGTCAGCAACTATCACCAGGTGACTATCATCACCTCATGATTTCTTACTTCCTTGTAACACACACACACAGCTGGTTGAACACCTCGACAGTGTTTCTGTGATTACAATAAAATAAGCATAATGTCATACCAAACTAGAAAAAAAAGAAGCTAATCGGAATCATGTTTTGTTTTTTATTTGCCTAAGATAATCCAATCTATCAATATTACATTTGTATTTTGTGCATGTGATGCCACCTAGTACATGTTTGTCAGATCAGGTGTCCAATTTGAATTCTATGTGACAGATTTAGACAACAATAATACATTTATATTTATATATATATATATATATATTCTCGGGCAGGAGAAAGGGCATTCTTTTTGTGTGTATTCGCGAAAGCATATATATGTGTACACATGATGATCAAACCTATTAAAGTGGATCGTCATCGTGTATTGGTCACCAATTTTCAACCAATAATGGAACCTACAAATGTATAGTGAAAATCTCATTTATCTTAAGTGTGTGTAGTAGGTATGGCAAAATTAATAATGCCTTAAACGACCTGAGTGGTTTTGCAATCACAGCACTCGATTCTAGAATATAAAGTGCAAGTATATCTGTCATTATCATTTTATTTTGTACTGGTGAAGATTGTTTATTTATCTACATAATAATAATCTGTTTACTATCAGTAGATAATTGAGTGCACGATAAATTATACTATATATAATTGTTGAAATGTTATATGTGTACTGACAAATGCTGAGATATTGAATATTTCTTCACTGCCTACAACACACATACCACACATTACTAAATGTGTTGTTAATTCATTACTGACTGAAAGCACTGATACATCCAGTTGACGCGTTTCCTGAATTCCACTGCCTAGTCATCATCAGTCCCAAATTACATTTTAGAAACCCTATGTCATCGTTGTAGCTTTCGTACTTAGAATTGACATGTCAACAGAGATGGAACACTGAAGTGTTCAGTTCAGTCAAGGTTTAATTGTTGAGAAATTCGAAACAATAAGCTGAAAATAAAACATCGAAACTGAATTTGTTTATTATTGTCTCATTGACATGTGTGTGTGTGTGTGCTGGGAATTCACCATGGACTGGAAAACAGTTTACTTCCACTATGCATGTGTCATTCCTCTTTTGGGTTAGTTAGTTCTCCGTTGGGTACCTATTTGAAAGCTGTGGTAACTTGAAGTTCTCTAAATTCTGAAGCGGCCATATTTTGTTGTAATAAGCCCTGATTGAAGCTTCTCATTATAAGTAAACTAGTGAGGTAATCCATCTTTGGATTTGTGAGCTGACGTCTAATTTCATTTTCTTTTTGGTAGCTAGCACTTAAGAAACCTCCCTTTCTGAATTCACCGAAATTTCTGCGTTACGATATACACTTGGCCTTACTACAACATAACACAATGACAACTGCTGAGCTATAAACTGTACTAATAGTCTGCTTAACTGAGTCATCTTTAGTGGGACAAAAGAAGTACCAGAATAGTTAACACTCCATTTTATTTTTCTGTTTTAATTTTATTGTGTGATCGTAGAGGTTGAAAATTTTCTGCACCTCTTATTGCGAATACTCATAAGTAGCTGATGAATGGTTTTGTTTTTACTATTCCACTGTGTTCACCGTTTCGCCTGTAACATTCTCTATCAACTAACCTCAACCAATATCATCTGTTCTAGCAGCTCTAACAAATTGATCTTTCCCATAAAATTGTTAACTAATTGTATTCTGTGCACTACTTGCATTTAAGAAATATATATATTTCTTTTCAAAAGGTGATGAGAATACAAGTGAATTCATCGCTGCACAGACTAGCTCTATTCTGGAAACAGTTTCTCCAAAATCTGTACATAATGTAAGTTTATGTTGCTGTTTATTGTCTATACAGTATTGTATTGTGTGTTAACATGATTATAAATGGTTTTGTATTTACCAATGAATGAAAAACAATGAACGATATTGCTTTTGCTAACGTTTCACTATTTAATCTTGCTAATAGCTTTATCTAAGTATTATTAAACCAGAAGTTACACATTCTCAGCTTATTTATAACAACTTAATCAGCGTTCTTCAGCACTAGGTAATTTTTATGTTGTTGTCAAATTGGCCAAGTTGCTAAAGATAACGAAACCATGTATGGATAATTGGATTTGAATGAATGGTGTTAACATAATGAAACTGTTTATCACATTCGTGTTGATTTCGTCTTCGTATAGACACTGCCGAGTAGCTTATACGAGCCATTTTTGTCTAATTGAACGCGCATGGGGCCAGCCATCACTTTATTAAAAAGATGATATTTGTTGAAGTAAGGTAAGATTTATAGCAAGGTGTCCGTGATCACCTGCTTTATAATGCTTAGGGTTAAAGTCAGGGATTCTGTGGACCAATCTTATATTCTATAACTCACCTTACTTCATTCAGCAATCATTCAACCAGCTCTTAATTGTCATGAGAATTCTGTTGGGAATAGCCACTGACAGTTTGGTTTCGTAGCATATATTTAGCAAAAATAAATATGGTTGATCTGTGTGCTAAGTAAGATAACAAACGCGCAGACTGCAGTCTTTGCTACTGCCAACACTACCTGTGTATTACTTGTTCAGGACTTCTTTTGGATAAGTTTCCGTTTCCATGTGTCGGTGTATCATTTTTACTATTGTTCCTAGTGAATGGATGCAACGGGACTGTAGTAAATGTCAGGGGTCTAAGCTAGATATAAATACTCTGGATTAAAGAAATTGATTGGTTGCTGTCTACCAACCTTCTATGTAAACAGAAGTTAGTTACAACCTCTGGCATGGTAGTCATTGTTCCGTGTCTAGGTATCTCTAAAGGAACATTAAATAATACCACCTTAATCCACATGTCTTTTTATCAGAAAGTGTTTGCAAATGTCTGAAGCATAATCAACTGTTAACATGTTTCCTTTAAGTGTCACTAATTGGTAGTATTTCTGAATTTGAAACGGAAAAGTTGTGTCATTTGGTTTTTGGTGACCAGTGGTCGGACCTAGGATGCACATTTTGGGACTCGTTAGTTGAGTGATGGTATTGAGACTGGAACCCAGCACCCATTCACTAGGCCATGAGAACCACCTCTTGTTCAACGGCTACTCTTTATTCATTTAGGATACAGGTAAATCCAGATGACAATTTCCAAATGGGGCGAAATGTGAGTCCCAGATTCCACTGCTTGTCACCATCTACTTAATAACAGTAGTGTTATTCTCTAGACATTATCGAAGCGTCCGTACAAGTAGCCAACATGTCAGCAGCAATCGAACATTTCTGTCCCATATATTCAATCAATGGACATTTAGAGAAACGAAGTTAAACAGACTAAAGATGGCTTATTTTATTATTTGTTTTCGAAACTTATTCTACCGTGTTTATATAAATAGTTGTTCCCCTGTTGCCTATTTTTGAAACCACCTTTTTTAAAGACAGATATTTCTACCTAACTGTAAAATTGATTTCTCTTTATGTTTAATTAATGCAGGTTTGTATGCATTAGTCATTGTTCGTCATCAGTGCTGTCGTTATTATTGTTTCTTTTGTTCATCTGCCTCACTAGTCTCTCCTCATTTCGTCTACTGTTCACTATCTTTTCTTTTTTTTTCTTTTTCCGCCTGTTGTTTTCATTTTTCACATTCAATTCGCTTAGTCTCTTTTGTTTATCAAGGTTGGGACGTTTTAGTGCCCCCTCTCTAAGTATAATTTTCGAAATAACTTTTCCTATTTTCATTTGAATCTAATTTTATTATGCTATTTTATATTTTATAATCTTTTTTCTTCTTGAAGAAGCTTCCAAAAGTGTTTTCCCCTACTCTCTCTCTCTCTCTCATACAAGTAAATGCTTGTCGCGGCAAATACACATGCGCACACAAAAACATACACAAACGCGAAATTGATGTTTATAGTTAGAGCTGTGTAATTGTCTCCAATTCTCTTTAATACGACATCAACTTTGGTTGGCCCTAGTTGCCTATTTTTGACTGTGTTTAAATTATCAGTGTTGCAGTGATGAATTAGGTTAGATTTAAGGTTAAGTGGCTATATTCTGATGAAGACATTTTGGTCGTCAGACGAAAAGGTTTTGCACTATGCTTGTCATAGCATACATTTTTATCAGGCTGTAGACTGATTATGTTGTATTTAGTGTTTTTCGTGGAAAATTCTGTCAATTGGGAGTGATTAATTGGCGTTGATCAGGTGGTTATGACGTATTTTCTGATGGTAAGGACGAATTCATCCATCTTGTGAAAATGTCACGTGGAATTATACAACAGCCTGTATGTGTGTGTGCGTATGCAGTGAAAACGCTTCTATCAGTGCGAATAACAGATAAGCTGTCACTTGATGCAACTTTCAACAATAAATATTTTTTTCCTGCTTATCAGTTCCTGTGCAAGTGATTGGGTGATAGCTTAAATTTAACTCAAGCGATCTACTCTGAGAGGATAATGATCATTTTCGTAACAGTAATCAGTAAATGACTGCGGTGCATTTATCGTGACTAGCCTGTATTGTAAAATAAGAAAAAAGAGATTAGAACTCAATGATTCATGCATATTGTGATCATGTTTTCATCTCTGATATGATCCATAATTTTATCACTTCGAAATTCTGTTTGTAGATTGAAGCTCAAATGTTTGGAGAAAGTGCACAAGCTGGCGGAGATTGGGACTTGGAATCCGAGAATACCACAGTAGTTAAAAGACCAGTTAATACAGGGTATGTTTCTCTTTGTGTGTTTGTTATTAGTTTGCCCTGTTACCTCCTCTTTTGTTTCTACCTGTGACTTTTCACTTCGTCATTTCATATCATCTTGTCAGCAAATGCATTAAACAGCTTCTAATCCTCATTATTTATCACAAACTGACTTCATTTAGAAAACCATTGAAGATCAGGGAGTACTGAATAGCTGTTTTGTCCTTGTCTGGGTCTTGGGTTTGATGCCTGGTGGTAGTACGGTCATAGGTATCTGTTACTGAAGAGTCCCTAACAATGGCAAAAGGGCAATCCAGTACTCCCTGTTTATTAGTGGTTCTCCAACTGTTTTCAATCCGTGATCATACTTGAAACGGATCAAATCCCTACAAACTAACACTTGAACATCTTTGATTCTTGGCGAGATCGTAATTGTGAATGAAACACCGATGTTAGCCACAAAAAAACCATTGAAAATTAAACGCCACAGGGAAAACGTTATCAATCGCTTTTCCAACTGATTTCCATTGCTGACGAAGTCTGCATTGAAACTACTAACTGATTATACCTATATATAAATACATACACATTTATTCAATTGGAAAATAATGAAAATAATTGAATTCCTCCTACGAAAAGTTAATATAATGAGTCATTCTGCCGGTTATTGTTTTTTTTGTTCTCTCTTGCTTTTGTTTCTTCTCCGGTTTGTTTACTCTCATTTTTTAATTGTTTTTCTCTTTAGCTGACATTATTATTATTATTTTTGTGGACATTCATTTCGATTTGCTTATTCATGCGATTATTGTTATTCTCTTGAATTTATTAAACTTTCTTGACGCACTTTAGTGACACTGTGGTTTCATATTACTTTTGTGGTAAACATTGTTATTCAGCTGGCGGCTATTATTATTATTATTCCCTTGCGTTCCGAGTGGAACATAGAGCTTCAGCAACATATCTCCACTTTGTTCTGTTTTCTGCCGTGCTCTTCAGCTGGCTCCACGATCGACCAAACTCTCTCATCTCTTCCTCACATGATCTCCTTCATGTCACCCCCACACCGACGACCCCCCCCCCATTCGCTCCACATTTGGATTCCACTCGAGAACTGGTCTGGCGTGCGATGCCGTTCGGCGACCTTCTCAATGTATGCCAAATCCATCTCCACTTTCTCCTACATATTTGTTGACCGATCGGCTCTTGCCTGTTGGATAGCCTCCGGTCAGAGTTTCTTGTTGCTTATTCTTTTTGGCCAGCTAATTGATCTTCAGTGTGGAGCCAGCCAACGAAGGTAGTAGCTGCTGATGAAAGTCTGCAGTGGCCTGTTGGAAATGCTTTTCGTGACACGCAGAGCAAGTTTCTGACCCGTATAGAAGAAGTGACTGACTTCACATTGGTGCTGAAAATGCGAATCTTGTTCCTTATGCAGGCTGAGTGAAACAGAAGATTTCCAAGCTGGTTTCAGGTTGATGAAGGTGTATCTTGCTCTTCCGATTCTGATTGGCTTTGACATCTTCATCCGTTCCTTTGTTAAACCTCCTCCGTTGATGGTGATTGGTGCTGGTTGTTGTTGCAGCTGATTGGTTATCTTCATCACTTCCGTCTTGTCTATGTTCACCTGCAGTGCTGTCTTTCTGCCACCTTCTTCAGACAGTTTGTTGGTTTTCGCTTGCAAGTCTTCGAATTTGTGTGACATTAAACATAAATCACTCACGAAATCTAGATCTTCTAGAGCCTTTTTATTGGTCATCCAGTGTGACGCTTAATCCAGTCGAGCACCACAGTTAGGAATATCATCGGTGATAGTAGGCAGCCAGCCATCTTGTCTTACTCCTGCATGCACTTCGAACGCCTCGCTGCGTTTTCCCTTGTGGATCACCTTACTGACACGTAGCATTGTCATAGCCAGCTGTTGAATGAGGTTGACAAACACTTGGGTACAGCACGCCGTAGTGCTGAAGTAGTTTCCAAATCACTTCTCGGTGAAGGCTTTTTCGAAGTTGATGAAGTTATCGAGGTAGAGAGAGATAGAGGTTTGACTGCCACTCTATGCTTTGTCCTGTGATGACAGTGCGTAGAGTTGCAATTTGATCAACACCTGATTTGCCTTTGCTGAATCCAGCTTGTTCCGGCGGAGGAGGTTTGGCGGAGTTCTGTATCCAGTGCATCCTTTCATAATGGATAAGATTTTATTTTGATAAATCACACAGTATTGTACATTATGGAGTTATACTCTACCACAGTGCCCAAGTTTTATACTTATATCAGTGCATCCTTTATTCTCTCCAGGATATTTTTCTAAGTCGGTGGCTAGCTTGTTGTTTAATACACTAAATGTAGGAGGATTGTATTTTGGTTATCATAGGATATATATATATATATATATATATATATATATATATGGGTGTGTAGGATAAAAGTGAAAAATATCATGAAATCCTGCGTAATATGCCTTTTTCTTCTTTCTTAAAGGAGTGAGTTATTTTCAAGTTAACTTGATTTTTTGTTGGTTTAGGGAGATAGTATGATGTTTGCTACATATAGGATTTATCAGTGGTATATAAATAGACATTAATCGGCACAAAAATATCCGATAGCGGAGAAATAGATTTGACGTCAAGAGAACAATTGAACCAGTGTTGCAACAAAGCCTGGGAGACACGAAAAGAAGACAGAGAAACACAATACGAAAGGTAGAAGTAGTAACACAGATAAGGTGTATATAATGCCCCTAAATAGCGATATGAAATTCCACATAAGAATTCCGTTACCCAGCCCCTTACCTTCTACCGTTACAATAGGACTCAGGTTATGCATGCAGAGTATTGTTCACAAGGCGATTTTTGTTGTCGAATAAGTGGAAACAGTGTAAATTGATTACCGGAGTCAAGTTTGATCGCGTATGAAAGGTCATATAAAAAAGTCTCTTCCACAGTGAGTAATTGGATAGCGGTGCATAGGGTAAGATTATTTTCCTAACAGTAACAATTAGTACCTTTTTAAGAATATACTAAGGTAGCATGTGACTAACATTTCACAGTTTCGGACTAATCAGAAGATATAGAAATACATATCGACAGAAAGTATGTTTTCAGTTTAATTGAATATATATATATATATATATATATATACAACAGCACACTGGACAACTGACCGTTTCACAAGAAATATACTATTTGCAATATGTGCTGAGCTGTACACTAAAGTAGAAACGTTAAAATGCCACACTTCTGACTGGCATTGTGCTGGTTGACTTATCTTGTTGTTATTCTGAATACTGACGAGTTCACCTTATTTTTCTGTTTCTCTTTCGGCTAAAATTGATCTACTGTGAAATGATCAGATGCATGTGATTTACTTTCATTTGCAGCAAACCTTCGCTTATTAAGCTTAAGTTGGTAATATTGATATAAGGTATAAAACTTGGTAATAGTTTTCATTATTTCTTTAAATTTGTTTCGATGATGTTCTCTTTTCCAGAGAGATTTGTTAAAAGTGCTTGGATCTTATTTCTAATCATCATTTGATTATTTCTACACATAGAAGTACAGCATTGAGACTATGCATATGTTGTCTTGTTGCAGTTACATTTCCTTCTTCGATTACTTCTGTTGATGTTTTTTTAAAAAAAAAGGTTTCTCTCTTCGGTTTAATTATTTCGGCTTCGTTAAAGAATGATTGGCTGACTGAATTCCCGCTTAGACGTGTAGTTCCTTTTACAAATATATAATATAGGTACCAATTAATCTGTGGTGTGCAATTCAAACGGTTATTATGTAGCATATTTTTATTTTTTCGTTTCATTTTGTTTTACTCCCTGCTCAAGTTTGTAATCTCATGATTTAACCATTGTGTTGTTGTTGAATATGAACACCGGAAACTGTTATTAATTCAACTATTAATCAGAATGTCTACAGACTATCTGCTGAAACAGAACCTAATGACAAGTGTTATTTATTTTAAGAGGTATACCCTTTATTTTTTACTTGTCTTAATATAATCTATCCATATGTATTTCTTTCGGTGTTTAACTTTGTAACTTTGCATCCACCTTAGTTTTAATTATTACTATCATCATTATTATTTCTGAAAATATATTGTGATTGTAGATTTTTAGTTTCATTCATTGTGGATGCACGTGGTGGTTTAATTCAAGCTCGACGTTATCCTGATCTGAAAATATTCATCCCACCGAATGTTGTCAATGGTCCAGTACGTATTGTCTGTCGTCTTGTTCATCCTGAGCGTATAAATTCACCGCCTATCATGAATGATGGTGATGGTTTAGCTTGCCGGTAAGTGAAGTCTCTTGTGAGTATTATCATTAATTATTACTATTATTATTATTTATTATTCAAGTTCCGATATTTATCATTACTTGATTTTACTCCATTAATTATTAGTGTAAAGGTTTTTAGCAGTGATTTTGCGGATAGTTGTCTCATTCTAGTTTTGGACTCTTCATCTGTACACACCCTTAACCTGACCTCACTAAGGGGAGGGGGCTCGAACTCAGGTTATGAGGTGAGCTTGTTGACTATTCAAACACTGTGTTGGAATCCAGTAGCTCATAAATTGTAAGTTGTGTCAATTCGTGATTTCTAGCACCATCGCCAGTCAATGTTCCCAATGTTCCTCTAACTGATATCAATCCTTAATGAAATTTGAAACTGATCAAATTCCTACAGACTAAGTGTTTTTGTGTTCAACTATAATATATATGCCTTAGGAAGACAGGTTTATCCAATAAACCTACAAAATAGATTTCATCAGTTATTTTCACAAGTAATATTCCACTTTCTATTGTAATGCATATTCATACTTGATACTAAACTATGATCCTGACAAATTGTAATATTTTTCATAACATTGCATTGTGTATTTTCCATGCAGCTGACATCACTCTTGTTGTTTTTTTTTTTTTTTCATCTCCACAGTTTAATTGAAATTGGACCGACTGGCATACGTTTTGCTTCACCTATTCTCCTAGAAGTACCTCATTATGCTTTCTTAACCGGCAAAAATCGTGAAATTGTTATTCTGCGTTCAGATAATGGTGAAACATGGAAAGAGCATCCATTAGACGCAACAGACCAAGCTGTTCAAGATACGTTAGACGGTCATTTCGGTAAGTTTTCGTATATTTTTCTTCTTTTAATTGTATTTATCTTATTTCTTCTAAATGTTGTAAAGTGAATGTGTTAATTATGCCGGTATATTCATTCTGGTTGGTTCACCTAGTGACAAGATAAAATGGGGGGGGGGGTTAACATAGTCATCAACCTATGAAGCTGTTGTCTCAGTTGTGTATCTTTGTGGCTGACAGGAAGTAGAAATTTTTATTAGCATTGTTCAAAAATGAAAAAAAAAATAGTAAACCAGATAAATTTCTTTGAATATTAAGATATTATTATCTGGCTTATTTGTATGTAGAGTTTCGCATTTTACCGTTTTCAAGATTTTTCTATGCCTAATTTACTCTTGTTTTTTTTTTAGATTATGCTGGGTCGTTTGAAGAGTTACGCGAAAAATCAATCCATCGAATATTAACATATGATCTACCACAGTATTTTGCACTTGTAACACGTGTTAAACAAGAATTAATTCTTATTGGTCCAGAGGGTGGTACATTAACATCTAGTGTAGTACCTGAAGTACATGTTCGTTTTCCTCAAGGTGCTTTACAAAAACGTATACGTGTTGGCCTTCAAGTGCATCCAGTTGATCATGAACTTGTTGTACGTATGCTTGGTCCACGTGTTTCTGTATCACCTATTGTAACAATTGAACCACGACGACGTAAATTTCATAAACCAATTACTTTGACTATACCATTACCAAAAACAGCTATTTCATCGTCAAGTGGTAGTATGAAATCTCGTTCAACAGTTGATTCGCCTAGTCTTCGTTTATTATGCTCAATTACTGGCGGTACATCACCAGCTGTTTGGGAAGATATTACTGGCAGTTCTCCATTATCTGCACATGATACTGCAGTTTCATTCACTTCTACTGTATCTGCAAGGTAGATACGATAAAATATGATAATATTAATGATTGTATGTTATGTTAGTGATATGATTTTAGTAGAAAATTAGTAGGCTGATTGATGCCTTTACTGGCAGCATTAGACTGTTTTTCTCATGAAGCTTCATCCATTGTTATTTTTTTAATTGTCCAGTATTTTGGCTTATAGAATACTTTTATAACAGTATACCTATTTCTTCATTTGAATAATAAACCATTTATAAATCTGTTATGGAAATGGGATATTTCACAGGGAATGTGCGAATTTTCTCTCATTGCTTACTTTCTGAATGGGCTGCAAGCTTCTGTTAAAGTGGTGTTACTTTCACCGGACTGGGATAGAGTCAGCCTGTCCCATCCTTCCCTCTTTTCCGAGTTTTAGAAGTGCATCAGTCGGGAATTGAACTCGAACCTCCGAACGACCAATTCATAAATGCACCTATAATATTCTATTTTTGCCACTATTCCAACTTGATGTTTCCTTGTATACGTGTTTTAAGTCACCCCAAAAAGTTGTCCTATCCGTCTTGAAATCATACTTTACCGCTCAATTTAACCACTTTCTACATATTTACACTTGAATATGGCCGGGTCGAATGAGGCGAATGTTGTGCTTACCACCTCATAAAATTCTACCCTATCCGATATATTCTTATATATCTTAATAATCCCTATTCAAAATCCCTTTGCAGATTTTAAACAATGTTTCCATATCGTCCTGTCAAAATGTGTGTTTAATTTTCACATATACTGAATTCACCTCATTGTTATCGGCATTCTTCGCTGATGGATTGCTATCAAGTGTGAATTGTATCATGACCAACTACACACGACAGTGTCATCAATATTTATATTTTATCTGGTTTTGTTGGCACATGCACACACTGTGTACTGAAATCATTAACAGACAGTTTTATTAATACTATCTAGATATAATGAGTACTAGTCACACATGATATCATTAAATACTTGGTCATGATATTTTGTGTTTATCAATCTTATTCTATATAAGGTCATTACTTATATTGTGGTAATTATAATAAAAATTAGTGAAACTCTTGTTAATACCTCTCCTGTATCCCTTTCTCTCTCTCTTTCTCTTTCTAGATTGTGGCTCGTTGATTGTCCTAATATAACTGAAGTTGTTGAATTGGCCAGTCGTGTCTATCATGAATCGTTAGCAGTGCCTTATATTGGACAGTTTGTAGTGTATGCGCGTAGATTCCATTCTGAAGAAGCTCAACTACGTTGTTTATGTCTTACTGATGATTCTGCAGAAAAAACACTTGAATTACAAGAAGGATTTCAACGCATAGCTACAGGACCATGTATTGAGGTATGCAATGGTTAACTTTGATACCTTTTGATACTGATTTACTTATCGATATCCTTTTTGTTGTTGTTGTCATATTCATTTTATTTATAGGCATTGAAGCTGATGTGTTATTTTGTAATACTAAATTTAGTTAGCATGAGTTGAAAATGTGTAACGGTGCAAATTAGAATTGAGAAGACGAAATTTGCAGTATAAAATGATATCATTCTATTTCACAGGTTCTCATCAGTTGCAGACTACCTGAAATTACAATGGTTACATAAATGATAATAGCATACTTTAATGTTTGAGTGGTAGTAGAGAAGAGATACTATAAAATTGACGCATCCAAAAGAATGAAAGCATTACAATTTTTAGTTTAAGTTTTCATCATCAATTTATACGCTTTCAAAGTAGAAAAGAAGGGGAGGGGTAAGACAGGAAACAGAAAAAATTAGCAAACAGTGTTAGCTTGTAGGTTCACACAGCAACTCAAAAAAAGCGATTACAGTGTATAAGATTGAGATTTGCTCAGTGAGTTGAGATCACTAAATTAGATGACTAATTATTGTAATCAAAATCAAAATTCAGTTAACCTCTCACTCCCTTGGTAATTGAATTTTGATTACATTTATTTGTCATCTCACTGAGCAAATCTCAATCTTATACACTGTAATCGCTTTTTTTGAGTTGCTGTGTGAACCTACAAGCTAACACTGTTTGCTAATTTTTTCTGTTTCCTGTCTTACCCCTCCCCTTCTTTTCTACTTTGAAAGCGTATAAATTGATGATGAAAACTTAAACTAAAAATTGTAATGCTTTCATTCTTCTTTGGATGCGTCAATTTTATAGTATCTCTTCTCTACTACCACTCAAACATTAAAGTATGCTATTATCATTTATGTAACCATTGTAATTTCAGGTAGTCTGCAACTGATGAGAACCTGTGAAATAGAATGATATCATTTTATACTGCAAATTTCGTCTTCCTTTCTTTATCGAAATTTATCAAGGGAACCAACTGTATGAAGTAGAATTGAGAAGTTTAATAGGAAGGATGGAAGGAAGATGAACGGTGTGATCGGACACATTTTACTTGTCAAGTTGATTTAAGTAAAACTGAAGGACTTAAATAAAATAATTGTAGTTCTACAGGATACAAGTATATGCGAGTAGATAAATAAAGTTAAGCTTGGTACAAATTTTAATTTCATGTTTATGACTAGATGTATGCTATATATATATATATATATATATATATTACTGACTGGAATATTTTTTCATGTGTTGTGGGTTTTGCTGTTAGCAGCACCGGATGTCGAAATTTGTACTTATGTTAACTTACTGACTGATTAACTTCTCTTTCTTATTCTATACAGTGTACGTCCAATGTCAACATTATCTTAACCAGTTACTCCATTTAATGTAATCTTTTTTGCATATCTATTTTCTTCAGCCTTATCTCCCAAATGTATAATAGGGTAGAGCGAACTACTGTGGAGTAGTACGCACGCAATTTGTGATGAGTTAGTTATCTATGTTAACGCAAACTAGAAATGAAAATGATTAGTAAACTTTCTTGTGCTTAATATGACTGTTTCATCTGTTAGAATAAGGTATCGATGGATGTATTCGAGTGGCTCAAGGGGTGTCTCAAAAACTGGTAAAGGAAAATATGCTTTAGTAAGGGTATATAAGGAAAACATAAATTGTTTCGTTCACAAACCTCTTTCTACAAAAATGTTCTTTTATCACACTGATCATGAATGGTAAAAAGAAATTGGTGTAATTTAAAACTTTTCTGGATGCTTTGGACATATATTGTGTTTCTAGTTGGATTCTGAAAGCTCAAGACTGTGTTTTCTGGTCCCGTGTGTTTATCGTGTGCTATATCAATTAGTTTGTTCGTTAGCCACTTAACATCCTTTTAATGAAGCTTTAGGAGTAGTTTGAAATATGCTTAGCTCAATGCTATATCGTAGGTTGGACCATGAATTGTGACATCGCTTGAAGAACAGACAGAAGTACTAGATAACTCTTTCGTCCTAGTTTGGGATTCCTCAACAGCATGTGCCAATGAACCCGCTGAGGATCGAACATAGAACCTTCAAGTTACGAGTTGAGATTATTAGTAACTGACTAGAGGACGAAGTTGCTTTAAGTTCCAGTGAGAATTCATGACCGATGGGGTTCACGTAGTCGAGTGATGAGGGTAAATACGTTGACTGGCAGTAGCACTGTACACCACGAATTGGAGGAAGTTAGAATTCATCGTTCACTGGATTCCATCCCAGTGGCTGGGGCGGTCATTGAGCTCACCAGAAGGACCTTGGTTCTATTCCCCGTAGGTACATGAGTTTCAACTGGGAGGAAGAGACTGTTCAGTGGCTTTCAGTAGTTCTCTAACTAATATCAGTTCCTTGTTTAACCTGAAACCAACCAACACTTGAAGATATCTATTACATATGTCTATTTGAGCACTTCAGTCTGCCTCGAAATTGTACATCTTGTTATGTAAATTAGATGCAACAGATATCAGTCATTTACACTAGAGATAAAATCAATGCTTTGAATATTTATTTTACTTTCAAATTATACGTGTGTGGTATATAGTTATATGATGATGATGATGATATTTTGTTCTATCTAATCATTTTATGCATTGAACAAAGTGTGAATAGGTTTTATTGATTGCTTTTTTTGTATTTTGCATTGGTAAAAAAAAGGTTCTTGATGATCATCCGCATTGGATTGAAACAGCTGGAAATTTAGTTCCAGTCGCTAAAACTGAAGAACAATTACAATTGGGAATGCATGCATTCCGTGAGAATCGGTTAAATATGATTGTACGTGTCAAAGATACCTCCCAACCAGCTGTTGGAAAATTAGCGTTTATGCGCCATCCTCGAGCTGTTCTACAGTCTGCCGGGTAATTTATCTATTCTCACTTTTTAAAAGAAAAAAAAAAACTTCTGGTTATTTTACTTTATGTTGTCGTTCATTTCGATATTTCGTCAGACAGCTGTTTAGTTTTGAAGAACGTTACGCCTTGGTATCTGACGAATTTATCAGTCCTCTGAATTGAAGAATGCCATTTAGGAATTTTAAGGTTATTTGGTGTAATCCTTCAATTGGTAACGGAGCTACAGTGATATGAATCAAAATTAGGTTGTAATGTTCTCCTTCAATCAACAATTCTATTAGAGTAGAGTAGAATATCGGTCTCGCAGTATTAAGCAGTTATTGTCATACCATAGTGTAAGGACTCGATCTGTTTAGTCTGCCAAACCCTCATCTCCTATGAAACTAATAATAGGATGCTTAGATCGGAGATGATCAACTTTTGACATGTCCGAAGTAATTTCTCCTCATAGATCATAATTTCTGACATCATAGAAAAATTACTTGACGTTAAATGGATTGCGCATATTTTCTATCGAGACTAGAAATATTCAACCTTTAAAAATGTAGTTTTAATTCCCACATGTTGATACATTTATGCTTCTATAGTAGTGGAAATATTAGTCCACTGTCAAATGCCTGTTATAACGTTCATGGTGTAACGGTAGTTGATGCTACCAGACTTACCTAACCGTGGTTGTTAGAGCTCAGGGTCTGGGTGTGTAACTCACTGCTTCAAAGTTAAATGCCTATTTAGTCCATAATAACACACTGATATCCTTATAATTTTTTAAACAATTGCTTTCAATAGCAGTCAAATAATCAGAAGACGTAAAGTAACATTATTATCTGTTCTCCTTTTTAGAGGGAATTCTACTTGACTTGGTTTTTTTGTTTGTTTGTAAAAATGAGTCTAAACTTTGAAGTGCCACTAATCCAATGATAAACTAGATCTGAATTTAAACTGTTCATTAGAGAGATGAATGAGTGAGCATTGATTTAGCACAGACGTGCAGTTCAAGAGGACATGCCTACTCCATTCACTAGTGAAATGGAATTGAACGTCCTCACACACAGTCACTAGTCACATCTTACAATTGGTCCAAAAAACTGATCGTCAAAGTGTTCTATCTACGAGATTAGTGCAAGCACGTTCATTAGTGGTATCCTGAACAGTCTTTTACTTCATTTTTTTCATCATTGTTAATCAATCAGCACCAACGGATTGATTGGTGACGAAATCTCAGCACGGATCCAAAAAGCTCGGGCTGTTTTTGCTAACTTACACCATCTCTGGCGTAGGCGTGACATCCGGCTATCAGCCAAGGGACGTGTATACTGCTCAGCAGTTCGCTCCGTCCTTCTCTATGGCGGTGAGACGTGGCCATTGAGAGCGGAAGACATGAAGAGATTGTCTGTTTTTGACCACAGATGTTTACGATCTCTTTCTCGCGTTAGGTGGTATAATAAGGTAAGTAATGTTGACGTTAGGCGTAGAGTGTTGGGCAAAGAGGGAAGATCAATCGAAGAGGCTATAAAGTTACACAGATTGAGATGGCTAGGTCACGTGCTGCGCATGCCTAGCCATCGCCTCCCCCGACGGACGAGCATTACTAGCTGATATAAGTGCAGGTTGGAAAAGAGTAAGTGGTGGCCAAACAAAAACATGGCATCCATCCATGAAATCCCTGACAGTTAAACTGAGTCAGGTAGGGAGATGCAGACTTCCGGGTTGGGGCCCTCGGGACTCTAAGAATCAATGGCTGGAGACAATAGGTGACATGGCTCGAAATCGTTGTCAATGGCTTACGCAGATGTATTCAGTCTCTGTAATCTTTCATATTCATTTCTACCATTACTCATTCTGTTTCACTCTTATACTTGTCAAAACTCTATTGATTCTCTTCACTCATTTTCTTGTCTACGTTTGTGTGCTATTTGGAACGTGGCAACTCGAACTGCTGCACTTCGGTGCCAAGTTCTATGTTGAATCCACCAACCAGCCATCATCATTGTTAAATGTTTAGCAGATCTTACTTATTGTATAACACTGCATTGACCTTTTACTGTTTAGTATTTCTATTTATTTGGACAATCTAATCTTACTCTGGTTAATTCCTTTATCATTATAATTGCCGCCGTTCTCTTTTATTATTAAATGAAAAGGCAGTAAGTAACTTTTGTATCACTCTGTTCTTATCAGCGTAACATTTTGTGGATAATTTATTTAATTTTATTTCCCTCTCTCTATCTCTATCCCACTTTCTGCGTATTTCTCAAACTAATAAAAAAACTCTTGTGAAGATTATTATTGTTTTTAAAAAATGCCTTGCATTGTCTCACTTCTTCGTTTCTAGTTTTTTTTTGAGATTTTTCTTATTTGCTAAAATATTCATACCTTCCCTCAGTGAATTATACATTTGTATATATATATATATATATATATATAGAGAGAGAGAGAGATCAGTGTTGAGCGTGTAGGGTTGGCGCGAGGGAATGGCTGGTGGATAGACTTTTTCAGTTACACTTCATATAGTTTATTATATGCGAGTAAATTAAAGTGTGTTACTATTTTATAATACTGAAAACAATTATTAAGGAGTATAATAAATTAAGCGGAAAAAATACTAAAAAATTGAGTGGATGTAATTTTGGCTTTCTACATTACTTTCTATATTTATCATTCCCTAACTAATGGGTGTTTACCTTAAAACATTTAGTCCCTCTAATACATTTGGATAGATTTATTAGAAGACGGAGTTTATCTGAAAAATGTTAACTGTGAAACGTTGTCAAACAATGCCAATGCAGGGGGCAGACTGCCAGCCTCGTCCGCGTAGAGAAACATTTGATTGATATGAATCATAAGATTAATATCAAAATAGCTATCATAGTCTAATGCGTGAAAACAGTCGGGCTGGGGAGCATACTGAGATACGTTGAGGCGATAACCCTTCCCTGTGTGTGTGTGTGTGTGAGGAAGAAATGTATTATTTCTCATAACCTACCTTCGTTATCCTTATCTGGTTGTATTGTCAATAGTAGTGTTAATTATTATCCTTCTTATTCTCTCAATACCTTATTCTTGTGTTTATTTTACTTGGGCTTTCATTTTCTCAGTTTTCATACAAACTGTGATTTGATACGTAAATGTGTAAATGTTTGAAACGTATTACTCAAATAGGCCACATTTTTGATGTGCGTTCGATCTCTAATAATGCCATCCGAGTTTACTGTGAATGTGCTTCTTGATTGTTCTCGTTTGAAAAGAAGGAAGTGAAGGTACTTGTGTCATGAGATTACACATGTCTATTGAATTGTTTGGTGATGTTATCAAAACTTGGGGAGTCCCAAGCAGTTTGCAGTTACATTTTGTTCAATTCCGAGGAAGTTGATCACCATAAACGTAATCTAAGATATGTATTGCAGCCTGAAATTTCATATATATATATATATATATATATATATATATATATATATATATTCATTACTATTACTATCTTGTATATTGAAATTCTTTCATTCTTGTTATTATAGATCACCTATAAAACCAGCGACAGTTCTAGAAGCTCAATTACCAGATGAATTGAGTGAATATCCACCAGGTGCTGTTTTAAAAACCACTGATATTGATGACATTCCATCATATATTCCTGAGTATAACGGGCAGACTGGCTATCAGGGTACCACTTATACTCAGTCTGTTCCACAAGTATGGACTACTAAACAAGGTGAGTAGAAAAGTGTACTATTTCTTTGCAATTCTGTTTTAGTTAAACTGTATACACAGGTATGTATTCACAGGTTTATCAATTGGATACTGAGATTTCATTTCCTGGTTTCTTTGAATAAAACAAGAACAACAGTGGTTTGTGCAGAATAATAATGATACATTGTTGGGGGAGTATTTCTGCTTGAGTTTTCGTAGTGTGGAGAAATGATCGTTATATAATTGAGTACTCTAGTCTTGTTCACCTCCACATTACTTCTCTTAATTTTCTGAATATTTTTTTAATTTCACCCTGTGGAGATCTATCGTGTGCATGTTCACCTGCTGCATTTCGCAAGGCAGAGGGCTGTTGTGAGAAAGCCATAGTTTCGCATCTTTCCACATGTTGACTAACTTGGACTTCTTTAAACAATCTGAAAAAAACAGGAAGAACGGTGGTTTATGCAGATTAATATGGTACCATCATTGTTTATTTCGTTGACCTCTCATCAGCTGCTTACAGCCTAAATAGATTATTAAGTTTATGTACAGAAAACTTTTGACATACTTGCAAATCTTACATGATGTCAGTTGAAAGGAGGTTCCGTAAATAGTGAACAGTGCTCAGAAAATTACGCCATATAGTTTCTAAACAGGCAGTTCAAGATTAAACAAAGTAAATGTATGCATACAATGGCAAAGTAGTTACGTAATAAAGACTAAAGATGCATAAGATGACGAGTGACTGATAAATTAGGTAACGATGTACTGAGTTCAACTCAATACATAGAAACAAGAGACAAGAAAAATACTCTATTTCAAAGGGGTGAGGTTAAAGCCAAAGATCACGTAATCAAATGAAAGAGATGTCTTTGTTTTCTCTTGTCTCTTGTTTCTATGTATTGAGTTGAACTCAGTACATCGTTACCTAATTTATCAGTCACTCGTCATCTTATGCATCTTTAGTCTTTATTAAGTAACTACTTTGCCATTGTACGCATACATTTACTTTGTTTAAACTTGAACTGCCTGTTTAAAAACTACATAGTGTAATTTTCTGAGCACTGTTCACTATTTACGGAACCTCCTTTCAACTGACATCATGTAAGATTTGCAAGTATGTCAAAAGTTTTCTGTACATAAACTTAATAATCTATTTAGGCTGTAAGCAGCTGATGAGAGGTCAACGAAATAAACAATGATGGTACCATATTAATCTGCACAAATCACTGTTGTTCTTGCTTTATTCAAATTCATCAAAGGGAATAAATGCATGAAGTTTCTGGTTTCTCATCACTTTGGTTAGTGTGGGATAATTCGCTAAGAAGTGCATTATCATGTATGAGAATCAGTACATGAATATACCTGAACTTCTTTATCACTTAGGGATATAATTGTTACTGTTATTAAACGTGAACAAATTTCAGTGAGGACATAATATTTGTGTTTGATGCAAGTTGCCCTGATTAGCCTTACAACTTTACTTTCATGTATTTAGAAGTTATTGTCTCTGATGGGGATATTTAAAACTCACTTCTCTCTAAAACATATGATTATCAAACCTTATAAATGATTTCATCGTGGAATTCCCACTCCTGGCGTCGTGTACATGAATGTCATCGTTCTTCTCAGTTTTTGCCTTCGATTTGTACTCTCTTATGGATTAATTGGCGAATTGCGAATTACATTCAATGTATTACTAATTTGTTCAAGGAACTTAATCGAGATTCTGGTGCTTTAAATTGATTCAGCCCTCTGAACTCTGGCAAACAGGGAGCATCGCTGTAATCAGCGATGTTGTCGACGTACTAACCGGCCGTTCAGTGTTTAGATCACATTGATATCTGTCTGGCAAACACTACAATTTTATGTGAGTGATATCCAACTACTTTCATGAATTAGTCAGTAGTATATACAATCTTACATCTTTTTGTGTGTGTAGTAAGTATTACCAAAATAATAGATAATTTGTACTGATGTTTTTGTATTCATTGATCAGATCAATACAGTGAACCAATTGGTAAATCAGAACTCGATTTACGACAAGTTGCTTATTGTCTGAAATCTGATTGGAAAATTCTAGCTCAATGCTTAGGCTTATCTGATGAAGATGTCTATAACATCACTTCATTGCCTAATCGACCGGATGAAGAGTACGCTTATGCTAGTCTTCTATTATGGCAAGAACGTACTGGTAATAATCCATTTTCGGGTGAGTTCAACAGTACATTAAAAAAAAAAATGAAAATTATAATTAAGATTAAATGATAAATTCAGATAGTGTTAATAGAAAACTAAGATTATCTGAAAAATGTGATCTATTTGCGTAACATACATTTCCAACAATCTGATTGCATATTCGACTTGTCAAATCAGTTCATAAGAAAAATAAAAGACCAATTAAAGTAAACAGTGATAAGGTATTTAAGAATAAAAATAATAAGGACTGCGTTTGGTAATATAATCAGATAAGAATTACCAAGGTTGGTTAATAATAATAATAATAATTGTTTTAGTACATCAGGGTTTATGGGGAAGGGGTTTCGTTCTAAGTATAGCTATACCTCTGCGTATTTCAGTGTGCTATCATCCTCTGACTGTTTTTATCAATAATCTGGATATCATTCTTATGATTCATATAAATTAAATGTTTCGCTTCAGAGGAATTTGGTCGTGTGCCACCAAACATATATTATACGTTTCTCTAAACACTTGGGTATATGTTCTCTCACCCTCGCGTGCAAAAAATTGCTACTCCACCCTATGTGTGTGTGTGTGTTATCAGATTGCACAAATAATATCGTATTTTGCAGATAATCTTCTAATAATACCATCCAAAATTTGTTAAATGGACTAAATTAAATAAATACATAAAATAAATTGAATGATAACCTGGGTAAGCACCCAGTTCAACAAACGACTACCTGACTAACTTGGATTACTCAATCAGCAGTAAAATTTCTTCAGTGAAACATGAAGGCGTTTTGTTTAAAATTCCAGTTGGGGTGGTGAAGGCAGTTGAAGCGTATTGTCTTTAACGGAATATTCACTTTTCATTCCATTCGATTACGACAAATAACTTATCTGATAATTGTGACAGCGAAGTATATGCAAATCTGTTCGCCTTCGCAGGTAATTGCCTCTGCACAGTAACTTCTACAAAAGCATAAATTGATTTCTGTTATTACAGAAAAGGGTCAGTATCGTGATATTTGCTACCATCAATGTTATTGTTCTCATACTATTACATAATGTGCTGTGCTGTTGCTTATGTATCAGTAGGCGAGATATTTAAATTTCTGCGTCTTTATTGAATCTAGGCATATAAGGGGAAGGAAATAGATTAATTGTGTGCATCTTCTTCCTTCCTTTTGATAATGGATATCATCAAAGGAAATTGCTGTTAAGACAGCTGCTAATAGTACTCATAAAACATTCCACCGTTTGGTCAATTGTATTGGAAGTTGCTACCTTAATCGTAGTGTTTCCTTTCAATTGTAGTCATCATGTTTTATTTGTATACTCTGTCAAATACTATGAATTTATTTTTACTCAATGTGTGGGTTTAGAGAGTAAACTAAGGTATATTTTGTGCTGATTATTTCTGTTATTATTATTGTTAACAATAAATTCATGTTGTCATATTTTCGCTAGGCACACAACTCTCTGAAGCATTACAGGCTATTGGACGTAGAGATGTATTAGAACAGTGTATGACTAATGTATCACCTGTTATTTCGAAAGATGAACGCGCAACAGCTTTACGTTCATTGAATGGTATTGCTTGTAAGTTGAGCTTATTGTTAGTTGGTATGTAAAACAATGTATTTATCGAGTTTAGAAAAAAGTCATTAATCCGTGGATTGTGAACAAGGAGAAGAAGAAGAAGAAGAATAGTATCAGACTTATTCTCCATATCAGCATAAATGTGCTCTGTATTTTCACCTTTTTCATCTGTACTTGTTTCAGTGAAATTCGATTAAGACCGTATTCCTCTCGTGCTTTTTTTCTTATTCAAAATTCTATGGTAATTCACGGTTATACCCTATTGTGTCATGCGCTCTTCATAATCTCAAACTGAAATCAGTTTACGATTCTTGTTGTAAAAGAACTTCGAAACCGCATCTCAAATTCAAAATTTAGTAGAAGAATTAGACGATATATTTAATTATTGATAGGGGTAATAAATGCACACTGGCTCGTAGATGTTCTATGGTTGGAAGACAGTCAGTCATCATACCTAAGCTTTCTATCTTCTGCTTTGTGAATTTGTTTCACAGGATTGTAAGAAGTGAATGCTTGTTGCATCGTTAGAATACTATGTGATATTGATTGGCTGTGAATGATGAATTTAAGGATCAGTGTATGTATTTCGCTTTGCTCTAAAATTTAACCCTTCGTTGTCTTTTGTGTCTAGTGAAGAATTAGCCTGCATATTGTGTAATATTCATGCCACAAATAAGAGAGTTTTTTTTTAACAGGTTTTTTCTTATCAAGCTGTACTGTCGTATATGTATATTTATTTAGAAAAAGAATTATGTCAGTCGTGATAAAATATTCACTATCACAATTATAGCTAAACATTCATCGAGCGATAACAATATTTCGTAGAGTGTATAGATCTTTGAAGGCGGGGGGAGGGGGTTAGAACTAATAAGATTAGCAGGTGATTAACACATTACCCAAAATGATGAGAGTTGTGAAAGAACGAATATAGGGTAATAATTGACATACATACAAGGAATTGTGCAAAATCCAAAATAGGAATGACAATCGAAATAATAAACTATGGATATACAGAGTAACGAAAAGGATTTTCTACAGGTGACTGCAGACTTCTATCGATAGCTGACTTCTCTGGCTCCATACTGAATTTCAAATGACCAGGAAGAATAAGTAACAAGAAACTGTGGGAACAAAGCAACCAAGAGTCGATCGCCCAACAAATTTGTACGAGAAAAGGGAGATTGGTCGGGCATACATTAATGAGACCATAGAATGACATCGCGCGCCAGGCTCTCGAGGAGAGTCGCAATGGGAAGCGATAGATGGCTTGTCCTAGGGTGACATGGAAGAGATTGTGCGAGGGGGAGATGAGCGATTGTGGGCAATCGTGAAGAGAACAGTAGAAAATAGACGAAAGTGGGAATGTGTTGTTGAAGCTATATGTTCCACTCGTAACTCAAGGGAATAATAATACAGAGTAAATGAACAAAACGAGAAATACAATAGGGTCAAAGTGTGTATGAGGATTATAATATGACCATGACAGAAAGAGAGTGGTTCGACAAACTTTCTTCTCTATACAAAGTTCCGGTTTTTCTGTTTCGATGGCTAAAACTTCAGCAGTACATATGAGTAGAACACGTATGCTCATAATAGGGATTTAGACGGAAAAAGAAATGATCGAGAAAATATTTACTTTTCAATCAGATCTCCATCTGTGGCTCTCTCTCTCTCTCTCTCTATATATATATATATATATATATATATATATATATATATATATATACAGAGAGAGAGAAAAGTTTGTTAAGAATAATTAGTTAGTATTAACATGTTAAGAGAAGAGAAGGAGTGATAATTAACCAGGAAAATTAATACGAACGAAAGGTGGAAATGGTTACAACAAGTGGATGCGTATAATGCGTAATTTTGGAGAAAAATAAAGAGTAGTTAAGGCGTAATTGAGTGCTCAAGTTGATTACGTAGAGATATGGAGTCAGAAAAGTAAAATAATTTGGACAATGGTGGTAACTTGTAATAATTATTACTATCATTTTATTTCTCTTACTCCTTCATCTTTAATTGTTTATTACGTAATCAACGTGAGCACTCACGTATTCCTTAATTGCTTTTTATTTCTCCAAAAATGTACATTATGCAATCCACTTATTGTAATCATTTCTACCCTTTAATTGATTGTATTAAATTGTCTTCGTTAATAATCACCCCGATTGACATGCTGATATTGACTAATTATTGTTAACAAACTTATCGCCACCGGATTGGCAGAATTTTTTGTTTTATATTAAAAACTGCTTTATATATATATATATATATATATATATACTCATGTAGAGCTACAGATAAGGATGTAGTTGAAAAGTAAATATTTCTTCGCTGAATCCTTTCGCTTTCATAATGGAAATTTTCCTATTATCAAATATCAGTATATGGTTAATTTATGCATTTATTGACATTTTTATCTATTGTCATTGTCCTGTATCTGTGTTGTCCCCTTGCTTTTTTCCAGCTATGTCCCCGAACTTAAGCATGCATCGTGAACAACGTTCTCATTCTAAGCAAGGAGATGGTTTAAGTGAATCCATTGATACAGGATACGGTACACAGTCTGGTTCAACTAATCTAGTAACTACAACAACATCGGCACCGGCAACAACACCTGTAATCACTAAACCAATATCACCAACAGGCGATACACTATCCACTTCGGACAATTTGAATAATTCTAATTTACATGAAGTTGAACAAGAAATAATACAACCGGTTACAGTAAAAACTGGTCGTGTCTTCTATTCTGAAAAAATATTGGAACCAGTAGAGAATAAGTCTGAGTCTCATGATCGGCAAGAGGAGAAGTATGAAGTTTTAAAGAAAGTTGAAAGTGTACTCTCAGACAGTCCAAGTTCATCAGTACTTGAAGAAGATAAAACTTCTGTGTATACTGGACGTAAGTTACTGTTTAATTTTTTGTTACTTTATCCGCCTTTTCTGCTGCACACATTTATTATTATTATTGTTATTCCTAAATTAATGCATTATTCAACCAAAGTGGTACATTCACTTCAATTATATCTCTCATATTGTATTAGTCGATTTGGAATAATTTAGTGTTCATTGCCTGCCTGCCGCCCGTCTGTCTGTCTGTTAGAAATCACTTTAAAAAAAGTCATTTGAAGGCGTAGGCATTCAACCGTTGTGTATTTCATTGAATATTAGCTTTTTACAAATGAACACAAGTTCATTTAAATTAATCAATTAGAGTACATTCAGCTATCAGTTTGTCATAGACTATTTATTAGATCTGCATAATAATTTGTGTTGTGTTCATTTGATTAACAGAAGAAGCTCGTTTGTTGTTGTACAAATACATCACGTTCCATTGCATTTATCTCGTTTACAACATCTGTTTGTTTGGCTATACTGTGTTCCCAAAGTATTTGTTACAAAATAGTTCAAAGAAAGTAATGATCATATTCGTTTGAAATAAGTTGAAAGTTTGAAGAAAACGTTTTATTTTAATAGCCATATACATATTAGTGATATTCACTCTCTCTTTTGAATTAACATGTCACTAATGAGTAAAATAATCGGAAAAGCAAGACAAGCTTTCACTACTCTCAAGTCTGTGTGGAGGTCAACAGCACTCAGCATCAAAAATAAGAGCCGAATTTTCAACTCCAATGTGAAGTCAGTGCTACTATAGGGATCAGGGACTTGCACTGCGCGTCATAAAGAGCATCTCAAACAAACTACAGACCTTCATTAACAGTTGTCTTCGCTCAATACTCAAGATCAGATGGTCGGAAAGGATCAGCAACAGGGATCTCTGGGAGCGAACCAACCCAGCAGGAACCGATTGTGAAACAAATAGGCAGCAAGAAATAGAGGTGGATTGGTCATACTCTGAGGAAACCATCAAGTGACATCACTAGACAAGCCGTCGAGTGGAACCCGAAAGGGATGCGGCGAGTTGGTCGTCAGTGCAAGGGTGACTTGGAGGAGGTCATGTGAAGAGGAGATGAAAACGTGTGGGCAGACTTGGAGCCAGTTGAAGACTCTAGCAGAGAACAGAACGCAATGGAGACGCACGCACTGCTGAAGCCCTATGTTCCTGTAGGAATTAAAGGATACAATAATAATAAAAATATTAATAATAATAATAATAATGAGTAAAATGGGCTTCATTTTTTAAATTCCTATGTAGATAGCATTGCACCACTATTGTTTGATAAGTGTGTATAAATGTCATGAATTTATAGAAATTAGAATTCATGGGTGTTTAAATTCAGACCCAGTGTATGGATGGTGAGTGGGTTGTCATGGTAGTCCAAAGCTTTAGGGTTTTGTCCCTGATGAAGAGTCTCAAACGAGGAAGAAACACCTGACCAGTATTCCCTGACTGATTTTGGTTCGTGACGGAATCGGCGTTGAAATATCTAACTAGTTCAAGATTGATTTTAAGTGAATGTAGTGAAAAACAGGTTATTCAGAGAAGTTGTTTGAATTATCATTTGTTTTCTAGATATATAGATCAAAATAACAAGTTCATAAGTAAAAGAAGCGCTAAGTTCTGCTAAACTTATTTCTTTTACCTCTCCACCCGCCTGTAGCTGCAGTTGATGAAGAAGTGGTCGTTCCCATGCGGAATACGCGTGCTGCAAGTCATCTTGACGAATCAGGGAAACAGGAATTTGATACATCGCGACCATATCCTCATGGTAAGCAATTATATACATATATATATATATATATGCATACATAAATATATACATATATATATATATACATATCGGAATCTCCTTCCTGTAACCAGTCACTAGCGGTTATTTTATTATTTATTTTATATTTTGTTCCTTTACGTTCCCAGTGGAACAAAGGGCTTCAAGCTAGAGCTTTGAAGTTTCGGCAGTAGTGATGTTTATTTTTACGGGATGGGGTTGCTAGCCTCATGCCCAACCTTCCCTCTTTACCAGCCTTATTACTGGCCTAGCGGTGTAAAGTAGTGACTCATCCGGGAATCGGACCCCGAACCACCTGCGTGGTTGACGAGTATTCTACCTCTGTGCCACCAACGCACAGTCACTAGCGAGCAACAAATTAATGTTCAAGAGTTTATTTGTAGGGATTAGATTTATTTTTCAAATTTGACCATCGATTGATATCGGTTAGAGTGAGGACGAACGTTCGCCGATGACATTCGAGCTAAAATCACGAATTAGTAGAAGTTAGAATTCAAGCGCCATTGATTCGAATCCCAGTGGCTTAATGGTCTATGAGCTTGCCTTTTAACCGCAAAGTCCTGGGTTCGAAACCCAGTGGGTGCGTACTGTCGATGAGTTCAAAACTAGGACGAAAGAGCTATCCAGTACTCCCTGGTTTTCAATGGTTCTCTAACTGATATCAATCCATGGTCAAACTTGAAATAGCCTTTAAGGAAATTCCTATCTCTTCTGCATATAACAACTCATTTCATTCACTGTGTTGAAATTTGCATTTTCCCCCTTTCCTTTTTCTTTTCACATGGTTAGGTGAGTTACACTTACATGGTAAAACTTTTTTGTTTCTTTGTTTTTCTCTGATAAATTTATATCTTCAATGTGTTGATTGTGATTTTCCCTCCGTTGGTTACTGTTTTTGAGTTTATAATTAGTAGTGTAGTAACATACCGAAGGTTATTCACATATTTGCATTATATGTATGTATGTATGTATATATGTACATGGATTTGTTAACACTATAACCAATTTTGATTTTATTTTAGTTTCCATTTTCTGTTCAGTATGCTAAAGTTTTTTTGCAGTTAATCATTACACTATTCGGTTACATACAAATATCTCAGTGTTTGTTTGTTTGTTTGTGTCTGTCAGTGTGTGCATTATTGTTGTTGTTGTTATTCCACTCACAAAAACAATTCCCTCATCTATTGATGATGACTGACGACTGCTGGGTGGTTTGAAATGATATCACTTTTCCATCAGTGTTTCAAAATCTTATTGTTGTCATCGTCATGTTTGTGTTGCTATGTTGTTCAACAGGTGATAATGAAGAAGGACCACATGTTTGTGTGTATGCAACTCTGTGTGTGTATGTACGTTTTTATGGGTATAATTCTACTGGTAATCTGTTTTGTATTCGCTTAGTTCGCATACACACAAATGTATAATTTTGTCCGCACATATATTAATTATATCTCCTGTGGTGGTGATGCTCTGTCAAGTATGCTATGGATACGCGTATTCAGTTCAACTGTGATCAAACTGCACTCATTCATTCTACTTTCACATACATACTATATATCCCCGCTAACGCCTTCGGCTATTACTGCTGGCCAGTTATACTAGGCAAGTTCACAGTTTATAATTTTTTGCCTTAACTCTGTGTACATTATATTATATACCTGTTGTGATTTATTCGCTATAACTTTTTTTTTGCATATCGGTTTGTAAAAGTATAACTCATTATATGTTGTTCTTTGTCTGAATACGAAGGTGTAAACAAGTTTTTTGACACTTCAGTTTTTGCTTATATATACATATAGTTGTGTGAATATGGAAACATCTACCTTATATCTATCTAGATGACCTAATTCACTTAGTTTGTTTTCGGAACCTGGAGATATTATACTGTTGCTTTAAAGCATAATAGCATCTTATTTATTCTTGTTAAGCCGTTTTTAGAAATGGATTCAATAGGACATTTGTTGTCCACTAGGAAAGGTTAACGTCTGTTTACAATATTTTTTTCTGTTATATGAATAATGAAACTGTCAAGGGGTGTGCAGTCAGTGTGTACCACTTTTTACCTGTAAAAGAATGAAAGTAGTTCGATCATGGGTTGATATCAGTCAAAGAACCAGTGAAAACCAGGGAGTACTGGAAAGTTGTTTCATCCTAGTTCGGGACTCTTCATGAGTACTTATCGTCGAGGATCGAACCCAGGATTTTCTGGTTACAAGGCGAGCTCGTAGACCGTTCAGCCACTGAGATCCGAATCAACTTTAATTTAATCGACTTTAATTTTCGCCAAAGAATGAAGCATTTGTTGGAGAGAATGTAACACATAAGCAAAGTTTTCATTAAGAAAGTAACTAGAGAGTAGGGAACTCTAAACAAAGCAAAGTACGCTTCACCAATCAACTATGAGTATTGTATGTGTGTAGATGTGTACTTACTAACGGTAAAAAAAATGGTGTTCTTAATTAGTGGTCAGAACAAACGTAAGTTAGACAGCCTAAGTGGTTGGCATTAGTCATTCTCACTTTGACACCTAACACATTGTGAGTGCGATTTGACGTGCTTCCAGAATTCTCAGTATTGGTGAATTCCAAACTTGACATAAAACTACTATCCAATAATTCTAAATTCTTGACACCTTTTTACTCGGTTTTAATCCTTAAAACTAACTACTTAAAACTAAAACTAATAATTATAATAAACTAATAATAACTAAAAACGAATGTGTACATTGAAATAACTTTTATTTACGCATAACTCATGAGCGTTTATTAATTTGCATACTGGTGTATTATTAACTCCGATAACTCTTCTCCATATACACTAACATGGAAAAACATGACGAATTAATGAATCTGGTAGACTGTAAAAAGTGAATGTATCTATGCCATAAAGAGAAAATGATTTCGAGTCACAACACCAACTGCTTCCGGGCATGGATTCTTAGGCATTGAAACACAAAATGAAGATAAGTGGATTGATGAAGGGGAATACTAATTAGGAAATTGTTGAATGCAGCTGTATCATTAGCAGTGTCAACAGATTGCCTCAATTGATTTAATTCATGGAAAATACCAAACCAGACATGAATATAAGAACAAAAGTTCAGCCAAGAGTCTTTTTTCGGCGAATCCATTCACTTAGCTGTACAATCGCATTTAGATATAATTATTTGTGTGTGTGTGCGTACATTGGGATTGCCGAAAAAATAATAAGAATTAGTTAGGACTATTGTTCACGTCATCAAAAAGGTTTCGAAAATGTGACGAATAATCAAATTGTAACTAGGGGAGTGAAGATTGGTACGTATTGGAAAGGGTTGCGTAATATGAAATAGGATGTTAGTGAAAGAGCATAGAGACACGTGTCCAAAATATGTCGCGCAGAAAAAACTCTTCGGTCTCCTCCTTCTATCTCGCGTATCATTCTAGGTTCACAATGCTTTTTTGAATTTTTGTATGACTTCTTAGTAAGATCTTTTTCTTAACCAACCCTTTGTTTACTCTTTCTACCTGTTAGATAATTTTCAAGTGTGGTTTGTAGAGGTTTGATTGATTGGTTACAGGATTTCATCATGAGTTGACATCGGTAAGAGAACCATTGGGAAATCACCTGGGAGTACTGGAAAGCTCTGTTTGATCCTAGTTGGCGACTCTTCGGAGGTACGCACCAGCCGGGGTTCGAACCCAAGACTTTCTGGCTACAAGGCGAGCTCGTAGACCATTAAGCCACTGGGACCCGATACAATGACCCATGAATTCCAACTTTTGCCAATTCACTACATAGCGTGACATATTTTGGACACGTGTCTCTATGCTCTTTCACTAACATCCTATTTCATATTACGCAACCCTTTCCAATACGTACCAATCTTCACTCCCCTAGTTACAATTTGATTATTCGTCACATTTTCGAAACCTTTTTGATGACGTGAACAATAGTCCTAACTAATTCTTATTATTTTTTCGGCAATCCCAATGTACGCACACACACACAAATAATTATATCTAAATGCGATTGTACAGCTAAGTGAATGGATTCGCCGAAAAAAGACTCTTGGCTGAACTTTTGTTCTTGTATTAATGACTTTTTTGTAAGATGACTTCTGCTGTTATGTTGGACGAAGTCTTTGAAGGTTTTTATGTCTATTGTAATGTTATATTTAAAGACCTCAGACTTCCATCAGTGCTTATGTGTGCGTGATGTCCACTGCATTGATTTCGAAATTGACAATTTGTCTGTTCATTACGCCAGAGTTAACTGGTTTTAGGCATTACGGGTAGACATGTGTTTATGTACTCAAAAGGACAATGTATGATATTGTTATACAAATAATTATAGTTCAATAGCTGTCGGAATGGTTTTATCGTTATTTATTGTCTGATTGCTAGATCGATTTCAGTAGTATCTCACTGTGATAATATATTGAATAGACCTGTGGTTCTTACGAGATCTGGGTTTCCTTCAGACTTTCGACTGTCTTCTCTCCATCGCATTTAGATTACTTTCACACGAAATGTAATATTTCTTCTGGTAGAGGTAATTTCCAACCAACAGGGTGCATTTTATACAAATCATAGTAGAAATTGATAAGAACATGTAATAATTATGATAATGCCCTTAATTGTTTATCACATTTTCTTTTATTTTTCAGTGTCTGGCCACATGGAATCATCTCAGTCATCTGATACAGAAACAGTCATCACTAATGAGAAGTACAGACCGTTATTAAGTGAAACAATCACTAATAAAAGTGCCGAAGTTGATGTGAATGTTTTACCTTCACATAGTAGTGGTGGTACTTTACAGGAAGATAAAACAAGTGAACTGGTTTGTAAAACACTAAAAGATGGTACACCGTATGAACAGAAGATTTTTGCACGTCATCATCCGAGATGTGGAGAACTTGAAGCTACATGGGGTAGAGGTGCAGATCGTGATATCCCATTGCATGACACTGATAAAATGCATGCTGATGAGGGAGATAGAGAAGTGTGTAAAACACCATTCAGTAATTCACCATGTGAACAAGAAATCTGTGCACAACACCATCCAAGATGCGGTGAACTTGAGGCTACTTGGGGTAGAGGAGCAGATCGTGATGTACCACGAGGTACCAGTCCAGGTGGAATTGATAAAAAGCTTGAAGAAATCCCTACATCTACAGTAGCCACATCATCTGAACAATTAGTGCATACAATGCATCATCAAGCAGTTGATCAAACTGGAATCACTTCGAGTAAACTCGATAATTCAAGTACCATATCTACTCAGGAAAAAACAATACAACCGACAACTTCGTCAACTTCAGTTATCTCCGAACACCAAAAACCAAATGAAGGTGATGAAATAAAAGAGAAATTGTGCTCTATCACCACAGTTGTATCATAGTATTCATGCATTGTGGACTACTTGAATATTCATTTACTGAGCATAGTTTGCTTTTGGTAGTAGTTAGCCTTGTTTTTTCTGACGAGTTGCTTGATCTGAGCCATTTTATCATATCCAGTTTAATTAATACATATTTCAAATGCTATGTCTTGCTGTGGCTACGCAAAATAGCGCTCACTGATCATAATACTAAAAAGAAGGATCTGTGCTATACTCTTGTATAATATACTGTTCATTGATTTAATGAACACTTTTACTACAGTATGTCCCCTTAATAGTTTGGCAATATTACATAGTAATGTCAGTTACTCGTAGCTTGTTCGTAGTTGCCAGTTCACTAGTAGTAGTAGTAATAGAGTACTTAGTAGCTTAACATTTTCAGGCATGACTTTTTTTGTATGCTGAGTGAATCAATGAATAGATTTCTTTCTTTTATGTGTATACTGAATAAGTTTTACATATTTTGACAGTTTCATTATTTATGACCACAGAAACATACCTGGAGATGTAGAATTTATTACCATAAGCAGTCAACTATCTGATTTAAATTGAGTTAACCACAAGGAATTTCTCATGTACTAGGCTATATTAGTCATGAGTATTGTGTGAGACAGCTGTTTACCCAAGTTGAAGTTCTTACAGGGGGATTCGAACCTGGAACGCATCGGCTAAAAGTTAGGTGTTCAAGTTAGTGAGCCACATCTACACTGTCAAATGTGCTAACACTGAATTCCGCGGATTTACTGTAACCGAAATGACGGCGAACCGCGTCGTTTCAACTAGCTGGCACACGGCACAGATGAGAATGTCAAAACCAGAATCAGAAACGCAACACAGACGTTCACTACTCTGAAATCAGTTTAGAAGTCTATTGCACTCAGCAGCATGAAGAACAAGATTCGGATTTTCAACACCAATGTTAAGTCAGTCAGTTCTTCCATATGCTGCAAAAACTTGGCTTATGTCTCTCGGGAAGCATTACCAACAGCCAGTTTCAGACTTTATCAACAGATGCCTTCCCTGGCTTCATGCTGACGATTAAATGCCTGCCGGAAAGAATTAGGAAGAAGAACCTCTGGGAACAAACTAATCAAGGAAGCTATCGCTCAACAAATACGCCGAAGAAAATGGAGATGATGGATTAGTCACAAGCTGAGCGTGACACTGCAGACCTTACCTTCGCTCGATTGTTCCCCTGAATGGGAGACTACGAGTTGGGCGTTGACCCGAGAGTGATATAGAGGAGGAGACGAGAGATTATAAGTCAATCGTTGGGCCATTTTAGGAAGAGGACTACATAGGAGAATAGGACAAAGTGAAGATGTGCTGTTAAAGCCCCAATGTTCCACTCGGAACCCAAGGAAAAAAAAATAATGATAATAAGCGACTGCAACCGCTAATAATTTTGTTTCATCTACCTTTGTACTACACCACCCTGCTAATTTACATTATTTACCAATAGACAATGGAAAGTAGACTATTATAAATCGCAGATAAATCAAATAAGAAGGTTGTTGATATCTTTTTTGTCTTTACCAATTCATTTTTATACTAGAGAATGTTTCCTGCATGTGTCATGCACTTCATATGTTTAAGATCAGATTTATCTAGGGTTTTTATTCCGTCTGCAGTGTGTTGATGGTTCATTGAGAGAGATTGTTTACAAACTCTGGTGAAACACAGGAATATGTAGAGAGGATAAACATAGTAAGATTACAATGGAGTAATTTGAGTGGATGATAGACAAGGAGAGAGAGAGAGAGTTATCCAGATGAATGACGATAAGAATTGATGACATCTGAGCAATTATGATCTATTATCACGTATTTAAGGTGTGTTTGTCTTCTCTTTCAAAAAAAAGGTGAAGGGGCAGGGGAAAGGGATTTGTGTATTTATGTATTTACTTATTTATTCATAGGTGTTATTCAGTGTCAAACAAACTATACTTCTTTTTTTCATTTCCGTTGTCTAAATTAGTTTTTCTTTTCTTTTCTTTCCACACTCTCACTCCTTATACGTTTGTCGGCTGTTTTGTTTTGTTGTTGCTAAAATTAAACAAATCATCATCATCATCAACACCATCATCAACAACAACAACAAATAAACAAAAAAAACTCCCTTTATGGGGTTTTTTCCCGTTTCACTTTTACTGCTTCTTATTTGGCGTTGTTTAAAAAAAAATTCAACATCAAAACATTGTAATAAAACAACATGCCATAATTGTTGCTAATATGCCCGTATGAAATATTCCGTCTAATCTTAACCTCTTTTGATAATATTATTTTATGTGCGTGTGTAAAAACATGTATGTATGTATGTATGTGTGTGTGTTTGTGTGTGATTGCGGATGCACGCATATCGGTTCGCCTTTTTTGTTGTTGTTGTTGTTGTCGATGCGTTCACTCATTTGCCTGTATGCCTGTCTGTTAATAACGTTAATCATGTTTAATATCATGTCGTTTGTTGTTACGCCACTGTTTGGGAAAAAAAATAATAATCTGCAATCTGTGTATATACATATATGTTCCCTAACTAATGTGATATCCTATAAAAATTGTGTTTACCTATCATCTTATCGTCTCCACATCAACACTAATTAATGTTGAAATCTGTTCTCATGATAAATGTATAACGCTTTAACAAAATATCATTTATTACCTTTCATCGGTCTCTCAAATTAGATGGAAATATGCCTGAGTTTAGTGTATATAACTTCCTAAAGTCTCATGACAGTATTGTTAAGGATACTGAGGATGTTAATAACTATCCGGTTAACCGTTCTATTAAAGAGAGACAAGAACAAGAGGAGGAAGAAGAGGTGCAGAAGGAGGAGGAGGAGGAGGGAATAGATGACTATGAATTCCCCGATAGAGTTATTATCATACCAAGCGGTGAATATCGTGAAATATCTGAAAGCACAGAACCACCGTATGGTGATTATGATACATTTTATAATGCACTTAATGATAACATATTACTCTGCCGACCATTACTACAACCACTGACACCAATCCCAGAGACATCAGAATATTCGACAAGATCATCAATAGCCAGTGTAAATCCATTTAAAAGTTGGCAAAGTAGTGATTTAAGTCCATCAGAATCATTTGAAAATCGTTCTGGACTATCACGTCGATTATTATATCCATACATTCAACCAAATCGTTCATCACATGAATCCTTTGGTGGTCCTGAAAAGTCAATAAAAAATCCAGTTATGTCTGTACGCAATATACCTTCTAATCATACAGAATCTGATCGTGCTCGACGTTCCTATGAAAGTCATTCATCTGATGGTCACGACGGTAATGCAGACTTGACAGGCTCTCTACGCACACATAGCAGTCGTTCATCTTTAGCGGAGTTTTTACGTTTAGAAACATCATGTGATAGTAGTCGCGGTGATCTGTGCTATGAAGAAGAACGACAACTCGTACTTAGTCAGCATGATTTAGCTTTACAAGAACTTATTCAAAGTATCCAAGATCTGCAAAGAAAACATTTAGATGAAACCACTAGTGGTGATGATGGTGTCAGTGGTCGTCATGGTGGTTTGGCTACATTAGCTAGTGCAGATGGTAGTTCTAGTAGTCACATAGCCATGGGATCTAGTGATGCCGACTTTCAAGGTGTTGAAACAACTAGAAATCTAGGTGAAAAGGATTTATCACTGTCATCATCGGTTCCATTAGTATCAGCATTACCGCATTCCAGAAATACCACAGTTAATGGTGAAAACGATAGGGTTTGTATGAGTAATACTAGTTTAGACTCTCGTTTACCACCTTCATTAGGTAGTAGTAGGTCGTCTGCTCATTCGACAAGTGTCTCGGATAATTCTGCCTCTGTCCATTCTGCAAATCATGCTAACCAACGTCATCTGCCATCAAGCTAACTAACTGAAATGCTTAATTTTTTGTCATGAGGTTTATTTCCCTTTTTTCATGTAAGTGAAATTGTACTTATGTGTATACGCCTTTCATATTGACATATATATATAAATATATACTTTTTGTCAACTAGTGTGTCACGTTTAACAGCCACAATTCCTATTATGATTATTATGATTGACGATTTTGACGTTAACTGGATTAGTTGCTGACATTTGGTTAACTACTACTTTGAAAAACAGTTATTTTAGCTCCTATTCTAGACTTATTTATCACTGTTTCGTACTATAAATTATTTGTGGATACAGTTTTAGATTTATAAATTTCTTAGTAAACTCTGCCCCATGTCACTACACTTAAATACAGTTATTTAATACTGACAAAGTAAACAATCAGATGTAGTCATTTGTCCAATGTTATCAGTCCTGATTTATTGCAGCATAGTTGATTGCTTTCAGAATTATTGCCTTACAGGTATTCCGAGTAGACTGAAGTATGCAGTTAGATGGTTGGAGGCAATCGGCAGGAAGCCTTGGACCTAGGTTTCGTGCTAGTTGGCACTCTTCAGCAAGGCCTATCTGGAACCTTGAAGGAACTGATGTCCCTTCTGAGATTCGAACCCGCGTCACCCAGTGCTGCAGTCAGAGACGTTACCACTGAGCTATTCGGGCTCGCGATTGACCTCCTGTAGGACTGTAGTGGATATTTTGATTTGACACTAGTAACTAGTGTGATGTGTCTAGTATGTAATCTTTCAGAAATTTAGAGGAGAAGAAATATGTATTGAATATTGTCCAGCCTTGTGTTGTTCATCTTTAGTCAGCACTATATAACTTCGTGTAGTAAAAAAGGTGCCACTGAAACACTGTCTTTAAAAAAATTGCAAAGTAGTATATATCTGCTTACTGGAATGAATCACAGTCTTGCTTACTGACTCTTGTTGAATTTTATTCAGATGTATAAGGAGAGCATACAATTTACATACAACCAACCACTACGATTATCATTTAAGGAAAAAATATTTCATTTCGCAAATTTTCTTGGCTGTTTCACTTGTCCTTCCGTTTTGTTAGCGGAAAAAATAATTATCTATGACAGTTACCACTTGTACTTAATGTGTTCGGAATCCACTACTATATATATATATATTGCTGACTTTTTGAAACGAGACTCTCCTAGAACCACTCTTTCCTTTGAGATGCAGTGACATTTGAGTGTGTCATTTAACACAGTAGTCAGCATCCTGCCAGTGAATTTGCAGAAATTAGATTTCATGGACCATTGGATCGGGTCCCAGTGACTTAATGGTCTACGAGCTTGCCTTGCAACCGGAAAGTCCTGGTGAGTTCGTACTGATGAAGAGTCCCAAGCCACAGCGAAACAGAGCTTTCCAGTACTCTCAGGTTTCTCAGTGGTTCGCCTACTGATGTCAACTCATGATGAAATCCTGTAACCAAACGCAGCAAATGCTGGCCCATGATCTTGTCTTGGCCTACTGGGAACGACTAACACCATACATAATAAAATATATAGTGTTCGTAGTGAATAAAGTGACCTGTCGAAATCCAATGAGTATTGAATAGGGAGATTCACTTTTATCTGTTGACTAATCGTGTTTTCAGTTATTACACTGTATTTATTTCACTATATTCATTCTGCCGTCTTTATTTTGATCATTTATAATTTACTTTTAAAACACTGATTACTGAACATGGAGCACTTTTTCGATAAAGTCTTCTTTAAGTTTGGTTCTATTGACAAAAGTAATATACGCAAAATGTGAGAGTTTTACACCAGAAATGTGTATATGAGTACTTAATAATATCTTTTGTCAATGGTTACTAAAATCATGGAGGAGTATATCTATAGGGTAAGCAGTCATCTACTTTGGACGTTAATTGTCACTTCCTGTGCGCCAAACATGATATATCCAACTGTCTTTTTAGTGTTACATTACTGCATAGTATCATATATTCACTTGTGTTGAACTACCTACACATCTCAGATACACCTTCCCCGGTATAAAACTCTCATTCTTTGTTCCGAGTTATTCTATGCTGCGAAGACACTACAGTTGCTCTTCTTGTTAATAAACAAATATTCCTTCACTAATTTGTATAACACCTAAAGGGGAAAGTTTATCGAGGGAAAAAAAAGTGTTTTCTTTTTGCTTGTTCACCAATCATTGTTTTGATTTATGATGGGAATTTCTAAACAAATAAAAAATTATTTATTTATTTATTTACCTATTCACTAATACATTCGATTATTTTTGTTGTTGGCATTTTTACACATCTAGGCGGTGAATAAATAAGTGATTCATCGATCGGCTGGTGGTGGTGGTGGTGAACACGTTCAAACAATACACGTTTAAATGTTCATATATCCAAAATATATTGTTAATTGTGTTTTTGATCGTGTATTATTATTATTAATTGTCACTTTCACTTGCTCCATCATTATTGTTTTCCTTTCTTTCTTTCTTACTATCTTTTATTGTTGTCGTGGTGGTTTTTGATTATATAATATTCTGTGAATAGTAAAAAAGTTTATTGAAGAAGCAATATGGTACATAAATAAATAAATAAATAACCTTAGTAGCAATTTGGAAATAACCACTATCATCAATCCAGTCGTATTCACGCTTTTGTTTCGGTTTTTATTTCGATTGAAGTTTTTCTTGGTTTTGTTTTGTTTTGTTTTCTTCCTCTGAGTTATCTCTTCATTTTGAGAAAAAGGAATTACCTCTTATCGGTAAACTTCTTTTTCTTGCATCAACAATAACTGAATATACGTATATATATTATTATTATATAGATTCGTATTCGTGTTTCCTTTCTTTGACGGAAAAAGGTAATTTAAAAAGTAGTACTAATAAATAGTAAAGAGAGAAGTGACGTTGCATACTTAATTCATAATCCATCGCCGCCGCCGATGACGACGACAAATACATGCGGGGAGAAAGAAAAAGCTCACTTGTATTGTTTACTTGTTAATTGATTCATATATGAGGTTTCTTTTCCATCATTGTCTTGTTTTTTCTTTTATGTGAGCTGGAGAGACTTTCTTTATTATATCCATCTTACTGACTTTTTATTCTTCTTCGGTGGAAGTTCTCTTGGTTCTCATTTCTTTTTTTTTTCGATAAATGTGCTCATCTGTTCTTATCTGTATGTGGATGCATATCAAAGGACTACTGGTATTTTGTGTGTACTTTTACTGTTGTTCTATGATTCTCTCTCCTTTTCTTCTTCTTCTCTATCTACAACAACCTTTACACAATTATAATTGTTCATTATTGTAATAGTGGTGTTCTTCTTTTCTGTTGAGTATTTTAACAAAGTCAATACACACACATCCTTTGGATAAATTATTATTGCATAACCAAAATTTAATTAAATATATATATGCATACTGAACTGGTTAAAAAGCTTACTTTTCTTTCCATACATTGTTTCGTGTATACACCAAAAGCGACAGGGTGGGGAGGAATTGTATCAAAATACTTTTACAGTATATATATTTCTTTATCAGAAATAACTGTTCCTCTCCTGTTCTTCATTTGTTCAACTTTCTCTGCCTATTTTTCTCTCGCTCTCCATGCAATCTCTTTTTTTCATTTCGTCGTGCATGTTTACTTCCTCTTCTTTTTATACACCGGCTTTTCCAGGTGTGTAATGAATGAATGTATTAGCGTGATGTATGTAGGAATTTTTGTTACATACAGAAGTGCATATGATGTATGACATAATAATAAATGGAGTGATTAATTGTTAATCTAATTCCCTATATTTGTTTGATTCAGTAATAACAACATATTTGTGTGTGTGTCTGTGTATCTTATTCCTGCTTTGTCCTCCTAATGTTATGATTATTGTTATTACTAGTAGTATAGTATTATAACTTTATTCCGACTGTTACTGTTGGAAACGGTCCTCTCTGTCCTTCATCTTCATTTGTTGCAATGAAGGTGTTTTGTGTTCTTTTTTCTCCTCTTTTTCATGTTTTGGATTCAGTTCCACTTATTATATCGTTTTCTTTTTATAAGTCAATAAAAAATACTACTAAAAATTTGTCATTTTTCTATTAACAATCGACTCTGTCCTACTTGATGACAAGACAGACTTTTTTTAGTAGTTATTTTAGTGTATGTATGTCAGTATTCTTCATTTTTTTGGTTTCAACTGTCCGTTGATTGTACACTAAGTAGTTGTATGCTCAACATGTATTTCTCGGAAAAAGGGTTAGGCTTAAGAGAGCTTGTGCTAAGCGTGTTACTATATGTGTATGTAAATTGAACCCAAAATTCATTCAATCTTTTCGAAAATAGCGTGTATGATCTTGTCAGTATGTTAATTTCGTTAGCTCATTGCAACTGTAGATTGCTTTTGAACTATGCAATACCACGGGTGTATTTCTGTGATCCTGAAGCAATAGTGATTATAATTGCTAATATACATTGGTTTATGTATGCAGGTGGTTAAATATTGTCTAATATGAATCGCCCAATGTGCATAAGCTTTGTTTCAGGTAAATTATTCATTTTTGTTCTAGTTCACATGATAGTTAGTTGCATACTTACCGTGTTGTATGCTAAGTATCATTATTTTAATATACAATGATCTGTCTTCTTTTATAAATTATATTTTTCGATCGTGAGGATTATCTTATTGCAACACGGTAGCTTGAGCAAAGCTAGATGGCGTAACTATCTCATCGATTGGTAGTGATGATCATTTTTTTATTGAAGACTTTATTATTCGTACAAATTCCCACTCAAGTGATACCAGAAGACAGAGCGACTGTTTTATCGATACATACATATATTATCAATCAGTTTTCTTTCTTTCTCAAAGTTAGTAAATTGTCATTTAAGTACAAAAAATATGACTTATAAACTATCTGACAGACGACAACAAGCCAAACAGTTGATAGTAGGTAACTCCAATAGTCATTCTTGTAGCAACTGAAATCGACTCGTTGTGGTCTAGACGCAGAGAACCGA